TTACGCGTGCTAGGGTATATTCTCCCAGCGCATGGAAATCCAGAAGCCCACGACATGACCCAACCACACTCTGTCTACTGACCATAACTCTTCCCCTCTTTTCTTTAGGGTAAGTTTCATCCTTTCGCCGAGCTACAGTAGGTTCGTCCTTCGGCATGGTACGGATTGATGTAGGTACTTGTACTAGGTAGGGATGGCGGCGTACCTTCTCTTGCAGGAAAGACTTGGTCGCCGCAGGCCCTCATTTACTGTTCCTTCTCACTGCTGTCCAAAACTCCTCTTATCCCTTCATATCCAGATGAAGCTTCCAGTTCAACCCCCTGAGCGGAGAATCACCACGTGAAGTGGGCTATTCTTATCGGTTTCTCCCGTCGTTGGCGTACCAAGATTTGACGTGACCAGAGAAACCTTGTCCGATTTGACGAATCTGCCTGTGTCTCGATGCCAATAGACGCCGTCGCAGAGCTACTGAGCTAGTCGTTCCTGCTGCACGGTTGACAGGTTGACACTTAACATCGTGCGGGTGCATGCTGATTCCCGAACCGATCGAAGGTGGCATCGACTAATCTTCGCCCACGATCACCTCGATCAAGTCTGCGCCGCCATCTTCACCAGACCTCTTTATTATGCTTTGTGGGCTGTTAAACCCCTCCTGTATTTGTTTGTGGTCTACACGTAAGGATAATCATAGGTTCTTCCCCAAGAATGGGGAGATTTCTCCTGTTGGACGGAATGTCAATGTGAGGAGGTCTTCCAGTCTCAACACCTGCAGTTCCACACTTATTCCCGTCTCATCTAAAACGGACAGAGCACGACGCGCGCCCTCAAGTTACTCAGGCCAGTGGCGAGTGAATCGTGTCTGCAAGATCACCTGTGATAGCGCAACTGGTGTTTGATCCTCCTCGTCCAGATTTGGTATCGTACTTATTAGCGTTCGGCCTACGGAACGTCGTCGGCACCAACGCTACACTGAAGCTGCCAATGGGCCCATTCCCTTTTGTTGAAGATTCCCCACTACATCTATCAACTATGGACCCCGACGTTGGCTTCGATCCACTTGCGCGTGGTCGAAAGTTGAGGGGAGAAAACAGACAGCGCTCGTTGCGCAGGATCCATCCCGTTGTCACTTGCTGCGTGAGCTGTGAGTGGAGGATCAGGGGTGCGGCAGATGATCCGGTATCTCTCTGATACTCAACTGGAGGATTCATGGAGCAGCTACTGCCAGGACTACTCCGGAGACGCCGCGTCGGATTGTAAACCCTTACTCCTGACCTTGGGACCTCGGAAAATGACAGCAACCAGCAGCGAGAGAATACAGAGTCAAAACGCACCAAGGCTCAGGGAACACCGCCTCCTGTCATGCAACTCAAGCGGCTGGGAAGGAATCATAGCGTCCCCATCATGAAGCTACGGTGTACTAACATGGACATCCTCAGAGCCAGGCGTCCAGGCTCGCCCGACAGTACCAGGAAGCAGAAAGTGGAGGCATCATGTGGACTCTTTTATTGCTGAATTTCTGACCCATTTCCAGAACAGAATAACGCTCGCATTCCTACCCGGTATGTACGTTATAAACCACTACGTACAGCCACTTGAGAGCATGTCTGGAGACCTGTGGCACAGTGGCACCCTTCCACTGAGCTTCCGGACGGAGTACAACGGTCGGCGATCAGCCCGCTTCGCCATCCGCAGTGGTCCGGCGGGCGAAAGTGGACTCTAGACAAGACCACTATTTCGAAACTATCGACGGGCGACTGTCATTATTATGCCAGATTACCGGATCTCGGCCGTCGCCCATTGCTTGGCCTGACGAGGGTAAGTGGGCACTGTGGCACAACTTGGTTGCGCGCCGGCGGCCGTAGCCTCAATCAAATGGGAAAACATACCATAGCCCATAACCCTTTATGGTTAATGAGGATGACGGTAGACTCTCCACGGGTTGGTCAGGTTGGAGACATCATTACTCTTGGATCCCGTTCATCAATGTTCTCGAAATGGGCCATATTATTAATCCGTCGGTGCTCTCCCCGCTAGCACGACTGCAGTCCACGGAGATGATAACTGTTCGGGGAAGGAGATGGTTCATCAGTCAGCGTCCCGGGAGAGAAAATTGATTGAGTTGAGATACTAGCCTCATCGTCCACTGTTTAGATTATAGTACGGAGAAACAAAGGTCTCGGGAGCTGAGTTTCTTTCTTTCTTCTGCATCAGGACGACTCATAAACTAGTCCTTCGAGAAGGAGATCCGCCGTTGGCTAAGATGATGGATTGAAAATTACTACGTAGAGATCATGCCATGCATCGACCACTCTATGTCTTGTATTCACTTCTCGTACGGTTTTCGAGTTCATCATTTTATAGTACAATAATAGCCTACGTTGTTCTTTACAGAATAGTTTACGAAGTTTAAAACTATATTCGTTTGACCCATGATGGATAGATCGTTGATTGTCTACTCACAAAACACCCAAATGACCACAGCGGGATAAAGAATAGAGTCGAGAAAGAAGCATACAATTCATACCTTCCACGCACAATCCCATGACAGCAGACGGAGCCCTTGGAGCTGACTGCGGGCTGAGTAGTTCCTCACTAACCGACGACGCGAGTTCGCGTGCCGGAACGTCTCAGTTCGAACACAACATCTCGGAGTCTCATCCGTCCCAATAGCAGCAGAGAACCGAACATCGAGATACAAAGTGGAGACCCCTCCCTCTTCAACTCTCGAGAGGCAAAGAGACCAGGCAAGAATCTCCGAAACCTAAGTCTCACACGTGGGGTGGGCGACATGAAGAATGTTGTCGAATCAGATGGGAACGAATACAGGAAGGATGGGAGACTCGGGCCGAGGCATGATCCTCTGGAGGAAAAAGTGGTCGAGTCGCTGACCCGTTGTAAGCGGACATAGTTACATTGATAGTGGTCGTCGCAAGATGATGATGATGGATCATGGATGGGAAAGAGAAGGAAAGGAACAAAGGAAGCAGGTTAGTGAGGCGAATAGATTAAGAGACTGACTCGTATCGAATATCGAAGATGGATCAAGCTCGGAAGGCCACCCATATTGGCATTAGCATCGTGGGCATTCAGCAGGATAGATTGGTCTTAGATTGTGTTAGATTAACGGCGCGATTCGAATCTCGATCGTCCGGGAATATTTTCGATCAGGAATCAGGATCATTGTTAGTATGGCCTTGCCTAGCTTAGCCTCGAGGATACCAAGTGACGGGTTTGACAGCGAATCTCAATTTAGTCTCCAGTATCCGGTCCCACGGATTCTGGAATTTCTCCCGTGTGGAGTCAAAGAGTCACCGTCCTTTGTGAAAAAAAAATAATAATAATAAAAATTGCTTTTTCCTCCGGCATATCCCAACGTTCAAGTGTCAAAAGTCCAAGTCGCTTTTCCCCTGAGTCCTGCAGGCTGCAGAAAGGATGAGGCTGCCTTCTCCACAAAAAGGAGGTTGAAGGCTGGAGCTTCAGTCGGACCAAAAATTGGGAGCGATGGGGAAGACGGGAAATGGGGTTTCGGCATTTGCTTTACTTCCCACGTTTAATTAATTTGCAGGAGCAGATCCCGGCCACCCTCTTTCCTGCTCAAGCAGCTCAGCAGCCCTTGACTCAGGCGTGAAGACTCAGTCAGGAACAACGACAACTCTTCTTTTTTTGGGTCCCTCTTGGAGGGTTTGAATTTGATGGGATGGCTGTTTCAGGAGGTGTGATTGTGGAGTGCCTCGTGGTCGATTCCGATTCTGACAGCTGCATTATTCCGTGACGTTGGGTGGACGTGGTCCGTTCACGTCAGACGGGGGGCTAGCTCGTCGACCGATTTCGACGAGCAATGGCATTGTTCTTCCCTTCGAGCGAGGGCAGTGAAGATCGAAATCAACTCAGAAGGCAGGATAGACCACGGAGCTCTCGGCGTAGTGGACTTTGGCCTGGGATGCAGCTGCTCAGAGACCGAGTACATCCACCCGTCAAGGACCTTCCAGCCCAAAATCGTTATCTATGTCACTTTCCTGGAAGATTCCCAGCCGGTATCTCTCTGGGATATCCACTCGATGGTTTCCTCCGGGCCAGTGGATGTTATCACGGTTCACGACATCATATCGTCGGTCACATATTCTGTCCTGCTTTGATTACCTATAGTCAGCAGTTGCTTGTGATAATTTCAGGGATAGGGTACGCGGACCCCAGGGATTCTGGGAATGAATGTGCAGCCAGATTTGGTTTCTTTGCTCCAATAGATACAGCTAGACAAGTCAGAGTTGCTGGACTTAACATCATGCTTCAGAGGAAGTCTCTTGGCCCGTGTGCTGCTGTTCTTGACGGTATACCCTACCTCTGAATTTTAAGTTGTCTACGCAATGCCAGTATGTCGCTGTGGCATATCAAGCTTGTTATACGGAGTCTCTGCATGGGGTGCTGGTGTCACGTAGGTTCTCACATGATGCAGGTTGTTCTCACGACTCCCTCGAACTCATCGTTATCAGCTAGCGGTTTAGAAGGATATAGTTCGACCCTGAGTAGCGAATGTCTTATTGAGCAATCATTGAGCTGTCCTGCGGTCTGGTCAATGTGACAGATTTGAACCCTGATAGAAACTCTCCGAGACAGTGGACTTGCCTTCGCCATAGCTCCAGAAAAGCCCAATTGAGCGGAGCATATAGTGCTGCTCTTAATGCTTTAGCGTTTGAACTACAAGGACAAGACTGTCCAGGAGGATAGAAAGCCATTTCTGCGCTGCTTGACGCAAAAGCAACGCTTACAGGCAGCACACTCAAGTACACCATAACGAGCGTCTTGCCTCTCGTTCCACGAGGCATGCCTAGCCTAGGATGAGCACGAGATAATGCCATAGGCGGCGCAAGAGAATGATAACGACTAACAAGAGCTCGAGTAAAGCACGTTATGGTCTGTTCACAGCACTCAGCTAATAATAGTCTGTTGCACAAAGCTGAACGTGTCGATTGCAAGGATTTATTACGCGAAATCGTCGTCTTGTTTGTCGTCTCGCAACTTTACGTCCGGATCGATTACGTATGAATGAGATTGAGAGCGAGGTGGTAAACGTAGGTCCGTAATCCAGTTTCCCTAAGGTAGATTTGAGATGAATTATATCACACGGCATCTAAGATAGTCAATCGGATCTGTTTCCTGCTGCATCCTGCTCCTACTTGTGTTGCACAAGTTCATCCAATCCGACAGCGATATGACTTGCATCGACTCCAGTGTAGGCTGCTCGTGCCTTCTCTGTGCGACCACATTGAGACATATCGGATTGGTACTGCAACGGTAGCATGTATCTTAAAACGACATCTACCAGATTTGCTCTGCTCCACTGAAGTCGACAAGTAGGTGCCTTCAAGTGCGGACAGTACCAGAAACACATTCCATGAGCAATCGATATATCTGCTACCCAAGCTGTAGACTGCCGAGTGTGAGAAGCCAAGGTCTGGAGGCCCAGCCAAGGTAGTACATAGTTTCCCACATTTTGGCGGAAATCTGCAGGTATACGGGCACGAGGGCCACGGGTGGCTGGCGACTGACGTGCGTACCTTTCCGAGGGCTGAATAAAATTATATGAAAGCCGGTCAGTGGTGTTCTCTTGAAGGTCAAGCAAAAGAAAAAGAGACGCAGGAGAGAACACTCATCGATCTTTCTTCTCCAGTGCCCTTTCCACGCCACGAGCATGGGCTGGTCATTGTCCTCTCTAACTTCTACCTTGCCCAGTTTCTCCCAATCTCCCTCCGAGGTTGACTCCATAATCGCGGTTATCAAAGGATTTGTCTCTGCACTGAATTCCAAAAACGTCATCGAGTTCGAAAAGTACTGCGTGCGCGCAGGGGGTATGTCGCTATGGCCACCGGCACCCACAACGCCTCGTTTCTGCACGATTGGAGCTTTCGTGGAGCACATTGCAAAAGTCGAAGACGAGATCGACGAGCAGATCTGGGATCCTGAAGTCAAGGTGTACGAGTCGGGGAATCTCGCTACTGTTTGGGCGCCTTCCGAGCCAAAATCAACGGGGTCGTGAACCATGTCGGCGTGGAGCTTTTCGTCCTGCATAAGCTCAATGGCAAATGGAAGGTCACCGGGTTAGCTGATTCGTGTCGCCGTCCGACAGAGGAGGAAAAGATATCTTTGTTCTGAATGGAATGGAATGTGGGATCTCTTGCTGTAACACAGCGAGAAAGGAAGGGAGAAAAAGCCAAGCCAAGAACAGAAGACCACAGCGTGATAAATAAGCTAGGCTATGTATCCAAAACAAAAAGCACGGGTGAGGGTATATATGTGAAGTACCCATGTCTATCTCTGTAATATATATTTAATCCTTCCTGCCTCTAAGAAGCTCCCAACCAACACTTCCATCTGCGCCTTCTTTCACGGTCATTTCCTCAACAGCTTTCACCAAGTCGTAGCATATCTCCTCAGACACAGCACTGTCCTGCTTGTAAGCAGGGTGTTTCGCGACAAATTCGCGGATCCACTTGGCACCGGTCCATAGAGTCCCGTTAGCCCGCTTGCGGATGAAGTCGAGATATCTTGCCAGCGAGCATCGTGTCTCAACATCTACATTGACGCTGTTCAGGTACGACTCGACAAGAGGGATCAGCCCGGGGAAAGTTCCATCAGGAGACCCGTTGATGATGTCGGCAATTGTCATAAGCTGATATTCTGATTCAACAGGGGCAAGAGGCGGCGACGGCGGAGGAGTATAGTACGCAGAGGGTGTGGTTGATGAAGCGTTGCTGCTACTCGACGATTGTTGATGCCTGCGGACCGGTGGAGAAAATGGATCTCTTCGGAAGTAAAACTTCTGATCGAGGACCGCATTGCGCGCGTGTGCCGTCTCCATATTCTCAGTGGTTCTCTGAATTGGGATGTAAAAGTTCAAATCAAAGCTCAAGATTGCTCGGGTGACAAGGACGATGAAGATGGCAAATGCAGCGTTCTCAAAGTCAGTCATTTGAATTTCCATGGACCGAAACTCGACTCTCCAGCCAATATCGTGCTTCTCTGGTGGTGGTGGTTTGAATCGCATGTGCTGCCAGTTTGTCGACTGAAGGTTCTCAAAATGATCGGCCTTGTTCAAGTCAAGTTCCTCGAGGTCTTCCGAGAAAATGACAATTGGGTCACGAATAAAAAGATGTGCGAAATGCGTGGCCAAGAGCTCGTCCATACCATCTTGCATCAGGCGGTTCTTGATGTCTTCGTCCACAATTAGATCTGGATCCAAGTACTCTTTCCGTAACCTGGGGTCTTGCGAGATATAAGTCGAATTCGAAGCGTATCTCGATTTTGGAATCCTCCACCTATCGTTTTTCAAGGGCTATACTGGGTCAGTTGTGCACTATAAAAGCCAAGCGAAACTAGGACTTACAAGCTCGCCAAGCTCCTCCCTCGTGCGGTCATCAACAGCATTGCCGATTTGATTCCATCGAACATCCGTATCCACGAGGAAGCCTTTGTAGATGGGGGTCGCAGCTGTGAGCGCGAGAAGGATCGGCCCTAATGGGCTGAGTTGGTCGTAAAGCTTCCTCCCTTCGGGAATATTTTTGGCTTGGAAGGTAATTTGGAGACAGCAACTGCCCATACCAAAAGCCATTGCGTCCATGTAGACATGGTCGTCCTTTGCAGCTCCATTCCTGACATCATCATCCTCGGGCCAATTGTGAAGATCATAGTCCACAGTTGGGTCTTTGAAAGGCTGAGGAGTGTTTTTATCTCTGAAGACCGGCACATTTAGTTCGACCTTTCGGCCCCTCCGTGCTCTGATATTTGCTGCCAACGTGGGGAATCGAATATGAGGATTTGCAATCTCATCAGGCACAAACTGAGATCGTAGCGCTGGCCCAGATGGCGGATAGTAGGGCTGGATATAATCATCTTTCGTGCCCAGTCTGGGGAAAGTAGTCAAGGTTATAGGGGACTCGTTTGGTGCCATGTGTGCCTTTGCCACTTCTCGCCTAAAAGAGACTTGTTAGCGAGTGTGAGAAAACTTTGGTAATGGAGTATAGTACCTCCATCTCATGTTTGACTCGACCTTTAACAAATCCTTGAAGTCGATTCCCCACGGCCTTCCCGGTGTGGCCTCCAGCATGAAGCGCCCGAACTCAGGGTGAAAGTGAGGTGGTTCCTCGCCCTCACTACCAATCATCAGAAGTTGCACTACATCCCCAAAGCGACAGAACAGACTCACTGTTCCTTATTCTCAGAGTATGTGCATTTCCCTTCTTTCCAGAGCTCTTCATCTCGCGCCAACGATTTGAGAATCTCCGCCTGAGCGAGCGATAGACGGGCCTTTTTGGACGCATCATCCAAGGCTACGACGAGGTATTCGACCTAATATTCAAGAGTGTGTGAGCTTGAGTACTAGAGTTGGCGCAATGGAGGCGGCCACTTACCTCGTCACCCCAAAGAAGAGCATCGCGCTCTTTCCCTTTGGCTCTATGCCAATTCGCTAATAATTGCTGTCCTTTGTTACTTGATGCCCAGGTCCTTGAGCCGCATTGGACTAACCTCAATTCCCCATTTCCGGACCTGGTCCGCTCGTTTTTTAGCCTCCGTCCACTCAAGTGCCGTCCCGAGCGCTCTGCGACAATAGAAGTTAGATTCTCCGTGATTGTTGTGGAGCTCTCTGAAGGTTTCTTGACATACAGTAAACCCATAATGTCATACCCGCAGGCCGGTTGAGAGAGAAGGCAAGGGTTCGCAAAAAGAGAGGAACCGGATAGACCGCGATAGGGTTCAGAAAATGGCCCCGCAGATATGAGCGGTACCCGCGAAGCGTTTCGTAAACCGGCTTCTTCGGAGTCAAGTCAAAACGAGCGAAGGGAGGAGACACAAATAAAGACTGAGACAATGAGACGAGGGACGGACAATGTGATAAATGAGGGACGTGGAGGGGGGGAAAGCGCTGACAAAAACTATCGCCAACTCTATGCCCGTTGAGATTCTCGCCTGTTCTTCGAAGCGCAACAGACCATCCCTAATTGGTGCACGAGGATGCCTTGCACGGTGGGACCAGGTATGCTACGGCGGGGCTATAAATTATTTTATCGGGCGATAACGCAAATAACGCAGTTGGCGGCAGAAAATCTGATGGCTTGCTTGCTAAGCACTGCGGAGATCGCAGGTCATGTGACACATCCCCGTATATCAATGACTTCATGAACGAGGTGTAGTCCACCGCCAATCCCGGAGTTTTGGTTGGTAGGTGCTGCGGACTAGCTCTTAAGCGCTATGCTGATTGTTACAAGCTAGCAGCGGACAAAGGCACATGTTTGAGAGGGCAAATTAGAGTAAACCTATGGCTGAACCTCCTTGGGAGCCTCGTGCAGCGCAAGTATTCGGAGAGCGGACATTGCTAATAGGGCATAGTAAGCAGTATCACATCCGCGGAAGCTTAACCCATGTCAGAAGTACCGAATTACCAAGCTGAAATGCATTTCCTCTCTTTGCAAAAGTACAAGGCATAAAACGTGGCACCCGTCTTCAAAGCCATTGGATATCAACATCACGCACAGTATAAACCCTCAGCGAGTAGTCACAAGGTCGAAGAGAGCCGAATGGTAGCCAGAGTAGAACCGGGTATGGAATAAAGCAGGTAAGGCACCGGAGATCGCAGTGACAGATCAACGCCAACGTAGGCTCGTAGATAAACGATATCCGAATCTCTATTTACATAAATCGCTGTTTCGTGCAGCTCATACGCATATGCTGATATGTTTGTGTTTTCAATGTTGGTATCAATTGCTCCGGGCACCGTTCTTGGCGGCTCGGAGTTCATCCATCTTCGCAACGCGCTTCTTGAATTCCACGTATTGGCACTTCTCGTAGCTGTGTCGTTCGTCCTATATGAATGAAGAAGGGACCCTTGCATTAGCAATGACCAGAGGAGAAGAGCCAATGAGCGTGTAGCTATTGTCATACCTCGCACTTCCACGGGAGATAGTACTCTTGCTGTCGGCAGCGGTTCAAGGGGATCAGAAGATGTGCGCAGGAATCACGGTATTGTAAAGGAAGACGAGCAGCAGACATCTCCTCTCGGGTCGCTAATTCCATTGTCAGCATCCCGTTTCGAGCTGCAAAGGCCGGGCGCTTTTGCTCCCCGGACTAGACGTCAATTGGGCGGAAGACGTACCCTGTGTATCTGCGAGCCCAACGGCACTCTTAACCGACTCGGCGACAGTCATTTTGAGCGGAGGAAGTGGTGCAATTTGGAGTGATTCTTTGGATGTGCCGGCCGGCTTGAGGTTTGCAGCTATTCCGGGAAGGTTGCTTGTTCCTCCTTCGGATGGGGTCATGTGATATCATGTGACTTGACACTCTAACAGGCTTAGCGCATTGAATACCACTTTACGCGGTTGGAGTCCAGAGCGCGTCTTGCCCAGCCAGTCTGCAATCCTCGCGTTTTGACGATATCACTGAGTTCATGACGAGCCACCTGTGGCTGTTCTCGTGATTTTTTCGACGTCCATTATTAATCTGAAATCTTCTAAACTACAGCGCTTCACATTGGTGTTGATGCCTCGAAGAACGTGAATCTAACCGCCCGTTTTCGTCTGAAGAGACGCCCAATACCTCCTTCGCTAGTCCTGTCGGATCGAACCAACCCTACCACATCGGACATCATGGCGGCAGTAGACTTTTCAAATGTCTACTCCGCTACTTATAGCAGTGTAAGCTACTCACAGCTTGTGGGTCCTCAAGCAAACTCCCAAATTTTCGGCCCTTTGTGTTGTGCGAAGCCGAAGTATCAGTCTGACGCCGTTTCTAGGTTCCGGTGTTTGAATTGAAGATTGGCACGGAGAGTGTCATGCGGAGACGGTCCGATGATTGGATCAATGCGACACACATATTAAAAATGGCCGGGTTCGACAAACCGGCGAGAACCCGTATCCTCGAGCGTGAAGTACAAAAAGGAGTCCATGAAAAGGTCCAGGGCGGGTATGGCAAATACCAAGGTATATCTCTCTTAGACATGCATCTTTTGCTCTGTGTCCTAAATTGTTTTCATAGGCACATGGATCCCGCTTCCTGAGGGCCGTATGCTCGCCGAACGTAATAATGTCATCGACAAACTACGGCCGATATTCGACTTTGTCGCTGGCGATCGCAGCCCTCCACCGGCGCCAAAACACACTTCCGCTGCATCGAAGCCGAGAGTCCCAAAAGCCAGCAAGAGAGTCGTGAATGAAGAAGTGTTCACCGCTGCCAAGCCCCATCGAAGCATGGGTCCTCCCAGTTTTCACCACGAGCAGTATGATATCAATGCTGGGTTTGACGAAGACGAGTCTATCGAACAAGCAACACTTGAATCATCGTCGATGATTGCAGATGAGGAGTTCATTTCCATGTCGCATAATGGCACCTACTCCTCAAGGAAACGCAAGCGGGGAATGAACGAAGTTGCTGCCATGTCATTAAGCGAACAGGAACATATCCTTTATGGCGACCAGCTTCTGGATTATTTCATGACTGTCGGGGATGCGCCAGAAGCCACTCGTATTCCTCCTCCACAACCACCGGCTAATTTCCAGGTGGATCGCCCAATCGACGATTCGGGGAATACCGCTCTACACTGGGCCTGTGCAATGGGTGATCTGGAAATTGTCCAAGACTTGCTCCGTAGAGGAGCAGACATCAAAGCGCTGTCTGGCGATGAAGAAACACCGCTAGTACGCGCCATTTTATTCACCAATAACTACGAAAAACGAACGTTTCCAGCACTTTTGGACCTGCTGCTAGACACCATTTCATTCAGGGACTGGTTCGGTGCCACCTTATTCCACCATATAGCACAAACAACGAAGAGCAAAGGAAAATGGAAAAGCTCTCGGTATTACTGCGAAGTGGCACTCGAGCGGCTACGCACTACGTTCACCCCGGAGGAGGTTGATCTGTTGCTTTCCTGCCAGGACTCCAATGGAGATACTGCGGTCCTAATCGCTGCTCGAAACGGAGTCTTTCGCTTAGTCGACGTGCTTTTATCCCGTTGTCCACGAGCCGGTGACTTGGTGAATAAGAAAGGCGAAACTGCTTCAAGCATCATGCAACGAGCACATCCATTAGAAAGAGACCTCCCGCCCGCTCCCTCATCAATTACTATGGGAAATGATCACATAGATGGCGAAATTGGGCTACTTAACAATTCGGAGCCCCCATCTATCACGTTACCACACGACGTCTCACCTGCCACTGCGCAACTGCTTTCACGCATTGGTGTGATCATGACAGAAGCAAACAAGAAGCTTGCTGCAAATTATGGCGGCGCAAAGGCGAGCCAGCAAGACTCAGATGACGTTGCCAATCCAGAGGCACTATATGAGCAACTGGAATTAGATCGACAGAAGATTCAGAAACAAACCGACGCACTGACTGCAAAGGAGGCTGCCGAGGAATCGAGCGATGCGCAGCTCGGGCGGTACGAGCATATGAGAAACAGTTACGAGTCTCTTCTAGAGCGGATTCAGCGAACGCGCTTAAAGGAGCGTCTAACCTCCGCCCCAGTTCCTCCTCCGCCATTAGCCCCATCATCGACTGAGCAGGCCAAACTTATCGCTTCCTTTCAAGCAGCTCGCACATTATGCGCTGAACAGAAAACACGACGTGTTGCGGTGAAGGAGTTGACCCAACAAAGAGCTGATGCTGGCGTCAGCACAAAGTTTGATGTCCATCGCAAACTCGTGGCACTCGCTACAGGTCTCAAAGAAGAGGAGCTGGACCCGATGGCCGCAGAATTGGCGGAAACTCTAGAATTTGACCGAATGAACGGGAAAGGTCCTGGATTCGAGTCCCCAGAGACAGATCATAAAGACGGGGCCATTCAATTCTCAGGCCCGATAGTATCCGTGGATGCATGAATGTGCTCGATTTACGCTGTGATCCTCGCATACCCAACCGCAAACCTGGCTGCGCTCTATAATGTTTCCCCACAATCATCTGGCTTCCCTCATTCTCGAGACTTCGTGAATGATACCAGTGTGTGGGTGGCACTTTTGTTGTTATACCCTCTCTTGTCAGCAGATACCCTGTTCTTTTAATCTCTGCACTGTACTATGTGAGCGGATCTCACTGTTGCACTATCTCTTAGTTGAGAAGACGAAACTTGGCCGTGTTTGGCATAGGCCCATGTGGACGACTATACAATATTTGTGTGACAGGGTTGTAGGAATGACACTGTATATAGGAATTGTCATGAAATAATTCAGGAACCAGTTTACGCTTGTCATTATCTTCTGGAGAGTCCTTGCTGCCAATAACGCCATAATCTTCACCTCACTCCCCGATAATCTACGACAGGAATATCCATCGAAGCAGGGCAAAAGAAGATCCCTCGAATTTCCTGCAAGAATCGCGCTTGTGCTCCCAGAGGGGCAAAAAAAGCAAGTGAGCGGCACCCCAGGAACAGCACACTTGCAGGCCGAGTGCTCCTGTCCGTCAAATCGCCCATCCAAGCTCCCTATTCGCCACCTCTTGTGAGTCAACAGGGCCCAGCCCACTTAGGCCGACAGCAGCCAGTCATGAGGACGGCGGTTCCTGAGCGAATCTTGCAAGAGAAATCCAGTCTCACTGGCGATGAGGGAAGCCACGTTGTTGGGCGCTAGGCCGGGATCCTTAGAACGAGGGCCAATGGTGGTGGCGGATTGGAAACGGATTCAAGACGAGACAGGAGGATTCTGGGGCTGGATTGGCTGGCCCCAGCGGCTGTTCTCTTTGACTGCTGCAGGTGATATTAAGGTGGGTAGGTAAGCTGGTCAAGGGGGTGTGAGGTCAGTGGCTAGGTTAGCTCGGTGTTTGGACTGTGGTGGGATGTGGCGGGAGAGATGGTAGAGAGCCCCTGTTTCAGAATGATGAAGAGATGGTTCGAACAACTTGGGTCTCTGTTGTGAACTCGATATGGCACCCCCAGATTGTCAGTGCACTGTCCAGAGGCGTTGATCCGGGTCACGGGTCACAACATTGGGGTCCTTTGTTTCCAGGCACCTCAGACGAAAATGCAGCGCCCAATCAAATATCTTGAATAGCCCAAAGTGGCTGCTTGGCCCGAGACGCTAGCCATGGCAGGATTAGTGGCTTCTCTGGGAGTTCAGCTAGCAGCCTGAGGTGTCTATGTTGTTGCTGCGTGCCTGGGAGAAAGAGAACCAAAGGGCGAGTGGAAGGATAGAGAGAAGAATGAACAAGGACCCTGAACACGCAAATAGCAAAGATCCAAAAGTGTAGCTGTCAGACCCGATGGTGGAAGAACAGGTTGGGCGATTCAAGCATATTATTAGCAGTCCTTCATTGTGATTAGCGTGACTATTGAACGGCGGGCGAATCTGTTTCGCTGGACCGCCTTTCGCTCTTCTCATCTTCCTTCTCTTCGCTCTCCTACACCTCTTTTACTCTTTTACAACCTCACCCTCCTCCTCTTCTCCCCTCGGGCTCCTACTCCCTTCTCTTCTTTTCTACCCCCCTCACTCGACTTGTTCCGTATAATTCTCCATTTGCTTTCTTTCCACTTCTTTTTCGTTTCTTAATCTATATCATTTCCTTTCCACCCCGACTTTCTTTGCCATCGCAAGCCCTGCCAAAACCCGTTGTTGCTCAAACAAGCTTTCGACTCTTGCCCCTGAAAATTCTAAATCATCGAAAGGCAGCCGAATAGCCTCGAGGTTTTGGTGTGTACCGCGGGAATCAGAAGGAAAAGCTCGGAAAGAGGTAAAACCGTGTGGGAAAAGCGACCAAACGCGCCGAGACCCGAACTGCACCCAACATCCGACCTGACGGTCTCGTGTCATCCGCGTTTTCTCCAATCCCGAACTCTATAGAGCTTTGGGTCGTCGGAAAACACTCGATTGTGTGAGAAGATATAAACCAAAAGTTAAAAGAGCAGAAAGACAGCCCGTCTGTCCGTCCCTTACGGAACACGGAAGCGGCTCTTCATCCATCACGCCCGACTGCTCGCTTGCCGCTCGAGGAACAATCGCTCGAGTTACTCGCGTTTTCGTTTCGAAAGACTCATTTCCAGCTACGTTTGAGGGTTGCGGAGCATCTCTCGGACATATTTCACTATCATCGCCCTTAATCGCCGACCCCGACCGCCCCTGGTCTCGATCACCGCTCAGTCATTGATTGCTGTCGGTCGCGTTCCGCCCTCTATTCTTCACCATTACCACCATCTCAAATACATCACATCAGCTGCATATAGACGCCTACATCCGTTAATCCAGACGCCTGGCTTTTATCTCTTCATCGGCCACCGCTCTCCTTCATCTGCAAGTACGGCTTTCATACCTCGGGCTACACTCGCCATTCGCTAATACATCAAAGGCCAATTTTTCTCCTATCGAGATCGAAGACCAGTGTTGATTTCACTCTTTGAATCATTCAATACTTGTGCCGGTTATTTTTTGGTGATAGTTGTCTATCTCCGAACACAACCCCTAATATCCTAATTGGCGAAAACCCGACGCTCCGTCGCCTCGAATATTGAATCCCATCTCGACTGTTCTATTTCGTCTACTGCACATACAAAGTTTTGATATACCACCATGAGTATGGACGCTGGCGGTCTTGCTCAGATGACCTACAATTCATCTTTCAATAATGGCCCCTCTTTGGGTGCCCCGGGCTCTAGCTTTGGGTCTCGAAGGAAGGGCCCGAACGTCAAGCGTTTGAGTGTGCCACCCCCGCATATTTCGACCATTGACGAATCTCAGCCGACCGTTTCCACTCCGCGGACCAGTCGCTCGCATCTTCTTGCTGGCTTGAGAACTGCCCCAAAGTCTGCCACTGTTCCCTCTGCCAACCAGCGCAGGCAGCACCTGGGTGTGGAGGGAGACCGGTATGGCAACCTGTCCAATCGCACTGCCGAGCGCAACATTCCGCAAACCGCGACGGGAACTGGATTCCCACGACACTCCTTGATGATGAACCAGGGACTCGACACAAACATGAATCGTCCTATGTATACCTTGCCGGAGCAGGTTCTCGCACCCCCGGCTCTTGATTTTCCTAACGACATGCCCATTGACGAGAACCTCTATGCGGAGCTGATGTCTACCAACATGTTTTTGGCTGCTCAGCAGCAGCGCCTGCAACAGCAGCTGCTTAGCGTCACTGCTGCTGCTCAGCAGTTCCAGGGTCTGAGCCTGGGTGTCGGCCTTGGCCAGCAGCAGCAGGACTTCTCCTCGCTGTCTATTCCGACCATGGGGATTTACCAGCAGCAGCTCCAGCAGGGTGTGCAACCGGTGGTTCAACCCGTCGCTGGTCAGCCGGGCCTCTACTCCGTTTACAATCCCCTGACTGGCCAGCTGAATTATGTTTATGACAACAGCATGCAGCAAGATTTGACGCCTCCGTACCAGTCCGAGGAGGAGTATCAGTCCCCACCCCTGCACGTTCCACCTTTCCGCGCCGAGGTTTCACCTCCTCTCGAGTCTGTCAAGTCGCCAGTCAATGTGTCGGATGATGTTTCTTCCATCAGCACTCCTTCTGAGGACGGCATCGCACCTCTGCCTCCTCCATCTGCCAATGCCTTCCGTAGAGCTACTCACAAGAAGAACACGTCTTTTGGTCCCAAGACCGGCATCGACACGAACAAGGCCAACAGCGCTGTCCACGTTACTGGTCCCAAGACTGCCCCGATTGCCACACCAGCAACAGGAACTTTTGGACCAGGCCAGGGTCGTGCTGGCGAGCACCCCGCCCGCCAGCCCAGAGGCCCGCCCTCGCTCGAGGAACTTGTTGCGAAGCCAACCTCGAAGCATGAAGGAAGCAAGAACTTTGCCACTCGTCAGCGTCGACGTGCTGTCCACAACCTGGTGCGTGCAGGAATCGAACGCCGCGCAGACAGCCGAAGCTTGGGTCACAGCAGTGGTGGCACCAACACTCCCGCGAGCGAGAAGGAGTTTACTTTTTCCGACAATGACGATGCTACTGTTCGTAGCGGTGGTAGTCTCTCGAGCAAGCCCAGCTTGGGCAGTCTGCGTGCTGTAGCCAATGGTGCAATCGGCTCTGAGAGGAAGGAGAGATCCTCTCGGGAGCGCAAGTCGCAGGACAGCCCGTTTAACACCACTCCCCTCAGCGAGCGAGACGGGTACTTTGGAGGCAAATTCACGGAGCAACCTTCTCCACCATCCGTGGCTGCTGTCGTCGCTGGCCAGAAGACGGTAGCTCAGGGTACGGAGCGTCGCAAGACCCCCATGCTTGTGCTGTCGAGCGCCGAAAAGCGCAAGACCCCAATCATGTGATGCGAACATCGTACATACATACCTTACTACTATGACCGACACGTAACGGACTTGATTACCATTGGATGATTGTCATTGTTTTTCTTCTTTTCTTCCTCTCTCTCTCCATGTCTAGCTTTTCGAATTTCCTAGCTACATTTCTTACTCAAGAAGCCACCACGATGCTTCCATGCAAGATCATGTCAGCCTGACTGTGCTTTTACAATTATCTGGGATCTCGGGAGCAAACCTCTCCCTCTCTCCCTCTCTTCTATTCTCTTCTCTCTCTAACAAAGTGCTTGGAATTGGAACACTGCAGTCAAGGGCGACCAATTGAAAAGCCTAGGTTTCGACAAGTTCGTCAGATACTTTCCTATAATCCACTGGATGGATGAAGTGTCCTGCCCCATAGTGTTTTCTTAACATCTGGAATTTCATTCTCAATGATTACGCTTGCTGTCTGTAGTAGTCAACTTGGTGGTAGTTCTTTACTCATACTAGTAGCCTACACTGGCTCTACAGGGCCCAGAGGCGTGTAAGCCCTGCAGCCTGCTTCGTATCGCCCAAGCCAATCAATGGAATTCTATTCGTCCTAGTGGAGTTCTTCAGCCCTAGTACTACTACCCTGGATTAGTTATTATCTGAGACACTTGTTTGGACGGGGCATCAACTATCCTGATCAAAACTTCTAGCGCTACAGGAATAGTCTTAACTAATGATATTACTCCTTTTCTCGAGGATATCCCGAAAAGTATTCAGCTGAAAGGCTCTACAAACATGTAGGATCATCGGTGGTGTCTTTTGCATTACATGGTTATTTACTCTCAAGCCAGCCAAACCAGGCAATGACCAGCGTTTTGCTACAATTTCATATTTAGGGTAGTCGTGCTTATGATTCAAGTTGCATAGAACGGGCCAAACGACCATCTTGAACTTAATTCAGACTTAGATTTAAGTACTCGCTTTTTAGTATGCTTGCTCTGTGTGCCGCATTGGGAAATGTAAAAGGTCGATATTATGTGCAGGTTCAAGGGCGGGTGCATATACATATGCGATGTACAAGATACAAGATGGAACGAGAAGAGCGAGAAACGAGCTTATTGCAGAGTAGAGTAGAAAGTAGAACGTATTGAGGTAGTTCTCATATGCTAGGAATTCGCTGTCACGAGGACAGAGCAACTCACTTGGGATGTAGATTTAGAAGACAAACCGGAAGAATAAAACATCATGGCTCTTGGCCGATTGGATTGAAACGACGAGACGAAAGGAAATAGAAAGGGCACATGGTTGGATGCGATATGCAGAGAAAAGTACACTAGACAAGAACCGAGACCGAGAGAAGAGTGAGGTAGGGGCCAGATCCAGCGGATGTGGGTATGATGGTGAAAGTGAGGACTTGAAGGCTCCGAATGATGCTTGCGAACCAACGAGGCTGACATGGGAGGAATGGAATGGATGAGATGGAACAGAAGTGAAGTGGAGGGCTCGCTGAATAACACGACTGGGGACGATCCAGAAGAACACAAATCGCTTCATCGCAGACCGCAAAGGAACAGGAACGGGACAAGCAAGACAAGGCGTAAATACGTCGTCACCGTGTCATCAGGGGAAAGAGCCGATATCAAGTTGATATGAAAGCCAGAGAAAAATCAGAAGCTAAACAGCCCACTCCGTTTCTTCCCCAGCGGATAAACCACCAACGCAGCTAAGAACAAGCCAACTGTGAACCCTATCGCAACCTGGACCATCCCGTACCCGATATCAAAGACGACGCCGCGGAAGGGATTCTGCGATTCTTGAGCTGTCGCGGTCATGTTCATCGCTGCATCCACGAAGCCCTGTGTTCCGTTGCTGACGACGGAGAAAGGTGTCTTCTGGGTTGTTATCTGTTCTGCGGAGGCGATGCCGGAGATCAGAGAGCCCGACGCCGCGAGTCCTGAGGGCACGAGGACGAAGATCGCCGGAAGCATGGCGGCAGCTGCGAAGCCGTGGCGGAGACGGGAGTAGAGGTTTGCTATGGCGCCGATGACGAAAGCACCGAGGGCGGAGGAGACTTGTATGGAGGAGGCGAAGCGTTTTGCAGCAAAGTAGTTGGTCACGTAACCCGCGAATGATATTAGGAGCATCATTGGGAGCTGTTTCCACTTTGATTGGTTGATGGCCGCGAGGCAGAAGGTGAAGACGAGAACGAAGGGGAAGCGTTGAAGGTATTCATTTGTGATGGGGGACGGGGGGCAGGTATAGTCTGAGGAGGCTTGGGAGTCAAGTAGGCCATAGACGGCGGTGCCGATTGTGATTCCAAAGCCGAGGAAGAGGGAGTAGATGATGGCGTAGACCATGCGGACGGAACCAGCAACCATACTGCGCGATTGAAGCTCCAGGCTGGCGCAGAGGACGAGGTATCCGGGCAGGATGAGGGCGATAGAGGACTGGGCAAGGGCAGAGAAGCAGAAGAGGTGGCCGCCTTGGTATCGAATGCTGCCAAAGGCGCGAGCGAGGAAGGAGGTGAGGACGGCCGCGGATATTTCAAAGACATTGGAGTAAAGGTGTGATCTAGGGGCCAGAATAAGCTGTAAGATGCCCAATAGGCAGCCTAGGAGAAAGGCAATGGGCATATCAATAGGACGGGCACCGAATGCAAATGGTCCAACGGACGCGCTGGCAAATCCATGGAGGAGAATGAGGAGCCAGACAGGGTATCTGTCCTTTTTCTTTCCAAGTTCCATCAGCCGTTGAATGGCCTCTTCAACACCGATAACGTCGTGAATAACCTCTTTGTAGATGGTATGAACGTCGGATAACCTGCCCAAGTCCACCCCCTGGTTCACGCGTACGAGTTTGACTTCAGTAGTGTGGGTGGAGGGATCGTCAAAGGAAACGACCATGCAGCCAGGCAGGTATAAGAAACTGGCGCTGATCTCCAGTATGCGAGCCGTCATCTTCATGTACTCCTCCAGTCGATGCGTGGGAGCGCCGTACTTCATCAAAGCTCGGCAAAGGATCAGCAGATAACGCTGACGCTGGAGCAGTTCAGCGATATGGACCGTGATGCGAATCTCATCCTCCAACCCGGGCTTGCCCACGCGCTTGGGCACGCCTGAGACAGCCCCGCTGCTGCGAGAGCGCTTAAGCATCGCAAAGGGCGAGCTAGTAGAGTTTTTGGCGGTCGATCCAGCCAGCGAGGTGCTTGACTGGCTGGGTGATTTCTCATACCACTTGCGTGGCTTTTGGGGGTAACGCCAGCTTGGGTCCGGGGATAGTCCACGGGCACTCAGATCACCAGAGCTACTCTGGCGGGAATGGCCATGCCGGCCGCGAGCTGACGAAATAATCGGTTGATCGTAAAGTTTGAGAAGAGAAGAGAGAATGCCTCCGCGGTACTGGCTTGGCCGTGGGACGTAATCGTCGGGGTCCCTTTCCTCAATAGGGGTGACCTGACCGGAGCGTAGTCCTGGGGACGGAGCACGGATCCGGTTCAGAAGGTTAAAATCTCGGCGAGTCATCTGTTGAACAAGATGGTGAGCTTCGGAGGTACGGTTGTGTGGGAGTCCATCAACTAAACCATAGTGGTCGTCGTCTTCGTCGGAGAGGTAGTCGAAGTGTTTTTCAGGGAGTCTGATCATAGGAATGTCATCACTGTCCTCCAAGGGCTGTGACGCCTCAGTAGGAGTACTTGCAACAGATGACGGCAGACTAGGCCACGGGCTCAGGTTTGGGGATTTTGAGGAACGTCCCAAATGGGAAGCCAGCTTCTGTGCTCTCTCCTGGGCCGAGTAGGCTGAGTGGATGGCCCTCCCCTTCTCATTGTTGAGTTCATCAGCTCCAGCGATCCCCGGGGAGCTATCCCTGGAGTGACCTGTGACAACTGCAGGAAAGCTTGAGCTGATCTCCCCATAGGGAAGTGGGTGGAGCTCGGGACCTGCTCTCTCAGACGCCGGAATGCTAGCGGTTGGCGGTGGCTTCTGCGGCAGGGGGGAGCCCCTTCCATCCCACCGGGGCTGTGGCGTTGATGATAGGGCCGGGCTGACACCCATCCCCGCCTCGCTGACTGTGAATTTGACGCGGTTCGCGCTTTTGAGAATACCTGCATTCCGCGGCTGCTTGCCCTGAGCTCCGCTGGGGTCCATCGACCTCTCAGGCAAGCTCTCATTGGATTTCTGCAGGGGAGATACACGCGGCCCTGGGGGATATCGACCGCCTCCTCCAGATACATCAGTAAGGCTCGAGCGCCGGGAAGAGGAAGATATAGGAAGATCAAAATAACCGCCCGCCATTGTGTTTGACTGTCCTTACGGACTGACGCAGCAAATTTGGAAGCCTTGTGTCACCTTTGGCGATGAGTTACTTTTTTTCTGAATTTTTTATTTTATTTTCCGTATGTTCTGTATTCCGTCAGAGGGTGGCCTTAGGTGTGCGTTGTTCCTGCATAGCAACAAGGTCAGATCGGGGGCTTTTCGCAGAAGATCATGACTGATTTGCAACGAACCTCGTAGATATGTGCCAAGGAAAGACCAACCCAAGGTGAAGGCACGGACTGTATACCTTAATCTCCTGGGCTCAACCACAAGTGGATGGAAGAGTTGGACAGGTGGGTTGGAAGGGGTAAAGGGCCCGCTTCAAGGAATGAAGATACGTCACCGAGACATAGTCAAGGCCCCAGTGGCGGGTAGAAAAACAGAAAGAAGAATATGCAAGATCGATCAAGAGGAGATATGTCAAAGATAAGACAAGTTGAGAGGAGCAGGAGTGAAGGAGTGAAACAGTTATCAATCGGGGGGAAGTATACGGGTTTCCGAAAGCGGAAGCAAGAGCTGGGGAAACAACTGTGGACTTTGCAGGTCAATATTCGAAAACGACGAGTGAAGAAGGGGAAAAGTACGTCACAAAAAGTCTTCTGCTGGACAAAAGATGCCGAGTCAGAATGAGAGACGTTGCGGATAGAGACAGAGGGTCAAGGGCAGATGGAAAGGAGTTGCCCGATCTTGTGTAGCAAGCAAGCTGGGTGTTGCCTTTGCGGAGAGCCTGATTCAAAATATATCTGCTTCCAGCTGTGGGCTCCAGAGTCCTCGGAGGTTGACAGATGCTCGATGGAGTGGGATGCGAGGGGAGACGAAGGAAAAGATTTGTATCAGCGTGGGAGAGCTTGCCACAACAATGGCAGAGACAGGATCAAGAGTCAGCGGGAGCCAGCCAGATGCGAAAGGCAGAGACGGCAGCGACAGAGACAGGAGACGCGATCGATGAGTCGATGGATGATGCGATTTGTGATTCAGGCCCAGAGACCCAGAGGGCATGTGCAGTCGCCATTCTCCATAAGAGAATCCAGGCCCGGCTGGTCTGATAGTGCTGGGTCCATTGAGCTCTCCAAAATAGGAATTAATAATAAATTTGATAGGAAATTCAAAAAGAGATACAACAATCACAGGCAAAAGCTGCACAAAGCTGCATTCAACCCCAGCTCCAGGAGGATGTCTGAACTGGTTTCACGGGCTCTGACGCAGTGCCACCACCACCAGGGAAAACTGGAGAATTACATCAAGCTGAAGGACTGCAAGGTCCGTTTTCCGTGGTTGAGCCCAGTCTCTGGCTGAGGGACAATGTCCTCAGCATCGCGTTATCAATTGATATCCAGAGGAGAGGCAAAAGAAAGTGAGTGGAGTCGATCCGTTCTTTCCTCTTTAGCCTTTTTAGCCCAGCTTAGCTCCCTCTTAGCGCCGCCGAATCACTTGCTCGGCTCAAGAACCAAACTTTCAGGCGTTCCAGAACACTTGCAGGCGCCGCAGTATCAGAAGTCGTGCTCAAAGTAGGTACCTATGTATCGCCAGCTTACGAGTCCTTGCTTCCTGGCTGCCCCTGCTCAATCGTCCCTGACGATCGAAAACAAATAGTCAACCCAAGATTACGTCGCTTGATCCGCGCTGGGGTTCAGAACATGTATGCCTAACGGGGTCTTTTCCCGGCAACAGCCACAAAGCGCCCAACAACGGGGCTGCAACTGCCGACGCTATAGTTCGTATACAAGCTACACTATGTCTGCGTTTCATTTCAATCCCACTTCACAATAGCACGCCGCTTAGCCTGTCTTGGGCGAACAGTCTAGAAGACTGGGCACTGGACAGCAGGCTATGATCTCCTGATTGGGGTTCAATGATTGACATGATTTGCGTGGTGATCCGGAATACCTGTTGACCCACACTGGTACTTTTATCCTGAGGTGCGAGATAACTCCGAAGCTGCCAATCTGGACCAAGCATGAAACTGACAGCCAGCATGAGACCCCAGGAATAGCATCGACATGGACACTTACATCATACATCCAGTCTTAACCATTCTCTGCATATGATGTCAACGACTCTCCCAGTGGCCAAATTGCGCGTTACACCGTCTCCCCCTCTCCGAGGAAGCACGCACGGTCGTCGGCCAGTCTGCATCTGCTGCCAATTGGTAGTATGTCTTCTCCGGAGGTAAGTAAACAGCAACACCGAACCAACCAGGTGACTCCTCCAAAATCCCGACCTCGCACCTCATGGACAGAACAGCCATCATCCACGCTCACCAACCTCCCCTCGACCACCTGAATTCAGTCACTCTCAACGGTTTACCCACAGCTTGTGCAACCCCATTCACGGATGCAGGTCCGCTGCCCAGGAGTGCTGCAATATCCACGGGCGTGGCCGGACATATTGGTTGGTTCAGAGACCCAGCGTGCCGAGGATGACCGTCACACACGCCGCGACGCAGGGACCAATCTTTAATTCTGGCCTGCCTGACGACGTAGCCAGAGCAGCTAGAGACCGTTAGACGTTGCCGGGGAAGAAGGAAAGTTGGGAGATTGGGACTTTCTGTAGCCGTTTTTTGTGGCTTTGGATTGTAACACAGCGGAGTCTCAGGCCTCCGACCCGGCGGGTGTACCCCTGCCGTGCTCCTTTAGCCATTGAGGGTCTATGTCTGGCGTGGTTTGCCTGCTCGCGGGCGAAGGGAATGTCCTTTCGTTTTAGGACTGCCGCCAGTAGTCAGAATGCTCGCACCCGTTCCCCATCCGTCACTTGCAGCTTGCATCGGCGATATCTGGGGAATAGCCCTCGACTCGAAGAAATCGACGTGGTCTAGTCTGGCCCATCCATCTGGCCTCCATGAGGTCGTGGTCTGGAACATGAATCATCGTTACGTGGGATGGGAACAATTTTCCCAGAGAATGGCTTTATTCTCCACGAGGCCGAACCACGCAGCAGCCCTGTTGGCTCGGCTGTCATCCGACGCTTGATGTGGCCCTGTGGCCCAGTGGCCCAGTGGCCCAGTGGGCAGAATAATGAGCCGGAACCATAATTCGGGTCAGAGCTTATTCTAGCCTCTTTTCCCCCTGGCCACTGGCCATTAGGCGTGGCAGCGATTTCCGGTTCTGAGAATTAGAGTCTAGGAGAGTAAAAAGCTCGGATCAGTTCTGCTCAGGGGAATTACCCAGCCGTCAGGTGAATATTTTCCTATTCGCTATTCATTGTCCTGTTCAAAAGTTCTCCTCGGTGAGGAGTAAGGGATAAGTAGAAGCGAGAAACTTGCAAGATCCACCTGCAGCACAGGTTCGGTCGAAGACAGTCGAGATCTCTTTAGATCGGACAGCCAGACCCAGCGAGCGATCAGCTGGACAGTCAAAGACTCACGGTCAGACAGAGCAGCTAAGTGCTCAGTCCGGCCTGCATCAAACAGCTCTCGTTCTTATCGGAATAAAACTCAGTTCGAGCCCCTCGGTTACATTGACCCCACCTTCCAAGTTGGCACTCTGAACGTGATAGCGAAAAGATCATCGAGATATCAGGCTGGCAAGTTATCGCCACTGACTGGTGGAAGACACCTTGAGGAAGGAGCGCCGACAAGAAAAAGAAAAGAGAGAGAGAAATGAAAAAAAGCTTGATTGTGCAGCAGTAGCCGATTTCACATGGAGTATCCCGAGCTTCCTATTGGTGGTTTCTTTATACCTCATACTTAGGTATCCACTTGTCTACAGCATCTATCTCTTTCTCTTCATGTTCGTTGGGCAGATATTCTTCTGCTCTGCCCTGGGGCGGTTCCTTTGTCCATGCTTTGTGTGCCAGTGCTGGTCTAGACACGACCGAACCCAACCTCACTTCAGATTTCCAAGTTCGAGCTTCCAGTCTCCGAGGTTCCTGGTTCCCTTCCTTCAGCTCGGTAGCAATAGCCGCATATCCCAAGCCACTCACTGCCTTCCTCTACACCTCGTGATCTTGGATTTTTTTCCAAGATCTTTCCTTACTTTGATTTTTGGCCCTTGAGTTGAGGCTTGCGCCAATCATCAGCGTTGACTGCCTTCTCCTCCAGGAAGGCAACACGGACCGCGGGATTCGGCCTTTCCATTCCCAAGTCATGGGCGATGCAAGTGCACTGCCCTGCCGGAAGGCTATCTCCCCACGCTTAACTTTCCCTTCGGACTCGGCCCGAAGCAAACGGCGAAGGGCCTAAGGTACATCCGGAAACCAATTGACCAGCCAACTGACCAGAGAAAGACTCGGCCAATCGAGCCGATTCAATCCCACCTTCTATCGCAATCCCACCCCGAACCTCGCCTTGAATATGAATATGAAACGAACCCCCACCCACCAGGTCGTCGATGGCTAAACTACCTAGCATTGGGACGCCGGCTCCGGGAAGGATGGGGGTCGGGTATGGCTCAATTGTGCCTGATGGTTCTGTTTCTGCCCTACGGGATGTGGAGTGCGAAAGGGGTATTTACCTGATAGGCAGTCTGTTAGGAACAGAAGTATCGGGACGAAAGTACTACTTAGTAGTTCTAGTACCATACTTCTTCCCTGATACTCTGGGAAGGGTATGTATAACTATACCATGCATGTGTGTAAGATGTATGGATATGCTACTACTATACACTAGTTCCTCTCTCCCAAGAAAGGCACCACCCATTCACAGGCACTCCAAGTTGAGGTTCATTGAAAGTACGGTATCAGTCCATTAGCTCAGCTAACTATCGTCCTGTCCAATTGCATCCGAGCCTGATCATCCTAATCACATCATACATAGCAGCACCAGCACCAATACCAGCACCGAGACCGACACCTTTGGTACCTGACCTATCATAGTAAACACCCCAACTCCATTGCTTTGCGTTGCATTGCACATGCCTAGAGCAGAATATGAAGCAGAAACACGAAAAGCAGAACTTAACCAACCATGCCGCGGGAATTCGAAAAAAAAAAAACAGACAACGGGTCATGTGTAGTGGCCCGTGGGACTCAAAAAAAAAAAAAAAAGGAAAAGTGAGATCAGTAAGAAAAGGGACAAAGAGGGAGAGAAATTGAGCTAGGGTGGCTGTCCGGCTACAACCGCCTCTCAACGCGACTCAATGCACCCAAGATCGGGCCAAGGTCTTCCTTTGGCCGTGGTCGGAGTGGGACGTCCTTTTGTCCAGCTTGTGCATTCGTATCCCCGTTTCCTTCATCGCTGGTAATGGCGAGTCGACGGAGGGCGTTCCGCGCATCCCGTTCTTCGAGGCGCTCGGCGCAAATGCGGAGCACGCGCGACGAGACGGCGTCGGACATGGAGCGGTAGAGCTCAATGTCATGGACGCCTGCGGCGAGCGAGTCGAGGGTTGGGGCTAGACGGCTGGTTATTCGGGAGAGACGGGTGGATATGCTGGATGGTGTTATTGGGGGTAAGTTCGTGGTGGTTTCGGAGGGTTGGTTGGTTGATTGAGTGCTTTGATATTGCTTTGCCGCCTCGGGGTCTATTGAGGCGAGGATCTGCTGTTGTGAGGGAGCTAATACTGATAGGTTAATGTGGTCGTCTGGCTGCGGCGAGGATTTTGCTTCTGCTCCTGCTTGTGGCTGATCCGCTAATTGTCCGTTCGGCAGTTGTTTTGATGCAGGCCTCAACCTAGGAATTGACGAAGGTCGCAGTAATGCGTTGAGGGCGTGTCTCTCTTTTTGCAGTCTATTCCAGTTAGTATCTCTGATCAAGAAGCCAAAGACGTTACATACTTTTGTATTTGCTCTTCCAATTCTTTGATCTTATCTTGGTTTTGCACGTTCTTTGGATTGACCTTCTTCACGACTACTGTCGGCGGTGTCGTATCTTCTCGTCCAAACCAGTTTGATAGCTCCGAGTTGCTCGAGAATTCCTTGAGTAATTCTTCTTGGATTATGCGCGCTGTATACAATTAGCACCTCTTCCAAGACTATCCAAGAACGCTGTTTGACCATACCAGCTAATCGAGCGCTCTCGTCCTCTGAGCGAGACCCCGATGGCTTATCCCCCATGGCTCGTGTAGCGCACCAAATTAAAAGCTGCCTCATTCTCCGTGGCTCCGGTAACCCGTCCGCGGCGATATGCTTGTAGAAGTCTGACGTATGTACCTGCTTGTGAGGTAAAGCTGCGACTGTTAGCAAGCATCTTTCGAGGTTAAGAGACTCTCTTACCATTCGACGCCCCGGAGTCAATCAAAGAGCTAGCCCTTCGTCCGCGCATGCTGAGACTGCTACGTCTGCTCCCCTTTGACGACTTCTTCCCCCTCATCTCCCTATTCCGCTGTATAACAGGTGTATCCGCCACAGGAAGCGTAATGGTAGATGTCCCCGCCTGCGGCGGCTCCGGAGACACAAATCCATTGCGCTTCTCCTCATGAGATTTGCTGGGCCGGCCTTTTTTGCGCTTCTTTTCCACCGGAACCTTTTCCACTTGCACTTGCTCCACCTCCTCTCGTTTTCGGGTCGACCGTGTACTCCGTTCAGGTTGAGCTTCTGGTTCTGGCGCAGTCTTTGCAGTTCCTCGGGTCTGCCGTTTACCCGTCCCTGTCCCTTCTGTTGAGGATTTCTTCGGCTCCGCTACACTGGTCGATTTCTCCTCCACCCGTTTCTTCGGCGGTCGCCCTCTCTTCGGTGACGGCTGCGGCGCTGGCTCTTCGGGAACCGGCAACTCAGGCTCCTTCGTGGACTTCTGCTTCTTGGTTGTAATGCGCGAGAATTGAAACCCCTCTATATCTTCATCATAAATCCCTGACGCCACGATAATCCCTCATTAGCACCGCATCCTCCCACTTCGCGAATTATCGCGCATTCATCCCCGGAACAGGGATCGAAAACTCACCAGCCTTCCTCTTCTTCTCCCCATTAAGACTCTCCCCCAGTTTCTCCTTCTCCTGCTTATCCAAGCTCGACCGCGTTCTTCTCCCCCCACCTTTCCCGGCCCCACCAGGCGCGGCAGACGGCGCATTGCGCGTCCGCGCCTGGGACGTTGCCATATCAAGTACCCTCAGAGGTTCGCGACGCTTCGTCTGAGTCGTAGAAGTGGCTAGAACAGTGACGGTCATGTCAGGACCGAGCGAGCGCGGCGTTTTCGGTTGTTGGGCGAGACGTAAGGACCACGAAAAGAAGCCGAGCTCCCTCTTCCCACTAGTTGGTTTGTTGGTATTCGAGATTGAAGGTGCGCTCGCGGAGAAGAATATTCCGGTGTGTTTTGCTGTGTTGTTGTTATGTTGCCCGACGAAACAGACCCGATATACGCGGCAACTCAATCAATCGTCGGTTGTCGCTGAATGGCGGAATCACAAAGTCACGCCAGGATACTATCTCTTTCTCGTCGACAAACTCAAAATACCCGGTCGCGACAAGCCAAAGTCCCGTTCCGTGTGCGCGGTTTTGAGCCGTTTGGGGGGCCGTGTGGACGTGTTTGTCGAATCGAATCTCGGTCGCGCTTTCAACCACCCACTCCAGGGGTACCCTCAATTGGCGAGAAGTCGTAAGAATAGCGGTAATAACTCGTGTGTTAGCTGAGCGGGTCGTCAATTGTCGCCCATTGCGCGGCGGCGCACCCAGGTCGGCGTTCAGGATGGGCTTTTGAGGGGGTTTGGGCTCTTGCAAGTGGCCGCCGCAGCACGCGGTTCAAGGTTGTTTTGGTCGTGGCGCGTGGGGAGGGCGCTAGCCGTTTTGGGAAGAGGACTCCCTCCTCAACAAGTTGTACATCATCTATCTAGCAAAAGGACTTATTGAGATAATTATGGAGATTATTTACATCATAGCCAATATGTATGGATTCCGGTTGTCACATGCTAAGCTCATCTATGTATGTATGTATGCATAACTAACAAGACGCGAGTCCGGACATTATTGACACGGACCGAGCTCGAGCAGAAGCACATCTACATCTTGCCGCCCTTATAAACAAATGCATAGCGCCACAAAAAGTTCGTCACCAAATACAAGTACCAATGGTAGAGGATCTACTGTATAGCGGAGGCGTGGGTTGGCGGAGCTAAGCTGCCCTCGATTCTGCGCTTGGCGGCCTGCATCTCTTCGAGACTGACATCCTCGGGCTTTTTGGGCAGATCCGGCTCGAACTGAGGGACGTCAGGGTGGTGGCCCACAGACATACCTACTCGAACCTATAATAGTAAAAGGGGTCACGTCAGAAACTAAAAGCCATGTGTTGGGAGCAGCAAGGGGTGGGTTAGATCTTACCAGAGTTTCTAGAGCTCCCCTTGAATTTTCCACGAGATCGCTGTCGAATTTGATCTTTCCTTCTTCGAATAGCAGAATCAATGTACTGCCGCCGAATTTGAAGTATCCGAGCTCCTCGGCTCTTGACACCTTCTCTCCAGCCTGCCGGGTGATGACGGTGCTTCCAACCATCATGGCACCAACACAGATCACCATCACTCGTCCATGGGCGACTGAGTCGATTGGTACGAGAACCCTCACGTTTTCTCCATACACATCGAGCGCAGACCGAATGGCCATTGGATTCACTGTGTAGTACTCGCCTTCGATGGTCTTCGGAGTGTCCATCACGCCGTCGACAGGGATATGGAACCGATGGTAGTCTTGAGGGGCAAGCCTGAAAACACCCAGCGCTCCGTTCTGGTAGCGTGCAACGTCCTCAGGGTAGGCATCACCAAGAAGCCTCTTGATAGAGAATTCTCTTCCTTTGACCCAGATCGCAGTTGCTTCGCTGATCTTGTCAAATACCACTGCGCGACAATCGGCGGGTGAAACAACAATCCTGGGATCATTTGGAGCAGAGCAAGGGCGGGCATTCGGCTTCAGCGCACGATAGAAGAACTCGTTGAAATTCTTGAATTGATCGAGAGGCAGCAAGACCTCCGACATGTCAAGTTGGTGGAAGTTGATAAAGTCTCGAATCTGACTTGCAGAGGCGGGATCATCGTACTTTTTGCCCTGCTTGATACTTAGGGACTTCAAGATTTTGCGAACTGTGATAGTTAGCGCCATAACAACCGTTTATGTCAAGTGGCTTCTTACTTCTCTTCTTCTCCATATCTCGGCTTTTGAGACCCTTGTACAAAAGTCGGATACCGAGACGAACGTAGACACTCATTCGCTCTTCATTGATTTGCCCAGTGATACGATCCTGGACGAGGATATTGGCCGAGTTCGCACCTAGCTTGTACCCACCGTAGGAAATCTTCGTGATAACTTTGCTATACCATTTGCGTTGCGCCTGGCTTGAGGTCACGAAACCACCCATGACTAGGTTATCTACCTGACGCCAATCCTGACTCGCGCAAGTGGCGATATGTGTAATAATATCGGCGTCAGACCGTTTAGCGAGCCGCGGTTGGTGACATAGAGGGCATTCTCGAAGCTCGATAACATGCTCTTCGCCACGCTCATCGCCGAGGTCGTCTGGATGAAGCTCCTCGTCGACTGTACTCAGCTGATCTGCGGGAGACATTGTCGGGACCGACGTCACCTGCGGATTTGCGTTAATAGCTGGAGTTGTGCTGGTTTCGATACCAAGTTCGTCGCTATCGCTTTCCTGGCTAGCAGTCGATCCAGCCGGGCTAAGCTTCTTGCCTAGTGCCCTTGGATCTTTTTGCAATGATTGGAGGGTCTCCTCAAGACACCATACAACCTGATCAAACGTGAGGAACATGGGATCTGCTGGTCCATTCTCTTCACGGAATCGTTCGAAAAAGCTGTCGATAGTCGACTCCTTTAGGGTCGACCCGAGCGTGTCAAGCATTGTTGTCAACTCGACCTTGTCGATATTACCACTGTCATCAGCATCATATTGTCTCAGCATGAGCCTCCAGAACTGTTGGCGTAGTGCACGGTAAGGCATATATTTCGCTTTGACAACGATGTTGGGAAAGTGTTTGTCCTCCCACCTTTCCTTGTTCTTCAGGGTCAATGGGATCTTGTAGACCTGGAAACCATCTGATTCATAGGAAACCGGTTTTGTGGGACTGGCGGCAGTCGAAACATCTGAGGAGCTGCTGTTTGTACTCTCATCTGGAACAACTAGCGATGGTACTGCCGCTTGGGGTTCCTGTAGTGACAGCCCCGAGAGGGATGTGGTGGAGCTTCTCGACCTGGGCGACGGCCTAGCTTGTTTGGATAAGTTGGACGCCGATGGGGATGGACTAAGCTTGACATTCTTGGCTGGTGGTTGGGTTTCATCCTCCAGGAATCTATACAGGCCTGTCTCTGGATCGGCATCAGGAGCAGCCTGAATGAGGGTCTGGAGGGGAAAGCCAGCAGAAGCCACAAAGTCATTCCCCGAGAATTTGTCCCTGTCCATGACAGTGAAACTCATTGTGTATAACTGTTCATGTTTCATCACTTGGAAAACCATCTTCTCGTTGTATATAGGATTCAGGTTGTGGCGTATGACCGGTGTACGGAGGGTCTTGCGACCAAGCGAAGTCACTACGAATGGATCCATGTCGAAGGAGGTGCGAGTCACTGTGCTGGTTAGTTCTGCACAATTTACATGGGATCGACAGCCTCGTACCGTTTCGCTCCGGTGGGAGATCGGTGACCTTGACAATCTCCATGAACACGATACCCTGCACGCCATTTCCAACACCAGAGAACTGATATGCCCTCTGCGCCAATGACTTGCGTTTCAATCGCTTAAGTCGTAGTCTCCTTCTGCGCTTCTCTACCACCTCCGGCTTTGTAGGATCGTCTGTCTCATCGGACGTTTCTTCTTCAATTCCATCACCAGATTCTTCTAATATTGTGGACGAGGAAACCGAAGGGAAGTAGTCATCTTCTTCTCCGGCGCAGACCAAGGTCTTGAATCGCTGGTATATTTCCGTCGGTGACGCGGTCGGGTTCGCGGGGTCAGACAGGGAGAACTGCAGAAGGATTTCGCCCGATACGTTGCTGTCTTTTCTCTTCCCGGATTTCCGATTCGACTTGAGGGTGTACCATTTTGGCTAACAGAAGACAATTCATGAGCTTCAGGCAACGCAACAGGGAACGATGCCCGGCGACTACTGTGGTACACACCTGCTGCTGTATTTCTCCATCGGCAAATATGTCTTCGAGTGCAATGTCAAACTCGCCTAGGTAATCCTTGCCGAATCTGTCGTGGTCCCAGCAAATGCATTCAAGCAGCGGGACGCCGAGGACCGGCATTTCAAAGGTGACGTTCCATTCCGGATTCAATGTCTTGAATATCGTAGGCGTTGATTGCCTGGAGTCTCCGAGTGTAACTATTAAATACTGCGGGAGGGACCGTTAGCTTCCTGAGTTCACCCATTGCGATAATTTGTCCCCGCCCACTCAATCGCTCTTATAGTCTCAATGCGGATATGGGAATGGCTTACAGGATCGCTGGTTCCTCCTCGGTCCTTTGCGGCAAGATTTCTCCCCTAGTTGGATGCACGAGACAAGTTAGCATGATGCACGACGGTCGGGGATTGAGAAACGCCGCAAAGAGCAACAGATATGCTAAGCGCACACTTACCCGCAAAACAGATACTTTGAGAGCCAGAGGCCGGAGTTCCGGAGACCTCATGGGACTCGTGCTTCTACTCTGACCGGGAGTGGAAGCATTGCTCCTTGTGCTGAGATGGGAGCTGAGACGTTGTGGCAATGGTAGCCGTACCATGATGCTCTCGTCGGGGAGTGCGGGGGAAGACAGACAAGAGGAGTGACGGCGGCCGCGGAAGAAACGCGTCGACCACGGGGACAACCGACACTTGGGAAGAAATTCTGGGGTACAAATGTAAGGAATTGGGGATCGGCAAATATAATTGAGGGAATTTCAGCGGTTGAATTGGCCTGTGCGTGCGGGCTGAAGGCACACCCCAAGGAGGGACAGGTGTCGCGAAGCGGTTGCCTTGGCTGGGCTTGTTAGTGAAGGGCCCGGTCGATCTGAGATCTGCTCGGGTCGATCCAGCTATTCCCACAGAATGGAATCACCGCCTGAGTCTGAGAAGAGAGCTGACTACAATACAACTGCGCGTGGGCAATTTTACAAATGACGAACCAAGGGAAAGAACCTGACAATAATAGGAGGAAGACGGGCGAGGTACGAAATGTGCGGCTGGGATAGAAGTGGGAGGAAATCAAGAGACAGATTCACGCCTCAGCAACGAGACTAGAATCACTCAAATACAGACCCCATATGCATAGATGACTTAGTCCTTTAAATGACAAAACAAGGTGGGGTCGACACAGAGTAATCATTATTCCATTGCTGCCCACGATCCGACTGCTATTTTAACACCCTCAACCAGAGTTCCAACATAGCCCCGGGCAGTGAGTATTTTGTGCCGCATCGATCGTCCTATCAAGTTTTCAGTTTTAGCCCAGATGCGGTTCTGAGCCCTATCTCCCCATTCATAATTTCGTCAGATTATAGCTATGGAACCGTGAGCTTCCGACCTTGGCTCAGGAAGCATCAGGACATGAGGCTGGCCCTGATCCACCGACAACCCCACCAAGACTCCAGGACGGTGCAAGAAGTGGCTGCCTATTCTGCCGAGAAGCAGAGGTGTGGCTAGAGAGCGTACAGCCAGCAAGTATCTGCGTCCTCAGGCTTACAGGACCCTCTCTGCCTGTGATATAATTCGCCCCCACCAAGACACTGTTTTGAGGAGTACTCCGATAAGAATGGACGACGCAAGCGGCAGGAGCATGTGTGTCGTCATGGAAATCCCGCAACAGATTGCCCGTCATCTCCGCCAGCGGGAACTCGGTTACTTGGTGATGATAACTACGAAATAAATTATAGTAGAGTAGTATTTACCGAGAGGTCTAGCAAGTAGTGACTTATGTGCAGGTCTTGTCATGTCTCAGCGCATGTGCCACAGGCGACTAGACTGGGGAGGTGTTGTCCTAGATACAGCCTCAAGGCCGTGGCTCATCCGAGCGTTCATTGTCTGTGTGTTGGTGATCTAGTTGTCTGACCACCCCAAGGAACTTTACAAGTATATAGACAACGGGAATCGATGAAGCACGAGTGCCATGGTGCAATCCTATGGCAGCGCCGAACCTGGGCAGTGTGGCTCAGTATGTCGTAAGGTTCTACCCCACGTCTGCTTTATCACTGATGGACGAATGAACAAAGCTATAGTTAGCTCCTTGCTTGCACTGTCATCCCTGGATGGTCATCCCACTTCGATCGTACATCGTACCCAAATGAAGTTCGCCATCCATACTCCATCTAATTTGTCCCCGCATGTCGAGCTCCTCGAGCATATCATCTCCCACCTGTCCTTTGTTCGCCTGACGTTGGCTTGGCTTGGAGTTAGGGCTGCTGCGTGTCGACGTCGGTTTTAATGCTGTGAAAATGACGTCCCTCGGTCCGACCGGTGACACTAGATTACAGTATATTACTACTAGTAGAAACCACAGAAACAGGAAGAAGAAACGGATTGCCAGCTGGGCAAGGCGTGGGCAAAGTGCATTGCACGGATTTCCCCTGAAATCGGAGAACTCAAGTCAATCAGTCTCTCCTTCGCTGATCCTCCCGACCCCAGACCTCGTCCACACCATCCTTGCCTTTTGTCTCAGGCACCCGCCAGTAAATGAAACCTGCAAAGATCCCGGCCATTGCTGCAAATAGCCAATAAATCTTACCCCGACCGCCCAAAGCATCATTAAGCATGGGGAAAAACTGTGCAACAATAAAGGTGGAGATCCAGTTGGCTGCCAGGGCCCAGCTCTGAGTAGCTCCGACAGCCTCCGGACCAACCAACTCCGAGGCCAAAATAAATGGTACAGGCCCTACCCCAACCGCAAAGGAAGCGACAAAGAGTAGAACAGCGACGGCGGACAGAGCTTTCACGTTGAAATAGATTCCCAGAGCCAGTAGGGTAGAAGTAGAGCCCATACCAGTGATGCTGAGTAGAAGGCAGAATTTTCGACCGATCTTGTCGGGTAGCGGCGAGCAAGCCAGGGTCATGATGAGGTTGATGGCAGATATCACCACAGAAAGAAGGGCTGCCGTGGTGGGTAGAATGCTCTGCAGGAGCGAGACACTGTACATGATGATACTATTGATCCCTGTAAACTGTTGTGCAATCATGATCCCTACAACGGCAATGATAGCCGGGCGATAGTAAGGGTCCGTAAAGACCTGCCCCATTGTCACCGGAGGTTGTTTGGGAGGCAGGTTGCTTGACGGAGGTGAAAGCAGTGATTGCTCTTCTCCAGCCTCGTCTTCAGACCTTGTAGATCCGCTTGAGCCTGCAAGTTCACCGTGAATATCGGCGTCTATCCCGCGGATCCGCTGGAGTACGCGCTTGGCTACATCCTCCTTCTGGTGGTCAGCGAGCCAAATCGGGCTTTCTGGAACCAGAGTGAGACCAAGAAGCTCCAAACCCCCGATTATACCAGCGACTGCCAGTATAATTCTCCACTTACTGCCTTCGCTAAGGAAGTAGCCGAGTGTCTGCGTGATCAGGATACCAACATTGGTCATGACCTGCGTAAAAGCCCCAAAGAATCCCTTCGAATTCGGCGGCGCTATTTCTGAGATGTAAATCGGGCCAACAACGATAGAAGCACCCGAGCCGACTCCTGACAGCATTCTACCAAGGCCTAGCACAGGAATATTGGGCGCAAGTGTTTCAGCCACTGGTCCCAGAATGAAGAAAATGGTCGTCGCGCGCAGAGCAAACAGGCGGCCGTGCTTCGTCGAGACTGGGCCGGCCAGAAGGGCCCCCAAAAGACCTCCAAGGGTGTATATGGACGAAACCAGGCCAAACTGCGAGGGGCTCATAGGAATACATTGCGGTAGGCCCTCGGATATACGGGACGTGGACGTATGGATGCTCTTCCGTTCGCAGGTGATGACAGACTGGGGTGCATTAAGCTCAGCCTGTCGTGACGTCTTGTTAGAAAAAAAAAAGATCAGGCCATAGACCACATTGTTGATTGTATACTCACCAGATGGTAGCCGAACTGTAGTGGACCCAGCGTCGTGATGAACACCAAGTAGATCAGGTATGGGGTGACCTTCGACCGAGCGGTATCACCAGACGCCATGATGTCGGAAATTTTCTGCGTTATGAGCGCCTAATCATGTCCATTGATATTTGGATGTCGGCTTGTTGAATACTGAATATGTCCACGTAAAACAGGGATCAGCTCATGAGCAAGCGTTGGGATGACGTTCGAACTCCGAGGGACTTCGTGTCGGGATTACTAAGTCCGCTTATCAGGGGCCTGTATCGCAACCACTTGTGCAGTAACTCCGTACAGCACATACTGCACACCTGCACATTTCGGACCTGGTCAATTTTGCAAGAGACGTGTTTCATTCCAGTCAGTATAACGCTGTGCCGGAGACACTCATTTGATGCCCACTGTCATATCTCTAACCGAACCGCGGTAGCGTGTTGATATTTGATCTGGCTTACTCGGGAGTACATATACTCGCTGACTAACCGTCCCAAAGAGATGCGCATAGTTACGGGATACGCGTATGCTCAACGACCGCCAACCATCGTGGGCGCTTCTCGCAACTCCCACCTTCCGTCCATCAATCATCATCATTCGAATTACTCCTCCCGCATCGATTGAATAATATGTTTTAGTGGGCTCGCAGTTGCTCCGCGTTGTTTTCCGTCTTCACTGTGCTTCCATGGGCCCCGAGTTGCCCGCTCGGCTCTGATTGATAGCTGACCACCGGCTGCCTCCACCTCCACCAATTTCCAGCCTGCTACTTTTCCTGTGCTCTCTCCATGAGTCTGACAAACCCGCCCTCATCATCCGGTCCATTAACTGCAACTTCCAGGCCCGCAGCGGCCACCGTCAGCCAGAGTCTGTCCCTAAAAAGGAGCCTGCAGGCTACTGTTGAGGGTAATACCGATTATTATTATTATTATTATTATTATTACTTTTACCCCTTTCACTCCCACTTTCATTAGCCCTCTTATCTCTGGGCACATTATTCTTTTCTTGCCACCGGTTCCCTCGTTGCTTGGGCCCCATCAGCATGTCCACAGATTGAGGAGGTCCCTACCGTTTTCTGTCTTATACATGTCCTCTAAAACTCTTGAACGGTTATTTTCGGGTTGCAACAAATAATATACCTGTTGTTCTTTCATCATGCTTGGGAGGAATTTCCCGTTCTTCAACTCTCTCGGCGGGTTTTATCCACGTGGTAATGGCTTTCCCTAGTACTCTCGCATGCCATCAATAGCTCGAGAGGCACCCAACTTTGTTCTGCATTGCTTTTTTGCCGCCAACCATTTTTCTGCATTTATTTCGTCTGGCCCCAAGTTGTTGATGGACGTCTTTTGTCTCTCGAGTTGCAAGCTACTTGGATTACATGATGCTAACGCGGCTCTCACGTAAAGAGAATATAAGCTCGAGGAGACCAACTGGATCTGGATATACCAGTAAGGTCCGTGTGCGGGATAGATACCACATCGTCGGCTTTATTAGTAGTGGTACCTATGGTCGAGTGTACAAGGCCCTTGGTAAAAATGGCCAGAAGGGCGAATTTGCCATCAAAAAGTTAGCACACTTGTCTCTTCTCTGTATCGAGTACTGACTTGCTGTATAGATTCAAGCCTGACAAGGAGGGTGAAATTGTCCAGTATACAGGGCTGTCACAGTCGGCCATCCGAGAGATGGCTCTCTGTTCGGAACTCGACCATGCTAACGTAGTGCAACTGGCGGAGATTATCCTGGAAGACAAGTGTATCTTCATGGTTTTCGAATATACGGAACATGACTTGCTTCAGATAATTCACCATCACACTCAGCCGCAAAGGCACCCTATCCCGGCGTCCATGGTGAGGTCAATTCTCTTCCAACTCCTTAACGGCTTATTATACCTCCATACGAATTGGGTCTTGCACCGAGACCTGAAGCCGGCGAACATCTTGGTGACATCAAGTGGCGCCATCCGCGTTGGAGATTTAGGGCTTGCCCGCTTATTCTACAAACCTTTGAATTCGCTCTTCTCAGGTGACAAGGTGGTTGTTACGATATGGTACCGTGCCCCCGAACTGCTAATGGGCAGTCGACATTATACGCCCGCCGTCGATTTGTGGGCCGTCGGCTGCATCTTTGCTGAGCTGCTCTCGCTGCGGCCGATCTTCAAGGGAGAAGAAGCCAAAATGGATAGTAAAAAGACCGTCCCATTCCAGCGCAACCAAATGATGAAGATCATCGACATCATGGGCTTACCAAACAGAGAGAATTGGCCTGGACTCGCCGCAATGCCTGAATTCTCCCAGCTCCACTCTTTGACAGCGACTCGCGGGCCCAACCACTTCAGCAAATCGTCAAACCTAGAAAGCTGGTACCAGAACTGTCTGAAGAATGGCGGATACTCAGCCGCCTCTAGCGTGGGGACACCCGGAGAGGACGGCTACGATCTACTATCACGGCTACTCGAATACGACCCGACGAAACGCATAACCGCAAGCGAAGCCCTAGAGCATCCGTACTTCAAGAATGGCGGACCGATACCCGCCAACTGCTTTGAAGGATTCGAGGGTAAATACCCGCACCGCCGCGTTACCCAGGACGATAACGATATCCGGACCGGAAGCCTCCCTGGGACGAAGCGGAGTGGTCTCCCTGATGATAGCCTAATGGGCCGGGCGACAAAGCGGATGAAGGAGTGATCAAGGAGCGGTTATCGATTACATACCGGGTGTGTCGTCCACAGTCTACCCGCAATAACGGCATTGGCTTTTTGCATACGGAGTTGTGAGTCTGAAATGTTTATGGCTTAGCATTTTGGTTCCGGAGATTGTCACTTTCTGTTGGAGTTTGTTTATTCTTATTCCGATGTTCATATGTGTTTGTATGTCAACCATTTCCCATCTCTTTTGCAGTATCCTGGAGGTACTCGAAGGGCTAGACATAGAGCAATCGGTAACATATTACCATTACACACTACGAATAACCCGGCCACGTCAATCCTACTGAAACCGATACATGTCTAGCTTCAGACATTCGCACTGATTTGTTTTGACCTACATAATGTTGGGGATATCTCGAGTTCCTTGCCTTGTCTGCTTGATCTGGCTGTTTGGGAAGCTACCAGTACTGTAGCTGCGCCTAAATTGAGGACGCGTGCTGAAGGCGAAGGAAGTAGCCAGATATGGGTATTATCCAGCCAGATTTTCATTAATATGTGAAATTATGCTGCGCCTCGGTTAGAAATTCATCGTGATTAAGTTAAGGCTCGTCCAAGCCTCGAGAATCAACCAAGGCTGTCAATAGAGTGTCAATCACATCTCAGTAACCTAGTCCATGTCAGCCATACGTCTGGAAAGAACACAAATAGATACTAAGACCACATACCGCTCTGCTCCCTCCTCCCATCATCCCCACCATCACCACCACTCCCTGACGCCGAAGCCCTCCCAGCTGCATCCTTAATATGTTGCTCATCCCCCCTCAGCTTCTCAAAGTAAGCCTTGATATCGTCCGCTCCGACAGCCGTGCCGCTCTCTGCGAAGGGCTTGAGAAACTCTTTTACTTTATCGCGGAGATGATTGTAAACCATTGCGCCCTCGATAGCGCGCACTCTGTCGACGTTGGAGAGCGCTGCCTCGCCGCGGTCGAGGAGGCTTCCGGTCCCTGTGCTTCTCGCACCGTCGCCGTCACCGTCCTCTGAGAGAGGTGGTTCGTAGGTCTCTTCTTCCTCGCGGAGTTGCGGGTGCGGAGCGAGGTTGGGGTAGCAGGAGGGGCAGCGGCAGAAGTGCTCGCGGAAGTCGGAGTCTTTGAAGAAGAGGGAGAAGGGGGCTGAGGGGGTAGTTGTTGGGAGTGATTCGTGCTTGTGTTTCTTTTCTGGGGTGATCTGGGGTGTTTCGGAGGTGGGTGGTACTGTTGTGTCTGAGGTTTCTTCTTTAGGTCGTTTTGAGGCGGGCTCGGTGTTGTTGCTGTCTTCATCATCGTCCTCTGCCTTGCGTTTCTTGGGGCTGTTGATGGACTGCTCCTCTGGAGAGGCTGCTGGAGGCTCCGCGGCGGGTGGGTTCTCGTCCTTCACTACCGTCTGTAGCCCTCCGTCCTTGAGAACGGGAGGAAGGAATCCTGGTGTCCCAGCGTATTTCTTCAGCCAAGGATTGGACTCGACGCACTTGTAGCACAGGAAGGTCTCGAAGTCATCCTCAGCAGGAAAGTTTGGAGGTAGTGGTAATTCACCCTCTTCCTCCTCTTGTTCAATGTGGTTACCGTTCTCAGTGTTTTCAGCCTTCTCCGTCTTCTTCGAATTCTTGTACCAGTCGCGTGGGAGACCGATAAGGCATTCTGGATGCCACCAGTCTTCACCACAGCCACCAGTCTCGACTGTTCCTAGGCCAAGACACTGAAACATGGTGCCCTTTTCCTCATCCGCATTATAGTCCTCGCCACAGCCGCAAAACTTGTTCTTGAAGTTATCATTGTATCGATTGCCGGGGTGCGGCTCCTCTGACCGAGCACCTTTTGCGCCAGTCTTCGAATCGGATCGGAGGGTGCACGGGGTGGATGAAGTGATTCGAGTCGTTCCGCAGTCGCAAACAAAGTTGCGTTTGTTAAAGAGTTCGACAAGCGTGTGCTCGCCATGGCAGGAGATAGAGCAGGAATAACACACGCCGGCCGCAGTGAAGCGCGCATCGGGTGTCGCAGGGGTTGGATTGCAGGTTAGGCAGGCGAAGAGACTCTGCCGTAGGGGGCCCAGGTTCTGTGTACACGAGTTGAAGGACTGCAGGCATTAGTGTTATTCTGTTGCGGCGAACGTAGGAAGGGGGTGTACATAGGGAAGGACTTCGCGGGCATCGGCCTCCAGGCGCATCTGAGATTCAATGAACCTGCAAGAGACAACGTATTAGGATCAAGACGATCATATGGGCGCAGCATGTGTCAATGCGCCCTATATGTAATGGCAAATTGATCACTCACTCCTTAGCAGTCTGAGAGTTCTGGGAGCTGCAGCTGGGACGGCGCTCAATGCCATGTCCGTTCCGTCCGGACGCAATCGTCGATGGTTCGGTATTCTCAGGACCGCTCATATTTCTCAACAGTGGTCGCAATGTGACAGCGAATTCAACCTAAGAGTACGGGCGATTTCCTTGAAGAGAGAGCTGGATGTTTGATGGATGGTTTGCACGAACCTTGATCCCTGATCAACTCGTCGGTAACGCGGTGACGCGAGGCACTTTAAGTGTTTGTCCTGTTTGCACCTCTGTCGCTAACGCTGTTGCTCGCCACCACTTTGACTGTACTTGATAGGTTGGTTGCTTAGTCTATTGAAATTAGTATCTGAAAACTGAAAGTCAGAGGATTCTGATCTCAATCACAGACAATGTGGGCTTCAACGGCGGGTCCAGTGTTGTTCAGCTTGAAGTTTTCCGTAGGCCTGTAACAAGCACACCAAACAGAGAAAAAGGTACAAGCCCTGCCTCTCTTCCAGTGGATCATGAAAGTGTTACATAGGTTCTCGATTCTGTGGTTCACATCATAGCAAACCTGGTTCAAGTGTGGCGAAAAGAGATATGTCCAAATCAGGTATAATTGACAAAACGCGTTCCATCGCGTCTTGACGCGTCTTGACCGCGATTCACAACGCCAAGCAAAGTTGCTCCCTTCTTTCGATCTCTCCTCAGCCAGCGAAAAAAACAGCTTTGACAGTGCCAATTGCTTCACTTTGTGCATTTTTCATAGTGACTTAGCACTACAACACAGACACAGACACAATGAGGTATGACCTACTATCTACTTATACTTGCTTTTCCTCAATCATCGCTTTTCATTAACTGTATGCCAGTTCACCCCTCCGTCCTAGCACAACCGCTGCGAACCGCGGCCTAGGAAACCTAGGTCGGCGTAAGAGATCCAGAGAGCCCGATGATGATGCTTCATCCGTGGTTCCTCCCTCGAGCCGTGAGTTTATCAAACCCAAATATGGATGGCCCTAACTGACATTAACTAGCTCCCCCTTCCTCCCCTCCTATGCTGCCTTTCGACGACGAAGATGAGCGAGATGAGGAAGCAGAACTAGACATTGACGATATCGAGGAGATGGCAGAAGATGAGGATGGAATTGATCTTTTTGGCGACACATTTGACAGAGATTACCGGAGCCAGAAGGATGACCGGTACAGCGGAAGATACATTGATGATGACGAGGATCAGGAAGAGCTTGATATTGGTGCGCGTCGTGAACTAGATGCTCGCTTGGATAGGCGAGACCGTGAACTGGCGCGGCGCCGTCGGATGCCTGCGGCTTTTATCCAAGATGACGAAGATGGCGACATCGACCTGACTACACAGCCACGCCGCCGAAGGCACCACTACGATGAAGACCGCGATGATATTGAGATGGTCGACGATGGACTCGAAGAACTGAGCTTGGAAGAATTGGTCGATATCAAGTCTTCTAACATTACAGATTGGGTGACACAGCCCCAAGTGCTTCGCTCTATCTATCGAGAGTTCAAAGCCTTCCTGACAGAGTTTACCGACCGCACCGGTAGCTCGGTTTACGGAAACAAAATCAAGACGCTCGGTGAGGTCAACTCCGCCTCTCTTGAGGTCTCATACAGCCATCTGAGCAGCACCAAAGCCGTCCTCGGCTACTTCCTTGCCAACGAACCCACTGAGGTTCTCAAGGTCTTCGACCAGGTCGCCCTAGATGTCACCTTGTTCCACTACCCGCAATACCACGATATTCACAACGAGATCCACGTCCGAATTACTGATCTGCCAATCGTTTACACTCTCCGCCAACTTCGCCAGTCGCATTTGAACTGCCTTGTCCGTGTTAATGGAGTCGTCACCCGCCGGACGGGTGTCTTCCCACAGCTCAAGTATGTCATGTTCATCTGCGGAAAGTGCAACATCACGCTGGGTCCCTTCCAGCAAGAGAGCGCTTCTGAAGTCAAGATCTCGTACTGCCAGAACTGTCAGTCCAGGGGGCCTTTTACCGTCAACTCGGAGAAGACAGTCTACCGGAACTACCAGAAGTTGACGTTACAAGAATCTCCCGGATCCGTGCCTGCTGGTCGTCTCCCCAGACAGCGAGAGGTCATCTTGCTTGCGGATCTTATCGACACAGCCAAGCCGGGTGACGAGATTGAGGTAACGGGTATCTACCGCAACAGCTATGATGCGCAGCTCAACAACAAGAACGGATTCCCCGTCTTCGCCACCATCATCGAAGCTAACCACGTCGTCAAGTCGCACGACCAGCAGGCTGGTTTCCACTTGACGGAAGAAGATGAGCGTGAGATCCGCAACCTGTCTCGCGATCCTGATATTGTCGAGAAGATCATTTGCTCAATCGCCCCCAGTATCTATGGCCACCAAGACGTCAAGACGGCTGTTGCTCTCTCTTTGTTTGGCGGAGTCCGAAAGGAAGCGCAGGGAAAGATGTCCATCCGTGGAGATATCAACGTCCTCCTTCTCGGTGACCCTGGTACCGCCAAGTCTCAAATCCTTAAGTACGTCGAGAAGTCCGCGCACCGTGCAGTCTTTGCCACCGGTCAAGGAGCCAGTGCCGTCGGCCTGACAGCCAGCGTCCGCCGCGACCCTCTAACTAGCGAATGGACGCTGGAAGGAGGTGCCCTTGTGTTAGCGGACCGCGGTACCTGCCTCATTGACGAATTCGACAAGATGAACGACCAAGACCGCACATCTATCCACGAAGCCATGGAACAACAGACCATCTCCATCTCCAAGGCCGGTATCGTGACAACCCTGCAAGCCCGTTGTGCCGTCGTCGCCGCCGCCAACCCTATCGGCGGCCGCTACAACAGCAGCGCCCCCTTCTCTCAAAACGTCCAACTCACCGAACCCATTCTCTCCCGTTTCGATATCCTCTGCGTCGTCCGCGATCTCGTTGACCCCAGCGAAGATGAGCGCCTCGCCAGCTTCGTCATTGAATCCCATCACCGCGCAAACCCCACGAAACCCATGCGCGATGAACACGGCAACCTCATCAACGCCGACGGCGAGCGCATCGACGAAGAGGGCTACCGCGTCAACGACGACGGCGCCCGTCTCCCACTCCGCCCCGAGGAAGCCGAAGCCCGCGACGCAGCAAAGGACAAGGAGGACGAAGAGAAAGAGGGCGAAATCCCGCAGGAGCTTCTCCGAAAGTATATCCTCTACGCCCGCGAGCACTGCCACCCGAAACTCTACCAGATCGACCAGGACAAGGTCGCCCGCCTCTTCGCTGACATGCGTCGCGAGTCCCTGGCCACGGGCGCCTACCCGATTACCGTCCGTCACCTCGAAGCCATCATGCGTATCGCGGAAGCGTTCTGCAAGATGCGTCTGTCGGAGTACTGCTCCGCCCAGGATATCGATCGCGCCATTGCTGTCACTGTCGACTCGTTCATCGGAAGCCAGAAGATCAGCTGCAAGAAGGCTCTTTCAAGAGCTTTTGCCAAGTACGCCCAGCCCCTTCTCCACTGACCTAATCTCCCCATTGGAAACGGTAACTAACAAAGTAACAGATACACCCTCTCCAGACCCAAGCCGCAATCCAAGCGCCGAGCAGGTATCCCAGCACCCAACCCCTATGGCCGCGTTGGTCAAGCTGCGAGATAAATCTCAGGCTAAGCTGGCATTCACGTTTTCCTATCTACTTACGGCACGCACGGCATGGGCATTGATGAAGTACACTCTGAATTCTTTGAATTCTTTTTTTCCCTACATACTTTTTTTGCGAATCGTTCGATTTGAGTTGATACACTACATACGCGTTGATTATTGAGATATCTTCTTGCCAACTGTCTGGCACACTTCCTCCATCTGGTATGAGGCAGAGTAGACAGTGACAGGACAGGTATAGGTGTGAAATGGGGCTGCGAGGTACAGGGTGGTGGGCTAAACGCTCGAACTGAATATTTTTTTGTCGACTTGGTTATGAAATGGGAACGGTGTTCATTTGTTCAAATCCTTTTTCTCGTCGTTGGTTTTGTTCTTCAAGGTGTTTATGAATGTTCGAGTTTTACGGTCATTCCATGGTTCTAGAGTCTACATAATCGATAAATTCAAATGGGCTACATACTCTTTACTACGAGTTTACAAACCAATGACTGGAAGTTGACTGAAGAGGGGCTCGAGTAGAAGATATAATAGAGATAGGCCGGCGTGTTTGCCACTCCTTGTTCAGAGCAAGTCTATGTCTGCTCAGAGAATATGGTTGTCATCAAATCGATGCTATTCAGAGATTACCTAGGAATCCACAAAACAGATGGGATCAATACAAGGTGAGAAACAAGTAAGACCGGCTCATACCGATTCCCAACCAACCAGAAGCAAGTCAAGTCAAGCCAGATATCAAACGCCCAATCCTCCGGCATCCAGTGCGTTTAAAACGTGCAAGAGAAAACATCGAAGGAGAAAGAGAAGAGAAAGAAAGGAGACAATATCCACCAATATAAGAGATATCCCTCCCAAATCTTGCTGGCCTGTAGACCGTAGGCGAGTAAGTGTGCATGATGGGTTTCCGTGAGCTATCTAGATAGCCTCTGGAAACCGTGACGCTGTAATTCTCGCCTCCGAAGCGTCTTGCCAATGGTTGTACGACACACAGTGAGCTAACACTGTTAGCAAGTCTCAAAGTGCGGCTGGATTATTGCTGTGCGAAGTTCTCGTGGCAGGTTCAAAAGGCCTATCCGACGGTACTTTTTGGCGACTAGCGGACAGGCGACGTAGCTAGCGGTTCGAGAGATATGATCAAAGCGCTCAGTCATCGGTAGCTCGCCTCCTGGGCTGGGGTTTCCGTAGACTCTTCATTCGATTAATGAAGCCACCTCCCCCTGTATTCTTTCCCTCCTCCAAGCCCGGGTTGGTTCGTTCACTTGTTTGTCTTCGTTCTAGGGATGCTGCAGTAGCCTGCTTGGGGCTGCTGGACGAACGTTCCCGGCCCACTTCAGGAACAGTGCGTGATTCCTCGGCAGAATTGATACGGGCGGCCTTCTGATCCCATGCATCGTCGTAATCCTGGAAGAACGGGTTTTTCTCGTTGCGCGGGGACGTCATGTTACCTGAGGCGCTTCCAGGGGAACGATAGCCAGCGTGAGGAGAGATTCGGGGAGCAGGACGGTTGATTCCACCACGGATTCTCTGAGCCAAGCTCTTCTTGCGCGCCAGACCACCAGCGCCGAGGCTAGTTTGCTCCGTTTCAGCCTCTTTTAGAGCTGCGCGGCTGGCAGGAGTGCCGTCGAGAAAGGTGCTGGTGCCCAGACCCATGCTCTCTGCGCCGTGAACTGGCTCGATCCGGGAAGTTGGATCAAATGCTACTCCTTCAGCCTTTCGGTTATCTGCCACACCCGTGGAAGCGAAATCATTATATCCTTCCTCCGTGCGGCCGTGAAACAAATTGAGATCGATATTCTGATTGTTGGGTCCGGCGCCACCCAGTGCCATGTTACTCGAGTCCTTGGGGAACGCCTGGAGCGGAGCGGCGCGGAGGCCCTTTCGGTTACGATGGGGGTTGCAGGCATCGAAGGGGCCGTCGTGGTGGAACACTAGGAAGTTTGGTCTCAGCACTATAGGCTTTAGGGGGCTTCTGCAATGCTTACTTCCGGTTCCATAAATGCTAGTCACATCCAACTTGTCAATGATATCCAGCTGATACCCAGGCTTCCGGGAAGATCGGGATTTGCCATCTTTGTGACGTGCCTCGCGCTCGCGTCGGCGCCTTTCACGCCGCCGCCGCTCGTCTTCGTCATCTAGAAGCTTTGGGGTCCGCTCCATCACGGAAGATTCGGAGTTCCGGCGCGGCCGTCGCTCTCGATCTCGAGATCTCGAACCCGAACCACTGGGCTTAGCTTTGCTTGGAGGATCGCTGAAAATATTGAAAGGGTCATTAGAACGGCCTTCGGGACGTTCCTTGGACGAGCGCGGCGGGCGAGACTTCAAAGGTCCATTCTGCGAAGGCTTCTCCGGGCGTGGTGGTGCTGGTCGCATCCCACTGGCTTTGGGAGCGGGGTTCAAGGAGAGGTTTTCCTGTTGTCCAGAAGAACGCGATCGGTCAGAATACTCCCCTAAACATAACCTGATAGAATAAGGAACATACAAAGAGGTCGCGCGTGTTCTGCGTCATGTCTTGTTGGTCAATCAAGGAGGCACTGGGAGCTGACTGCGGTGAAATAGGATCGGTGTCGTCAAGAAAGGGGTTTGTCGACTTTGGCCGTTCCGGTTGTCCGCCTGAATGCGTAGAGCTCGAGGGAGAAAGAGTGCGAGTACGAAAGGGGTTATTGGAGCCCAGGTTAACCGGCAACCCAGGAGCGTTCTGACGAACAGGAGAGGCTATAAATAACCCAAAAAAGACAATGTTAGCAAAGTGAAAGAGAGCAACAGGAACTGGCAATGGCTCGACTCAAATACAACACAGGCGAATAAGGGTTATCGCAATCCTACGTCAGGCAGGGCCCGCCCATTGACATGAAACAGGTCTCGGGAGATTATCATGAACAACACTGGACAGTCCAAGAGGACAAGGAAGAGATATCAAACGGATGACGCACCTTGCGGGCCCAGCGAGACGCCGGGCGAGTAGTTGTAAGAAAGAGTCGTTTGTTGAGAGGCCATTCTGGCAAGCTTGCGCAAGGCAGCGATGAAATCAAGGATCAAGGACGGCTCGAGCGGAACGATTGGAGAGCGAAAGGATATCTCATCAAAAGCAAAGATCAAGTCCAGAGGGGTTCAGAATGGAACCACAAGAATCTCGAGAGCAAATGGGCAAGGAGAATGACGAGTCGGCGGCAACGTGCCTGAGCCCAAAAGTTGCTGAAACAGCGATGCCGCGGATAATGGTCAGGGGTGCCGACGATTGGGGGGGGTGATTAAAGCAAGAGTGGCCAAACCAGCGGAGGAGTGGGGTGAGAACTTTGATGTATGAACACACGAGGTAATTTGCTGGCTTGTTAGGAGATTATTTTTTTTTTTCCCTTCCTACTATTAACAAGAAGAAAAAGAAAGGAGCAGAGTGCGGAGGAGGGGAGAACAGAGGATTGTCGGGGGAGGCAGAAGGCGGAAGACTAGCAGAGAAGCTGGTCGCAAGGAGAATAATGAATGCTCGACGGTGCCAATCACGGGAGGGCTTGGGAACGAGGGAACCCCTTGACGACAAGACAAAGCGATTGAACGGAGACGACGAAGCAGGAGCGATCGTCAGCGGAAAAGAGGCGAAAGGGGGGAAGACGAGCGCGGCGCGATCTCGTGATTCCTTTAAAACAGAGAACGAAATCACAAGAGATCGTCCCCTTCCACGCAATTGCCGACCCGACCCAGGATTTATCAGCGTCGAGCTACGGAGTCGTCAAGTTTCGCCTCTGTCACCGTTGACTGTGACGATTACTTCACATTCAAAGTTCAGCCTTCTCCAGGTCCAGGTCCAGGATCCAGAACAACGGTCGTCTCTCCACTCGACCAACCGGTCTTCAGGCTAACGCTCCCGCGAGCATAAGCAATTGTCGCCTGAGGCTGTCAACTGATATCATCTCCTGGCACACTCTTCAGAGGCATGTACGTCAGTACATTCCACACTCTCACGATGATATCACCGCCATATTAATAGAGAGCGAGCTTAGAACTCAATTACTCTGTTGAAAGACTGGCGTCCTCCGTCACCAGCCACTGGAATGCAGGCAACCAAGCGAGCAAGCGAACATCACCATCGGCACTCGACGCAAACATCTCCCCAAAAGCTAAAATAGCCACCCCACTGATCACTCACAACCGCACAGTCAAATCCTGTTCCTGGCACCTCATACAGCTCGAAATATGTACACAACCGCGTGTGCGACATTCCCAGATCCTGAATCTTGCTGCTTTGAATTTCCTCCCCCTCTCGTCTGTCATCTCAACCCCAACCATCGATCGGCATTTTCAAGACGAGCTGCGACTGCCTTCCATTCAGCCCAGGGATTGTCCCTGATTTAACCGGATATGGTATTTGTTCATCCCCGCCCGCCACAGATTTCATCGACCATGGGACACGACGGACCGCAGTGCAGCGTGCCTGACGTGTTGGCTGGTGCACTGGAATGTTGCGCTTTTCTTGGCGACGTTGCTTGCTTGACTGAAACTGCATGCGCTTTGATCTCGATGCTAACAAGGTTCTATTCGTTCTCATAACGTGTCACACTCTGCTCCCTCCAACAGTCGCAACATACATTCTGCGACTTTTACCAACGCTTCAGCAGGAAAAACAGTGCGACATTACAAGTGTAGGAAAAAGGAAATTGATTGATACTAATATGTATATCGAAGGTAATGTTCAGTCTCGACAGTCAGGTCCGCCGAAAGCTGAAAGGAAATGTGGTAAAAAAGAATTGTTCGACTTCTACTCATTGAAACACCTTAGTATTTGGGGCTGCAGTGACCCTCCTCACCATCGTGGGCTCCGCCCTTGGTCTCAGCCAGGCCGAGACACTCGGCGATCTTGAAGAAGATGTCGTTGGAGTTGTAGACTCCGCCGAAGAGCTCCTGGCAAGGACCCTGGGCGAACACAGGGACATCAGTCAGGGAGTGGACACCCTGGTTGGCATCAGGAGCGAGGGTTCCGTTGATGAGGAAACCAGAGACCGCGTCCTTGTAGCTGGCGTAGTAACCATCAGCACCGGCCTCGGCGGGAGTGCGAGGGCCGTCCTTGTGGACCTTGTAGTTCTCGCGGTGGTCAGGGAAGGCGACGGTGCCGGCGTGGAGGGCGTAGCGGGGATCCCAGCGGGCGGGGAAATGGACACCCTCGGAGTAGCGAAGAGCGTTGGATCCCTCAACAGTGTATTGTGAAAGACCAGAGTTCTGGTAAATACCAATGGCGCGGCGCTTGTCACGGTCGTCCTCTTGCTCCTCGAGGTAGACGGTGTCGACAGCACCAGTGACATCGAAACCGTGACCGTGGTCAGCAGTGACGAGGACCAGGGTGTCCTCGAGGACACCGAGCTCCTCGAGCCTCTTGACGGTGGCCTTGACCGTGTCGTCGAGCTCAAGAAGCTCACCAAGGGAGCGGTCGTAGTCAAGGGTATGCATCTGCTTGTCAATGCTGGCGGCCTCAGCCATCAGGAACCAACCCTCATCGCGGCGACGGGTGTCGAGGATGTCAATGGCCTTGACGGTCATGTCCTTGAGACCGGGGAGGTCCAGGGCGTCTTCACCAGAGCCGGAGGGGTGGTTGCCCAGCTCCTTGAGGTTGTCCTGGTAGACGTTGCGGTCAAGCCAGGTGGGCAGGTTGGACACGGCGAACAAACCGAGGGCCCTCTCCTCGTTGGAAACAGCATCAAGAGCAGTCTTGTTCAAGCTAAGGGTGTACCCCTTCTCGGCGAACAGCTGATAGTAGTCACGGGGAGCGTCCTCGCTGGTGATGAAGTTTTCAGCACCAGCGCCGAAGAGAACGTCGGGGCCGTCGAATGTAGTCCATTCGTAGTCAGTCAGACCCTCGAGGAAGGTGCTGATAACGTGGTCATATTCGCCACGGTCACTGGTGTGGGCAGTCAGAGCACCAGGAGTGGCATCGGCAAGGAAAGCGGTGGAGACAATACCGATACCAGCGTTGGGGTGCTGGCGACGGAAGATCTCAGGAAGAAGCTCGAACTTGGGGTCATCGAAGGGGTCCTCGGACGAGTCCACGTAGACACCTAGAGCGTTGACGGTGGTCTTGTGGCCTCCGTACAAAGCAGTGGCGGAGTTGGCAGAGTCGGTAATGAAGGAGTCCATGGAGTGCGTCATCTGGTGACCAAGGACGGGGAACTTGTCCAATTGCATCGTCGTTTGGTACTTGCCGTTGATTGACTTGTGGCCGATCAGACGAGCAGCAGTGATCATGTTGGTGGTCATGCCGTCACCGACGAAAAGGACGACGTTCTTAGCGCGGCGCTTCTTGGGGATGTCACGGACGAGCCAGTTCGCAACGGTCTGTTCCTCGCCGTAGTAGCTCAGGATAGCCTCATACTCGCCGGGCTCGTAAAGAGCAACGTGTCGGTAGGCCTTGGAGGTGACATTGACAAGGGAGGGGGTACCGGCATCCTCAGCGAAGAGGTCTGAGGTCAATTAGCTTCACGCGACAACGAGCAGCTTCCACCAATTCGGAAGAGACTTGTACCTACCTTCGTACCAGCTGAAGGACCAGTTCTCGAGCTCAGCTTCTTCAACGTCGAAGAACTCGGTCACAGCAACGCCCGCTTGACCCTTCTTGCCGATTGTGAACTTGAAGTTGGGGTCGGGGACACCCTCACGTGCCTCTGAACCGTTCACAGGCGAGTGGACTTCGAGACGGATATCGAAGTGCTGTCCAGGAAGGAAGTCGGCCTGGTCGGGAGGGAAGACACAGCCCAGGGAGGGGCAGCCTCCGAGGCGCTGGTAGTACTGGGCAAAGGCACCAGAGGCAAACAATGCCACACCGGCAAAAGAGGTAGGCCTCATGTTGATCGGTAGCAGAAGCTGTCGACAGCGAATTGAGACCGGCGGTGGTACAGAGCAAACAAAGCAAGGGGAGCGCAACCCCCTTTATTTATTCCCCGGCCAGAACCAGGAGAACGGGCGAGCTCCGATGGCGTGTTGCGTTCGCATGGCAGCTGCGGGTTCTTGCGAAAAGATTTGACCCTATCTCACCAGCTCGCTGCGACGCAGACAATCAACTCCATCTCCATTCCCTGCCTAGCAGGCCTTGGCAGATGCTAGCCACGGCAAATGCTTGGAGAACCGGAGCAAATCAAAAGCAAGAAAGACCTCCACGTGCGGCCACTAGCGATTGCCATGAAGCTTGGATTGGGTCACTGCTCGTGCCAAGAGCATCTGGGCTTGGCACTGCCGGGCCGCCAAGCATCGCCTGCCCTACACGTGCAAGGGTCAACGGGCGACAATGGCAGTTCTGGTCCCTCACCCACAACATGACCGTTAGTATTCCCCTCGCGCGATCGCATATGACTCGGGCTAATCTATTCGGTGTGGGGTCCATGCATGGAAGACTGGAATATGAACCAGAACAGGTTCCTGCCGGCGTAGCCGATGCAGCAGCGGAAATGAGCTTTCAGAGCATCGGTCTTGAGCAGGCTCCAACAGACGATGTGGTTCTTACATCATGCGGTGCAGAATTATTTTACGTTTTGACCAATCTCCGATGGAGACTCGGCCATGCTCTCTCTCGCAAAATCTGGAGAATCTCGCGAGCGAGAAGTTACTCTCTCGACTGATCGACCCTGTCCACTGGTAGGCATAGCAGCGATCCATGGGCTCTCCATTGGCCCTAGCAAAATCTCAAGAGATGCGTTGAATGGAGATACTTCTCTGCTCGATAAAAGCGTTCGCGTATTTTGTCCTCGTCCGAAATTGGGGACTCCAACCTCCAACTTCATATTGACTCAATATCAGCTGAGTGACCAATGCTGTCAGCGCAGTGATAGCGTTGACCTGCAGCTTTTCTTTTCGCCTTATCCACCCTGTTTTTTCTTGATCACTATGCACTGTTTACTTGGACAACTCCGTCCGATATAGTTCTGAATGTCTTTCATGCCGCAGAACAGGAATGACAACAAATCAGCACGTTTCCGCGGTACCTCAGTCACTTGTTCCTGACCCAAGCCTTTCAAAGCAGCCTTCTAGAAGGTCCATGCAGGAACAGCAGCTGGCATTTCCCCACACACCCCTGTTGATCCCGCCGAGAGCGTCTCAGGAACGGGATCGGAAGTTCTTCCTGCTGGCAGTCAAACACCACAATAGTACTACTGACAATTCGGCGTACTGCGCGCCAACGTCATGCTTTCAACCTATTATTCCGGGGTATGAATCTCAAATCAGAGTTTTGACGTTGTCTATCTCAAAAGCTTGTCATTCAAGCTTATTCTGAGCCCTGCAGATCCTACCTCAAGGTCCTCACGCCTAGCTGTCTTCCATGCCTTCTAAGGCGTGTACCTTGAAGGCCGGACTAACTTGGAATGGATTTGAGGCCTTGCTTTAATAAACTAACTCCCTCAGTCCTTTTGTTTCCTAAAGTGACCGGGGCTTACCGCTTGGACAATCTCTAGTGCTTCGACACCATGAGAAGTATACTGCACCATTCGTCGTCTACAGTTTCACCACGCCACACTCCAAGATCAGTGCTCAAGATTGGCACGCATGGCGCTAAACTCTGCAAAGTGCGGTACTACCTACCTTCCGTTTACCCCAAATTCATCGCATGCCGAATGACATGTTGGATACGGCTCGTAAGAGTCAAAGATGCCATTCCGGACCTACCTTCCGTCCTATACTTCAATTTGAGATTCGGCACAATCTCTTCTTAGGAATAAGACGCTAACTGTCTTAATCATGGTTCTTAAGAAGACATTAAGTGGAACTTTCGATGCTAGGTCTTAGCGACCTTACCCATACATATATATAGAGAGGGGGGGCGTGTCGCGTGACTACCCTATTTCTTCTTCTCTATGAGAATATCTACACAAACTCTCCATAAATCTCGCGACGCGACCAACACAGAGACCATGGCCAGTAATGCCTGATCAATTCATCGATTTATCGAATAACAGGTCGTCATGATTTGAACACCCTGCAATCCTCCCCGTCTTCGGGACCCCGCCATAAAAGGCAACAGATCAAATAAGCGGAACAGCAACAGCGACGGATCTCTGGGGTACTGGCTTGCGATCTAAGGGGAATTGGATTCCAAGCTAATCATGAAGTCTCTTCGAAAAGCAGTACAATAAGGAGGGCTCCCAGAGTTTCGGCAAACTCCGATGCTCGAACGGGCTTGGGGGTTCAGCGCGGGGCGCATGAGATAAGCAATGGCGCGCCTAAGGTGCAGATCGTCTTATTAGGGGCCTCGACTCGGAAAGCCGAGAGTACTTAATTCTTCAACGTTACAATCGTGACTGGATTTTTTGACTTGGCGGCAAAAGTCAGACACTGTTCGGCGCGGTCGTTGGTCCCCCACTATCGACCTTATCCAGGGAATTTTTTTTTCAAGCGGCCAACGTCCATCACAAACTGAGCGAGCAGCAACGAACTTGCACATATATCACAATGGCAGAGTCTGAGATTGAGAAACATCTCTCTGAGCGTTCTGCCTTGCTCGAACAAGAAAAGACCAGCAGACATGACTACGCCTTCCAGCAGAAGATGCCGCCGGTCGCAAAGACTGCCGCGACAATAATATCGAATATCCGCAAAACGGAGATGGAGACGTTCTGGACGAAACCCGTATCTACAACCAGACACCAAGATCTGAAGGAGGCCATGTTCCCAGGCATGTCGTTTGCCCTGTCCCGAGACCGAATGACAAAAACCTCGCTCTGGAAGATCATTTCTGCGATGCCAAAGGGCTGTCTCTTGCACGCGCATATGGAGGCAATGATTGATATCGACTGGCTCATTGACCAGGCGCTGGAGTTGCCTGGGTTCTTCATCTCGAGTCCAGGGGCTTTGGCGCCGGGGGAGTGTACCAAGTGGTTGGAGCCGTTCAATTTCCATTATCGACCCGGTACTTCTCAAGACAAGGCTGCCGGTGTGAATATCTGGGAGGCGGGTTATTCTCCTAACCAGTTCGTGCCGGTCATCGACGCGGCCAGGACTTACCCAGGTGGAGTTGCGGCTTTTAAGGCGTGGGCTATCTCTAGGATGACCATTAACGAGGAAGAGGCTCTAGAGCATCACCATGGGATCGCGGATATCTGGAAGAAGTTCCAGTCATGCTTCGGCTCTATCGCTGGTTTGTTCTTCACCGAACCGATCTTCCGGCGCTGTATCCCTAGGCTTCTCCAGCAGCTGCATGAGGATGGCATCAGATACGTCGAACTACGTCTGGCTCTGTCCTTAGGGCAACCCTTCTACAGAGACGGTTCAGCTACGCCTGAAACGGATTTTGACTATTTCTTACAGTGCTTCCAGGAGGAAGTAAATACATACATGTCCTCCCGTCAAGGCGCCGGGTTCTGGGGCGCCAGATTGATCTGGACTGCTATACGCGCGTTTGACGACGAATCCATTAAGGACTCGATGACACAGTGTATGAACTTGAAAGAGGCATACCCCTCTGTTATAGCAGGCTTCGACTTTGTCGGGCAAGAAGACATGGGTCGACCACTCATCGATCTTCTCCCGCTCTGCAAGTGGTTCGAAAGCCAGTGCACCGAGAGGAATCTCCAGATCCCCTTCTTCTTTCACGCAGGTGAATGCCTAGGCGACGGTGATAGCACGGACGGTAATCTCGTCGACGCCATCCTATTGAACTCCCGAAGAATCGGGCACGGCTTCTCCCTTTACAAGCATCCACTCCTCATCGATCTCGTCAAGAAGAAGAAAATCCTCATTGAGATCTGCCCCATTTCACACGAGGTCCTGCGCCTGACGTCGAATATCCTGATGCACCCCATGCCAGCTTTGCAATCGCGAGGTGTCCCTGTCTCCCTGAATAACGATGACCCGGCCGTTCTAGGATACGGGCGAAATGGTTTAAGCCATGACTTTTACCAGGTTCTTGCTGCCTTTGAGAACACGGGACTTGCGGGGATTGCGACTATGGCAGAAGATAGCATTCGATGGGCCGCTTTTGAGGATGAGGGAGAATATGAGTGGCTTCGGGGACTTGAGGGGGCTGGGACTGGGTTGAAGCCTTCTCATGTTGCGGAGTGGAGGGCAGAATTTGAGAAGTGGTGTGAGTGGATAGTAAAGGAGTTTGGATCTGAGGACTTGGTCCTTAGGAATTAGATAGATAGAAGGCAATTTCTTGGTCAAAGGAAAGGCAATGACCCGGACTAACGAATATGTATATACATCTTTAGCGTTGAAGTAATGCAAAACTGATACATGCGACCAGCAAGATCAAGGATCGAAAAACATCATGAGCAGGCACAGCTTGCTCCGCATGCTTAGAAGAGTTTCTTGGAAACCGATCTGAATAAATCTGAAATTGCGATCATATCTTTGACCAGCACGCGTGCATCTCCGGTCTTGGCAAGCTACCGTTCCTGTGTTGGAGCCTCTCTTGCCAATGATCTTTCCATTTACACTTTACACCCGCTCTACCTGCTCAGAAGCCCACGAAACGCAGACCGCTCCAACTCATGAGCTGAACGACATTGCTTCTAGCAAGATATTGCTTTTACACAACCGCTATCATGGCCCAACTACAGCCAGACCAGCAACAACCACCGCCGGCGACAATTCCTAACCCTCGGTTCACGCTCGAGCTTGAGTTCGTGTCGTCGCTCGCGAACCCGTACTACCTCTCCCACCTTGCAGTTAACTACCCGACCCTATTGGGCATTTCAAAATCCCACGATGAGAGCGACGTGAACGACGAAAACTCCGACCCTGAAGCCGAGGCGTTCGCAGCTTATCTTGCCTACCTCTACTCCTACTGGAAGACTCCTGAATACGCCCAGTTCCTGACCCATCCCGGTGCATCTTTGCGGGCACTACGACTCCTCCAAGAAGAGAACTTTCGTCGTGATATTATTCGGCCCCAGGTTATTGAGGGTCTGGCGGGACTGGGAATCAACGGTGCTGATGAGCTTGGAGAACAGAAGGGGGAGCAGAACAAAGAGGACCAGGAAAATCAAGCGTCTGGAGAGAACACCGATGGCAAGCAATAAGGGCGTGCATCGAGAAGAAAGACTGACCTTTTGAACCCGGTACCAGACCCTTGGAGCGCCGATTGCGACTTGGCGAGTTCTTGCACATGCAAGCGCAAGCGAGATCTTTATATCCTCCCAGAAGCTGTTGGATAAACGTCGCTACGATACTGGCCATCTATTCTATTGGAGCATGGTGCTTGCCGCCAGGTCGATGTCGATACACGCCGTTGGTCTTCAGACTGTGGGAACATCATGTGTGACCGAGGTACCCCCCTGTGATCATCGACCTTACTGGCAACTGTTGCGAGCCTAAGGTCAACCACACGCGAGCTTGCGCTTAGTCTCTTTTATTCTCCGCTCCCGAGGGTGCGCATCCGTGCTTGGTATCCCACCAAATAACAATGCGGGGAGGCGCGTGCGATGATGGAGGCTATTTTCGAGCTCACGATTTGAGAACGAAAGTTGGCGACGTAAACCATTCAGTCCACCTGGACGACTCTCCGCGACTTGATTAGGTATTCTCGGCGCATCACCCGATTGAGGGTCTTGCCGTAGAACAAACGGATGCTGCCAGGTCTCGAAAGGATGCGGACTGAGGTATACTCCACGCAAGGGGAAGGAACCAAGACAGATGAACTGCGCCATAGCAATCTAGAATGAGAACCCTGGACGAGATCATTCGTAGGAATTTGAAAACTGTTAAATAATACGCCCACCCCTCTCCAACCACAAAACTAAATCGTCCTTCTTATTCTCCCTGGGGAAGCTGATCGCCAAGTTTGCCCGCGGACAGGGTGTTTTTGCCGACTTCCACTTGACTCCGGCGCTGACCCCAACCGTTTCCAAGGTTCCAACTCGAGCCTCCTTCATCTCCCAAACGACTCTCCCCCTTATCCTCGTCGTCACCCAGCTTCCACCCATTCTGCATGAAAAACTCACTTGGATTCTCTCTACTAATGGGCCGTCTGTCTCCTTGATGATTTGCATGCCCCCGGACTTGATTCTCGCCAATTCCCACCCACCACGGCTGTGACGTGACATCAGGCGGCTCTCATGGTGCACCAGCGATCTTTACCCTGAAATTCGGTCGGACTGGCTTTTCTTCCCTTTGGATACTCTGGAAACTACGTTGGACTCGCCCGGACCTTGTCTTCATCGTGAAATTGCACACAAACTCTCGCAGGAGAAATTCCTGACCTTGCCGGCCCACGATGACGATGGAAACGGTCCGCCAAAAATGTCGGCCGAAGCATCAGATCCTGGTCCTGAAATGCTATCCGCAATACCAAAAGGGGGTTCAGGAAGTCAAGCCGAACCCCAGCGAACTGTCCTATCTCCTATACTATGTGAGCACGCGCCGCAGCAAACTGCCCAAGGTTAGCGCGTTCCTGGAGAAAAGAGCCGCCCGAGATGTCTGGCGCCGCAAGATAGGGTAAGTCTGATACCTCATTCTCGATCTGAGCCCGGACGGGAGACTTTACTTGGGACTGAACTCTGCGTTACTCTAACACCTGATCCCTTCAATAGAAACGTCCAAGTCACGCTTCAGATCCTCAGCGCGCTCATCGAGAAAGTCCCTCGCGATCTTCCAATATTTGCACGATCAGTCCTCACCGTCATCGAAACCGTGTTACGTTCGCGCGATATTTCCATGGTCGAAGATTCGATTGCGACTTTTGAGACATTCTGTCGCCACCAGGACATGGCAGCCCTTTCCGCCGAACAGGACTTTGCGAATCAGTACCAAGAGGTCGTCCGGATATATGCGGGATTTGCCCATGGAGATCAGGAATTGCAGACGAAGATTGCATCTAGCCCTCCACAGGCGATCCGCTGGAAGAACGCGGGGCTGCGAGCTATAAAGGGCGTGGTGAGCTCTGAAGCTGGCTTGGCAGCAGATGGCGGGGTTTCGCTAAGGATAATACTACCTGTTATTCTGGAGAACTTGTATAATGGCGATGACACGTTGATTGCGTCTCTTGAGCAGAAACTCCATGAAGCCGAGCGACACCAGGTAGATCCAGGGGTGCGACGGAGGTACAGCGCCATTACCGTGCAGACCGTCGATACTGCAGAAGGAGACCCGGCGCTCGCGGCTCAAAACATCGACGATGTCGACAGGCAAGCCGAGTTGGATATGCGGCTTCTTGCTCTCCGATGTCTCGAGCAGATAATCGTCAATGGCAGCAGTCGAGGCCAAATTCGTGTGACAACAAGAGTCGTGCTAGAATTCATTCTACGAAAGGGACAGTCAAACAACAATCACCTGACGCTCGACACTGACGAGGATAATTGGGCCACATCAATGATTGGACTCATCGCCAAATGGTGTCCCGTTCAAGCTCGCTTTCTCATCTCAACTGCGGCTATGGAAGTTTTGTTCGATATCATCCCCACGGAAGGGTCTCTCGACAGCGCATTCACGGTCATCTATATGATTGATTGGTTGCTGAAATCTCCGGTAAATATGATCGGACTTAGTGTGATCGACGTTCTGCTAGGTCTGATGCGCTACATGTCAATTGTGGTCGCACCCAGATCTGAGAGAACGACGGACGAGCCGTCCAGCGAGAAAGAAGACGCTCGCCATGACGACCGGGGAGACCTTTCTTTGAAAAAGAAGGAGTTGCTTTCACTTCTTCAAAAGTGCATCGGGGATATTACAACTCATATCTACTACGGCGACCAAGTCGTCGATATGATCAGGGCAATATTGACTCGGATCATGCCAGCGAGTAATCAGGATTATAACTCGTCCTCTGCGGCTCCAGATCAGTTAGATGGGATTCCTCAGGACCTTCATACATCGTCATATACCCTGATTAGTGTCAAAGTTTGCGCTCTCAAGGCTATCAAAAATATTCTCCTGGTAGCTAACTCGCAGCGGCCCTCCGCATCAGCCGGGGTCGAATCCCGGAACCCGGTTGGGATTCACGTTTGGGAGGGAACCCATTATTTGCTCCAAGACCCTGAGAAGGAGGTCAGATACGCCTATGTCGATGCAATCCTGTACTGGCTGAAGCTGGAGACGACAAAGAATGATCTTCGGATTAAGGACCGGTCAACAAGAGCTGCTATCGTATCACCAAGACGCGATCTTTCGGATGCCTCTGAGAGAGCCTCGAAGCGAGCAACCGGTGCTCATCAAAGAGAAAAGGCTGTCGTAGTCGCTCAGTCCAACTTCCTCCGCATGCTCCACCTGACTATTTACGAAAACGCCCTTCAACGCCCGGAGGAAGAAGTTGAGATCCGCGTACTACATCTTCTTCTTGCCGGTCTCGTGCAAAATCTCGGCATAAATGCTGCTAGATTTGGACTTCCAATGATTCTAAGGCTTCAAGACGATATCCTAGCTGCGGACAGCTTACGGTCGCCCGTAGCAATGGTGAATATCGGGAGCTTGGTGTATGGTTACCTCTGGGCCTTGCTCGAGACCTTTGACTTGGACACCTACAGAGTCGGAAAGGAAATCTTTGCGGAGATAGAGAAGCGGAAAAATCGAGGTCTCTGGCTCGATGGTATTAGCTCTTCCCTGTCCAGTCTCGATAGCATCATTCAGGACAGCGACCGACATACAGTCGGACATAACATTAGGGACACTGATAAGATGAGTCCGTTCAAAAACGGTGTTGAGGAGCTTGTGCGCCGGATTGAGGAGTCTTACAATGATGCCATGACCACACAGAGCCCTCCAGGTTCTCCGGGGCGCAATCTCGGAAAGCCAGTTATCGGACATGCGGCTTCCACGAGTCAACAACGAGGGGATCTCCTCCCGTCGCTAGTCAGGGAGCAGATGCTATCCCCATGGTCCAAGCAGAGCACACTGGAAGCCGCCGAGCGAGAGAAATCGGCGGCTCGCTCTATCAACGGCTCAAGGACAGGATCAATGCCGATACGCGGCCAACCCTACATCAACGGTACCAATGGCAGCTCTGTTTCAACGCATACACCGTCAACAGCTCATGGCGCAACAGGAGGCATCCGACGCATGAGCATGCCGGACAAGCCTGGGACTCCAAACCCCAGCTCAAGCCGAGACTCGCCAATTCATGTGAACGAGCTGAGACGTGTGTTGTCTGTGAATACTCCAGACAGAGACCGACGATTGAGCCCATTGCGCGGTCGACTTGATGCCTCGAATCGCAGCATCATATCTTCTAGCAGCGAAAGCATGGTCAGTGGTTTCTCTACATCCGAGTTTGAAGGGGATGGAGGGTCAATCAGACCTCAATCTACCAGAGAAGGACAAGAGACGCTAAATGACGAGGGGATGGAGACACCTAGGGCTCTGATGAGCAACGGAGGTCAATCTCAAAGCATGTCTCGAGCGTCCTCTTATACGATCCCTCCAGTTCCGCCGATCCCGAGCGATTTGTCTATTCCGGGAGGGTTCCCCAATGATTCTCAGCGCTCCTTGCCCTCATCGGACCGTCCCGTTTCACGGAAACAGAACGGCGTCAATGGAAAGGTCGCTAGTCACCATGGCGAGATCAAGTCGTTGAAGAAACAAAAGTCTCGCACCAGTAACGGGCAGGCAAATGGTGTTGATGTGCCTGGCGTAGCCATCAACGGCAAATCAGCAGAACCCCAGCCATACGGTCTGCACGAGGTGGAAGACACCCCTCAGCGACGTGACGTGCAGAAGCTACTGGACAGCTTTCTGACCACATCTGAGACGGATCCGAGTCGCCCGAGAGCCACCTCCAGCTATGGCAGACGCACTGTGACGGGAGGCATCGGACGTCCTCCGTACTAGTCGACTTACACACTTTACTTTCCTCTTCATTTCCTATTTTCCTTGGCTATGACGCTATGTACATTTGAGCCTTTGGACCTTTTTTTTCTCTCGCATTGTTTCTGTTTTGTCCAGGCTATGCACATACCTCGATTCGCTTCCCATTCTCCTCGCCTTTTGGAAGGGCTCCGGATTACATTCCTTGTGCTTCATAGCGCACCTATAGATTTCCTTTCTTATCATATCCCTGTTATCTGAGAGTTCTTTTGTGTTCTGACTTCTTGTATGGAGATTTATACATCTGTACTTATCTCCCAGCCTCCTTTTTGCTTCTGTGACTGCTAAGCTGGCGAGTTTGCAATTGTGTATGGAGATAGTTGGTGCAGTATCATTATACCCTTGGTTTAATGAGGAGTTCTACCTTCTGTGGTGCTTGTAGACGGATGGATTAGCACGTGGGCTTGGAAGCTTTGCAAGCGCATGGCTCTTTAGCTTTATGTTCCTGGAGCTTCCTTGAACTTACTGTTAGCGAAGGATATTCGAAGTACATGTCCCAGCTACCTGAGGTGACCTGTTGGGTTCTCAAACTAGTAACAACCCAGAAACGTACAAGATCATGCATTCTATATTCTTCCGATAATTCAACCGGCAAGATTGACAGAGTGGAAAGTCAAATCACTCGATAGTTGTGATCACTTCACCTTCATTGACAGATCAAACTGCGTGAGGAGTCATCGATCACATGTCCAGAACGTGACGTACTTCTCCGCAATCTCCTGCTTACCATCATTCACAACCAACCTCCTCATTCGAACTTCAAATTATCCAGGAATAATCTCGCATCAATGCGCCATTTAACCAGACTTTCGCTCCTCATCCTCCCTCTTCTTGCCACCTCCCTCCCAACCCACACCACCGAAACCGAACTCACCCCTCTCCCGCTCGTCATCTGGCACGGCCTCGGCGACGACTACCACCGCGATGGCATGAAACAGCTCGCCACATTCGCCGAGTCTGTCAACCCAGGCACCTACGTACACCTAATCCACCTCGGCGACTCCAGCTCGGATGACCGACAGGCCACATTCCTAGGCAACGTCACGGAGCAAATCGCCGCCGTCTGCGCACAGCTCGCCGCAGAGCCCATTCTCTCCACCGCACCCGCAATCAACGCCCTCGGTTTCTCTCAGGGCGGCCAGTTCCTGCGCGGGTACGTGGAACGGTGCAATAATCCGCCTGTGCGCAACCTCGTCACCTTCGGCAGCCAGCACAACGGCATCGCCGAGTTCCAGGAGTGCAAGTGGAGTGACTTTGTCTGCCGCGGCGCGGAAGCTTTGCTGAGGCTCGGGAGGTGGTCGAGCCTCGTGCAGAGCCGGCTTGTGCCTGCACAGTACTTCCGAGACCCCGCGGAGCTGGATGAGTATTTGGAGAATAGCAACTTCCTCGCCGATATCAACAACGAGCGCGTGTTGAAGAATACGTCGTACAAGGCGAATCTGAGCAAGCTCAATCGGTTCGCAATGTTTATGTTCGAGGACGATAAGATTGTGCACCCGAAGGAGACTGCGTGGTTTGCTGAGGTAGACACGACTACTGGGGAGATTACGCCGCTCCGCGAGAGGGATATATACAAGGAGGATTGGTTGGGGTTGAAGGAGTTGGATGAGCAAGGCAAGTTGAAGTTTGAGACACTGCCGGGGAATCATATGGAGTTGTTTGATGAGGATCTGGAGAAAGTGTTTACGGAGTACTTTGGGCCTGTGGAGGTTGAATTCCCTCCTACCCAGAAGCCTCAGATTCTCGTTCAGCAAGGCTATTAAGTGCAAATAGCCTGCTTCCGTTGTTCAGATTATACCCATTGCTCTCTCCACCTGCCTGGTACTATAGATCTACTACCACTCAATACATGAAACTCATTCAACAGCAACTTACGTACCTGAGTAGGAAGCTAGCAGCTTATCACTGCATTGACTAGGCATACTCCAATAAGGTAGTCGTAGGCAAGATTCCACTCTCTGTTGCTATCCATCTGAACCTTCTCAACATCCATCACATGACAAGGCCATTTCCCTCGATGGACATGCCTACAGCCAGTCTTTCGACGACCACAAATGGCGCATCACCTCTTCACAATTGATTAACACACTCTTCAAGACATCTTCCATCAATATGAACTGGACAGGAGGCCGCCTCCGCCGCCATTCAGGGCCCAATGACAAAGCCCGCAAGCAGGTGTTTAGGAGACCTACAGCGGGAAGCAAAGGTCCCCACCAGATTACGCTGTTGAACGGCCTTGCGAAGGCGCAGGATAGTGAGAAGAGAGGAGGTAGAGAAGGAGTAGGAGAATCGAGCAATGCGGCTAGCCAGATGGTGTGTTAATCCATCAGCAAACAAGACAAGGCAAGCTGCGGTACTCTGACTCGGAGCTGATCTAGACTCGAAACCCACCGTCTCAACCACCACCTCCTCCGGCAACGAATACCCCTAACACGCGTACACATGAACCCACAACCCGCATCGGGCAGATAAAACGGCAGTTACTCGAGACAACAGACTGGGGCGTCATCGGCGTGGCGCGGCCGGTTCAAGTCTCGTTTACGCCGCAGGAGGAACTCGAGCGCTTTGGGAAACGGAGGAGACTTACGGTGAAGGATCATGAAAGGTTGAATACGTCTACGGTGGCGATGGGAATGGCACGGCCGAGTCCCCGAAGCACGGAGATTCGTATGGGAGGGGGTTTGGGTGAGAACTTGGAGATAAGGATGGATGGGCGGCGAATTGGGCAGGGGAATGGAAGGGCTTCTTCTCCAAATATGTTATCCTCGCAGTATGCGAATCGGTTCGGTCAGCGCGATCAAGGGCTAAATGGTCGAAACTTACATGTTGAGGAAGGCACATCTCCTGACATGGTGCCTTCGGGGCATGGACAAAACGTTACGCAGCTGGATGAAGGCTTGCCTGATAGAGCTTCTTCTATTGACGAAGGCGCTGCTCCCGACGTGATACCTCCGCAGAACAGCCACCGGTTTGGGCAGCGGGATACAGTTGTGGATGATGGCATACCGTCCGTTCGTGACAAAGATTTCGACGTGGTATACTCGCAGCATTTTGGGCAGCTGAATGAACGCCTGCCTAGAAGAGCTTCTTCCGTCGAGGATGACGCTTCTCCTAACGTGATATTTCCGCAGGACGACCATCAGTTTGGGCAGCGGGACGCAGTGGCAAATGGCCGGATTCCATCCATTCATGTTGACTCTCTCAACACGGTATCTTCGCAGCATGACCGTCGCTTTGACCAGAAAAATCCATTTGCAATTGGTAGAGTTCCTTCTGTCGATGAAGGCAACGCTCCCAATATTGCATGTTTCGGTCAGCGGGGTGCAGGGTGTAGTGGAAGGCTGTCTTCCATCGATGAGGGGTTTTCTTCCAATATGGTTTCTTCACAGTCAATGCTCCTAGACTATGAGGGATCGATCGGGTCAAACAACCGGGCAAGCGCCCAAGATTCGTTCGCGAGTATGAACAGCGCAGGGAGAAGCTTCAGTGTGTCGAGGCTTTCGGACGCGCCTCAGCTATGCTATGTACCGGATGTGCCCGGAATGCCCGAAGCCTTTGATACTCGAGGCATCATTTCACACCTCGAAGATACATCAGGCTCGATGAAATGGGCCTCTGAGGAACCAATAGAGCAGATACGGTCCCAAGCAAGCAGCTCGATCATTCCACTGCCAACATCACCCGTGAGAAGACGCTTCACAATCGACGACCAAGCCGATGCTGAAAGAGAAAGAAGATTGATGCATCGTCCTGCGGTAGCAGAGCCATCCAGAGCGCAGGGATATGGACAGAGATTAGAAGCTCCTTTCTTGTACTCCCCATCCAGACCAGCGGATGCTTTCACTCGACTAAACGATGCGATGGAACCTCCCTCAAGAAAGCCAGACTACCCACAGTTCAGCTGGCTCCCGGATCCTGGCCGTAGCATGCACCGCACGGAAAGCAAAAGACTCAACGCTCGTTCCCCCATGGCATCTATCCGCGAAGACCCTAGTAGCACACACTTCTCGCGGCTGAGCAGAGACGTGGCTCCCATGACGATATTTGGACAACCTGTCAGCTTCCAAGACCCTGGAGTCCGCGCAGACAATCATGCGATGAGACAGTCGGGGCTGTGCCAAATGAAGTTTGACCATGGAGACGCACACAGATTCTCGTCGGACGGAGCCTTGACTTCACCTCCGGGGTTTTGGTCTAGACGAGTCTAGGAAGCAGACATTGCGAGGCTTGCGTTACCCAAGCCCACCCGGCCCTAGCAGGGCGAGCATCAGCAAGGCGATGCAACTGAGCTGTCGATCTGAACTTGTTTCCACTTTGGATGAGGCTTCAACGGCGGCAAAAACTCGGGCCACTGAGACTCGACAAGCCAGTCAATGACATCATGTGACTCTAACACGTGACTCGCTTCCAGTCTTTTCGTCCACAAAATCTTCGTTTTCAACACCAAAAACACAGTTTCTCTTTCTCACTCGATGGCCGAGCACTCAACTCAGCACTAGTGCTGAGGAGCCAATGCCAGCATATAGAATCTCATGTCATCGGAGGCGAGAGCCCAGCGACAACTGATTGGCTTTGTTCCTCTGGTATCGCCATGATTGTTCGAGTTGAACGAGGCTGGATGTCGGATTGATGAGCGCCGACCGTTTTCCGAGCAAACCGTGTCTCCTTTTTTCGATGCATCTGATTTTTATTTTTCAAGGTAAGCAATGATCCCAGGCTCCGACCTCCTTTATTCGTGGCTGGCCCATTTTTATTTCATGATGAGCACCATACCCATAAAGCATAGTTCACCTGAGATCTTCGATCCTTGAACGACAACAGTACCATCACCATTTTTTCTGATATATTCTCTCATTCGCTTGTTCTCATACTTGGCTACGATAAGTTCTTTTTGCTGACGAATGAACGCAATACCAGGTCTCTTCAGATAGTCTCCAAGGTAGAAAATGAAGAAATAAGTTCTTGGTTCCCCTGAAGTCGAATTTCCCGAAAATTCCCCAAAGAACGCTGGTCGGACGCATTGCTGCCCAACCCGTCTGTGCTTCTTCTCGTAGTGGGCTCACCAGCCGTAAGCACCACTGGGATTCTTGGACGAGGGATAAAACTCGATGCACCACCAGAGCTCAAGCGCCAGTCTGCAAAGTACTTTTTTGCTCTCACCTGTACGTGTTGGAAGGGTGCATGATGTTTTCAGCGCGGGGTTTGCGTCTCGCAGACTGTGACATCTTGTCGGATGTGATGCTGGCTGCAGGCAGAGGGTCAACCCCCCTGTTCCCCGAGTTGACGTGGTCGTCGTCTCAGCCAAAGGATGAAGGAGTCAATAGTGGGCGGCTATCACAGGGCGAGCGGGGCAGCAGAGAGGAACCAGACAAGAGCGTTTACTGGTTCAGGGTAGATCCGGCCGCGTTCCATAGTTTCAAACTACGCTTGATTGAGGGTGTATTTGCATCATCTCGTCGGAGGGCCTCACCAATCGAGGACGAGGGCCGCTTCACCGCTACAATTCCAAGGAAACATGATCGGGACGTGCCGTTCCCTGAGAGCCACTCATTCCAACTCCCAAGGCCACGTCAAGACCAGAGGCTTTATCCATGTCAAATCACAGCGTGAGATGCTCAGGGCGAGGCAACCTCTGCGCAATTTCGCACTTTGTGTGCCCCTCCCCACCTGCCTTGCCCGTCATCTGCTCGCCTCTATAAGGTTGCGACCCCCCGTTTCTTGTCTGCTCTTCTTGACTTTTCCTCTTTATCTCATCGCACCATACTCAACCAGGATTACCTTCGACTCCTCTCGCCTCCCAAGGACTTGATACCCCCTCTGCTTCCATCACACTTCCACATCACACACCTTGACCACCTCACTCTCCATCTCCACAAGAATCCTCTCTGCCTCCCAGATTTGTCACAGTCAAATCTCTCACTGCTCCTCAAGGACCACTTTTGTCTTGTTTTCTTCTCTTAGCAGTCTCTCTCCGTGGACACTGGATAAGAATTAAAAGCCCCTGGCTCATATCCTCACCTCGGACTCTCCATTGGAACCCAATCCATTCCCTGGATCGGATTTGTGCTTGTTTCTTTTCGTTTCTACATACTCCCAGGCTTTTTGTCTGAGCGTTCATCGACAGATAACAGGTAGCTCCCTCTGATTTTTCTTATCGCTTTTGCTTTTTGATTTCTTTCCTCATGCGCGCCTTGCTGTGGATTCAACTATGGACACTCGACAACACTCGCCAAATTCTCTGGATTTCTGAACTTCTGTTCTTCCTTTGCTGGACTCATGGTGCCGCATCGCGGTTACCCAGAATAATGATGATGCCCTGGATTTTCAAATCACTTTGATCCACAGCAGCCGCTGTGAGACTGGACACTACAAGTGTTGTTTAATGTGGCACACTTGCTTCGACATACCTTGGACCTTTCCTCAGGAGCCGTATTTCACACTTCAATTGTCACCTACCATTCCAAACCTGGAGTGGAGGCTTGGAACGTTACCCTGGATGAACCAATGAATACCTGATGCATAAGACCTGACATGACTCCAACCGGAGTGGAACCCTCAAGGATCCTGAACCCAGACAGTGAACTCAGAACATCTCCATGGTCTTCAATGCTCTCATGAGATTGCCTAATGTGGCCAACCTGCCCAAGTGTTTTACCTCGTGACCGACAGAAGGAATCCTCGACCGTGCATCTAATGCTGGTGCACTTTCCATTTGACCCAGGCACAATGATTTTGACCCGTGGATTTCAGCTGCATGGAAACAGTCCCAGCCGTTCGGAATAACTTCAATCACCCAGGAATAATCTTGTCAACCAGGAACAATCCTCGACAGAATCCCAGGAAACATCGCCCTATACATTTCGTCGACTGCTAGTTCCGTTGAACTAGATGGCTTCACCGACAACGTTTGTTTCCACTTGGAGACCGGACGACAATGACCCATATGGACCAGTGATACACCCCATGGACTGCTCAACACTCGACCAATACCCGAACGGTTTGTGGCCTCTTGTCCCTCGCGGGTGAAGCTAAACTAACCGTCGTTTAGACAATTTTTCTCGCCTGGACCTCGGACGCATGATTTTCTACTTTTGTCTCGCTGTCGCTCTCGTAACTTGCAATGTAGCCATACTGACTTGAATTGCTTTAGTGATCTCATGTGCACATCACTGGCACACAAACTCAAGATGGTTTCCAACATCAAGACCGACCCAGAGAACATGTCTCTCTCACAAACAATGCTTCACATGGACCACCACTCACAATCAAGGCATATCCCAGGATCTCTTTTGGCCTCAAGAACAACCCAGGATGATGAACTTTCGAGCCAGGATAACTTCTCCTTGTGTTCAAGTACTGCCCAAAGTCGTGACACTTCCGACTTGAAGCCATGGACTCTGAATGATATGGATTCCACTGATAGCCATTCCATCGCATCAACAAAACCAGACTCCCCGGCCGTTCAGATGCTCTCCTTTTCATTATCTCAACATGCCCTTCTCCACAGCGCTATGGGCGCTAGCGACATCATGTACTCGGCTGGTTCCGAGTTCCACGGTCTTCCCGACGTTGACCAGCACGATTTGGATTTCTCAAAGGCCCAGGACTTCAACAACCACTACACTTCCCTTTTTGATTTCTCTGCCTTTGAGAATGATGTCAACGGCCACAATGGCACTCACCCATCTTGCACCCCAGACCACGGTTCTCCCGTAGGTGACAGTCAGCTCGCTCACGGCGATGCGTGGAACATGGTCTCTGACAGCCGATTCAACCAAGGATCAACCATGGACCACTTCACTGGCAACGTTTTCCAGCACATGCCTGTCTCTCCACCATTGACAGAAGCAAGCAATGATGTTTCTGTTTCTTCGGCCTGCTCCCACTCTGGTTACCCAGCATTCATGTCCCATGAGGAAGCCATGTTGAAGGATATCACAGCCACTCCCGTTCAAGGAATCAACCTAGGAGACCCCATCTTCCCACTCACGCCACCTCTCAAGGAGCAGGATCCCAACAGGTCAGTTCGCGTAACCGCATAATGGCGCGAGTTTGATTGAATTCTAACCTTCCCACAGAACCATCCGCCCAGCTAAAAGTGCACCTAGGCCAGCAATTCAATTGTCCCCATCCCAGCAATCGGTGAAGCAGGATTCCGAGTTCTTCCCGCCCCTTCCAGTCAAGGAGCCCATCAGACCAAGATCCAAGGATGGTAGTGAGTCGCGAAACCCACGCGACCACCCTTATTATTCTTTGCCGACCCACAATGATGGAAAATACTACTGTCCATTTGCCAATGGAGACAAGCCTTGCAACCACCCTCCCACTACCCAGAAGTGTGCTTACCAGTGAGTCGAACGCAACCATCCGCATTTGGATCTGAGAACTAACAATCTAACAGTAAATACCTGGACTCTCATCTCAAGCCGTACCGCTGCAGGGCCCCCGGCTGCATGGATGCTCAGCTCCAATTCTCCTCCAACGCTTGCCTCTTCCGTCATGAGCGCGAAGCCCATGGACTCCACGGCCACGGAGACAACCCCCACCTTTGCCTTTTCGAAGGATGCGACCGCTCCATTCCTGGATACGGCTTCCCCCGCCGCTGGAACCTGTTTGACCACATGAGGAGAGTGCATGACTACGCCTCTTCCGAGCGCCCAAGCTCGCCAGATGCTTCTCCCACCACTGCGGCGACCAAGAAGAAGGAAACTACCGGACGCAAGCGCCGAGTTGCCGGCGTCAGCGGCGCCCAGACCATGAAGCGCACCCGGTCCACTCAGTCTCAGACCAACACACTGAAGGCTATTCAGCAGACTGCTGCCCACCACGGTCAGAATCTGCAAGCTGCTGAGCGCAACTACTACAACTGCCACGCTCGCCTCCTCGAGCAGCTCAGCAGCATCACACCCCAGGACTCTGCCATGCACGACAAGGTCAATGCCAGCCTTCAGGAATTGATGACTCTTGGAATCACCTACCGCCAGGCTCAAGCCAGCCAGGCCGTCGCCCAAATTGCCAATGGACTCCCTGCATGAACCAAGCAAGATGATGCCTGAGTTTCTTTTTTAAACCATCTTTCCTAAGGAGGATGCCAAGGACCGCTTGTTCCTGTATAGAAGCCGCCTACGGCTATGAGGTACTGATACCCCGGGAATGAATGCTTAACGGTCCATCTTCTCTTTCAGACTGCCAGGGATTGCTCTCGTCCACGTCTACTTTCAAGGAACTTACATAAACCCAACTCGGGTACGAAGCAGCATGCTTCGAACAGTTCCGAATCAGTGTCTCCTTAGACAAGGTGCCCAAGATGGCCATGTCACTCCCAGCACGATCCAAATCGGCGGGAGACTGAAGAGACCCAGCGTGGGAAGCGCTGCCTTTTCCTCTTCTCATTTTTCTTCCCTTCATTTTCTTCCGTGAAAATGCTTTCTTCTCTCCGCGCCATGTTGATTGCGTGCGCTCGATTCTTGTATCACTTCTGTATTTATCGTCCTGTATTGATCTTGGGCGGATTCTTGGATTCTCGTGTGCATGGCTTGCTTTTACCTCTTCCTCATCCATCCCACAGCCTAGCCTGCGGTTCTTGTGAGCGGAAGAAGATAAGATTAAAAAAAAAGGCGGTTGATTTCAAGATTTTTTGGACACAGCAGCGACAGAACAGCGAAGCGACAGAAACGCAACAGAGGCTCAACAGGACGGAAACTGGGATTGGATCTTGTCATTTTCGGGGTTTAAATATAGACTACTTTTTTTCGGGTTATCCTTGTTATCATTATCAGTACTTGTGTTTTTAGTTAGTTTTTGTGTGAATGTTCTTCTTATCTTGAATCTCGGGTCCCCCCTCTCTATTTCTCTATCCTTTCGATTCTTTTGAGCTCAGAGGCTGTATCGCTCTGCGGGCCAGGGCGAAGAAGGCTTTGTATACTCCAGTCACTCTTACTCCTGGCTTACTTTCGCTAGCTATATCTAGGTTTATCAATATCAACACATGACAGAAGTTAGGCTCCTTGTATTGTAATCCGATTCAAGCATAAAAACGCCAATAATAAAATGCCCAGAAGCTTTTCTCCAGATGCCGTCTACATAGATCATCAATCATAAATGTCCTCTCTTACCAAATATCCCCACTCACCCGAAAAGGAAGATGGACAGCACGGAAGAAGAGTCTGGTCACCGCTCTTCAACCTCATCCGCAAAATCCGCATTGAGGAACCTCACAAAGGCATCAGGCACATCGGCCTCCTTCAACGCACCACCCTTAACAGCCGCATGCGGCCCCGCGATATACACCCGGTTCAAGGTAATCCACTGCCGCCGGAGCCGCTGCAACCGTGGAAGCGCAAGGATCCCACCTGCGGCAGCGAGGTCGTCTGTTACTGACGCGGAGGCAATATGTTCGGGGACGAAGATGGGGATGCTGGAGTCTGGGACTTGGATGCGGATTCCGGGTTCTTGGCGGGTGAATGTGTCGTCGTCGTCGTCATTGGAGGTATGGGGTTCGGGGGGAGGTTGGGAGGCGAGGGCGGCTTTTGCGGAGGAGTTCGAGAGGGTGTAGGAGCGAATTGCTTGGATGATTGCGCTGGTGCGCTTCTCCATGCTGTATAGTGCCGAGGAGTCGGTTGAGGTTGGGAGGACGGTGGCCTGGTGGGGTTTGATCGCGACGCGGGGACGTGAGAGGGCGGAGCGGGTACCACCCTGCGTCATTGTTGCGCCCGTTGCTGTACTTGCGGCGGAGGAGAGGGTTGTTGAATTGAGAGCTGTGGTGAGTTGGGAGACTGCGCTTGGTTCTTCGTCGGGGGTTTGAGTGAGGGTGGACGGGTGCGGGAGGCCCGTTAGGGCCGTCCAGATGTCGGCGATTGGTGGGGCCGCGTCGGAGTAGGGGACTGTGAAGAGGGGTTTGTCCCAGCGGCTGTGCATGGAGGGTTCTTCGTAGCGGAAGATGAGGTTGTTGAGGAGGTCGGGAGGATAGGGGTCGCTTTCGGTTTCATCGGTGGTGGGTGGGTTCGGGGATTGTTCGGTCGTGGGTTCGTTAGAAAGAGAAGGGTCCTTGCTCTCGTTTGTCTGCGAGTCCGATTGCGACTGCGATTCCTTTCTCCGTCTCCTCGCCTCGTTATTCGCAACACACTGGTCAATCGGCGTCCCGACATGAACCTACACGCACATTCATTAGCCTGCCCGTGTCCCAATCCCAATCCAAACCAGGGAGTGACGAGAAAACATACAACACAACACGTCGTACCCAGCGCCTTCGCCTCACACCAAAGCTGATACCGATACCCCTTGATATAATTCATCCCATCGAGAATGACAAAGCTGTCGCGGCCGAGCGCCCGCTTCGCACGTGTATACGCCAACCCACGCGCCTCCTTCTCCGTACGTGCCGTATCGTACACTGTCCGCGGGTAGTTAACATTATCGTGCGTGGAAACGATGTTGATTTTGTACCGCGGTTTTGTCGAAGGGATTGCGCCTGTTTCGAAAAGGGTGGATTGGGCTTCTTCGAGGCCCGCGGCGAGTTGGTGCGCGCGGTGGGTGAGCCCCGAGCAGGGGTAGCCGGTTAGGATTATGAGCTGAGTGGTGCGACACTTTGTTAGAAGGGTTTTCTGAGTAGAATAGGGGGGAGAGACACGCTTACCGGCATGTTTGAGGGCCTTGGAGATGTTGAGTGTCTTGGACCCTGATTTTGCTGGGATTTTCTGTTTCGCGGGGCTGTGGTTCACCGCCTTTGCTGCTTATCAGCGGGAGTGCCAGGGCTGTTCCGTGCCCTGTCTTGATAACAACAACGAACTATACGCTCGCAGCTTGCTGAGGGCTCGGTCATGAATTGAGAGCTGAATCCATGACCGCAGCGCTGGCCAAGACGAGGCACCTACTGTTGATAAAGGAGATCGAGTCATTGACTGGCATAAAAACGAATCATAATTCTGGGAACCAGCGCTTGGCGGACATGGAGTGTCTGCTGATATCTCTCCAGAATCCGAATTTACGAATAAACTAGCTATATGCATATAATGACACATTGTACAGAATGGCATACGGCATGCAGCTTAGAACAAGACCCCCACTAGACCAACAACTGCAACAGCATACGCAAACATGGGCCCAACACCTCCGCTACTAAGGAGCGCGGCCGCATCACGATCGTCGCCATGTATATCTGCCGTGGAATCTGCCCGTGTCTGCTCAGACGAACAGACTACCTCTCCGGGTAGACCATCTGGATTAGTCTCATTGAGCTTGCCTGTGAACTCATCACAGTCGAAGTACAAGTCGGAAAGAACACTGATCTTCGAAAAGCTCCGCAAGTTTGGTACTTCGCCCCTTGAAAATGTTAGTCAATGATGTGCTAACGTATTTAGTGAGTGTCGGTGATGTGTGGGCGTACCTTTCGATATTGCCGCTTATATGCAAATTGGCGTTCTCAAGAAGCGGCATGCTCACGGATAGAGAGTTGCCGGCAACAATTTCGATGGATCCAGTGACGTTTCGTAATTTGGGGAGAGATAGGCTTGACAATGGAGTATGCAAGAATCCGCAGGAAGGGCTAAAGTTGAGAGGACAGGACGAACGACGAGATATTGCCTTGGAACCAATTGTCACGGTGGACGGTGCTGAGCTTGGGAAAGTCCATCAATATTCCAGGGCCATTTTGTTCAAAGTTTGAAACTGAATCAAGATGATCTTGTACGTCTTAATGGTGGTGAGCTCGGGGAGTGATAGGCTAAGCCAGATTGTCTTAATACAGGACTCGTCTCCATAGAGGCTTGCTGGAGATTACCTGGACATGTTTCCTTTGAAACTGACAATGGACGTGGACTCGAGGAGTGGGAGGGATATGCTCATCGTGGTCTCCGCTGCCGGCGGCCATAGGGTGTTTGACGAGTTTGAGATCCTGAAGGTGCGGCTGACTGTCCGCAGTGCTTCGAGTGACACCCTGTGATTAATGCTTGTTAGCATAGGGGCATATCAGGACAGTCGAGAAAAGTAAGTACGTTGATAGGTTTCCGTCAAAGCCTATACGGCCAACTCTCTCAAGCGCCGGGAACTCGAGGCTGCGAATATATGCAGGAAGAAGCAGGTCAATTCTGTCGGCGATCGCTAATCTGGGCGTGGACTATGTCTCCAAGTCATCGAGCGATCCGAGATCAATCCAGTCCACCGCCTCAAGATCAGGCATCTCAAACGACGTTAGTCCGAGGGGATCACCATACTCGCCTCATGTTCCGCTGACCATGGCGGGGTCGCTGATATTGACGATGTTGGGCAGTACAAACGGCCCGGTCAGATTTCTATCGATATCAAGCCTCCCGCTTATATCTCTCATCTCTCCGCAAGGGCGTTAATGTCATCTTGGGTATCGATAGTTGTCAGAAGGAGTAGTCCATAGTCCCTCTCCGCCAGGGTACCTGCTGATATATCAGCAATGCTCGCAAAGGGCAGTGGACTGGGTGATAGTGATACCAACAGGGAGTAGGCCGAGCGCTATGAGCAACAGTCACATTTTGCCTTGAAAATCAATCTCACACGCGAGTAGACGTGGGGAAGCGGGGAACTTGCAGCTTGGGGCATTTTCAATGTTTTTTTTTTGAGGTACTGGCTTGGCAGAAGCTAAACCTCGTATCCTCGAAGTGCTTTCCTTCTCGAGAGACGAACTTGGAGAAGAAAGGCTAGTATAGCTCTTGGCATTGGTACCACGTTGCTCATAGGTAGTGCGCGAGATCAAAGAGGAGGTTCGGAATTTTTGCGAGATATAGCATGAAATAGCACGATTTGTGATGTTCGAGAAGGCCAAGCCCTAATGATATATAGGTCCTGCCAAGTTGGAGAGATATTGAGCTTCGTACCGTCGAACTTTCAAAACTAAGGCGCTACACAGCATAGAAGGTACAGGTGCCAGTGCTGTTCCGTGTGTATAGAGTTAGCAAGCGGTATCTGGGCATAAACATTAAGCCCTAACTTTACGCTTTAGCCTCGAAACCATACTTCCTCAGTCATAGTCAAGACATAGTCCCAGTATGTTACCACCGTTATAATTGATAGTAGCGGATGAGGAATAAATCAAGAGATAGAGACAATGATGCATTCATACAGAGACCTGGACGCAGGTGAAGAGGCATCATTAAATAATTCGAAGAGGCTATTGTCACCAAGTCTTTATCAACGCGTCAAGTGAGAGAAGCACCGTTCCCTGTTGACATTCATGAGGGCGAATTTTGGCCATTTCATCCAGGCCATGCAATTCCATGTGAATAGGAAGCTTCGCTCACTGCTTGAGGGCACGCAACGGCAGAATTGGAAAGTGTATTCATCCTGAATAGATCTTGGAGACGTAAGAGAAAAGCACGAAGTTGCGCTTAGATAGGCGAAATCGTCTCATGAGCTGAATATAGAGGGCACGACTGAGTATTACCTGCGCGATCACAGTCAGTATTAGTAGTTTTCCATCACCATCAATAAAAGAAGAACTAGAGGGAAAAGCGATACCATGTGCTCTGCTGAGTAGGATCGTAACTCCTGTTTGCTCTGAATAAGTGTACTGTCAGTCCTTTTTGTAGCTGGCTGCAATTATGCCGGATAACAGGCAAACACGATAGACGCTGCTGGCGGTTTCAGCTGGTCGTTCCTTCCTCTTTTGCATATTGATAGTCATCTCGCATCGGAAAGGTGCACCTGACGTAGCTTCCTATTCGAGGGAGAGTCCAAGTTAGGAAGGTACGACCAGGGATCCGACTATATAAGGCAGGTGCAATGGAGGCGCTCGTCGTTCCTTCCTCTTTTTTTGCATTCAGATAGCTAGGTACGATCAAGGAAGGGGCGATCTATATCTGTGACGGTGACTAGAAACAAGGTAGAGTGACCTGCACGAGTTGTATACGACAGCTGCAGCTTCAGTCAACCCTTCATCTCATGCTGGTCGTCTCTGCTCTCAAGATTGGGAACGAGCATGCCTTTCTTGCGAGAGAACTGAGGTCAGATTGGCAGGTGCTATCCAGGCAGTCGACCTCGAGCGGTACGGTGGGACAGGTCTACCGGCCTTGTAGCTTCCGTATTTAGAAATTCATGTAGGAAGGCGCAACGAAGTCGATGTACCGTGTATAGGTGGAAGACGTCGTGGGCGCCTTCCTAGTGAGCTCTTCGAGGACAATCCTTGACAATCGATAAAAAGCGTACGTTCTACTTCAAAGGGAGCGCAGTTACTCGGTTTGGAGCAGGAACTTGACGAAGTACTCCGTACCAGTACGAAGTAGTGTTTCACTACTGTATCACTGCATTGCGAAACGGCTCTGGCTTGCTGATAAGTTTGCTTCCTAGTCTCATCTTGATTGATTTTTGACAGTTGTTGGGAATTGGACGCCCCGGATGTTGTGTAATGCAGGTATTGTAAGACTGTTTGTCCTTTCAGAATCTCGCCATTGTCGCTGATCAAGGCTGAAACTGGTGATTAAATGGGAGATATATGGTCTGATGCTATATCGAGTTCTAGACCCCTTCAGAACCTGTCCAAGAGTCTCTCATCGCTTTTGGAGAGGTCACATCTGACCGGTTAAGTCTGCTCTCGTGGGACCAGAACCCTCTTCCGATGCGATAAGATGACCCAGACCACTGGCACAGAAAGCGGTTGACTCAGAGTGTGGTGTATTGACCTCTTTTTTTTTGATGGATGTTTCTGCATTCTTTCGTCGATGCAGCGTAACTTTTGCAGTGCACCCTCAGAACCGAACTTGCTCGACAACTAAAGTCATCCACATCCACTTTGCTTGTCTGGGCCGCCTCACAGTTTCACTCACGACCAAATGTCATGGCACTTCCGGGAAAGGATAAGGCGTGAAGAAGAAGATCTGCGACCAAAAGACGGGATGTCCCGCCTATCCTGTTCAACTCCTTGGAAAGCCTAAAAGCCTAAAAGCCGAAAAGGCCCAACCAATCCTCTACCCTCAGACGTAGCGGTGAATATAGAAACTCCGTCGACAACTTTGTCGAAACCTCTCCAAAGGAGCAGCACGAGGATTGAAGGATCATAGATTTGTGTGAATAGGCCTATCAACGCGTGTCGCAGCGACGCCAGCCTCACTTTCTTGAAGTTTCTTCATCATCAAGTGCGGGATTTGCTTCATCCTGCCCGCCTCTCGTCGTCCAACCTAAGACAATTGGTTGGCTCCGCACATTCCGCACCCGTAAACTTCCATCGTCATCGTATAGCTCGTATTTAGTGAGCGGGGGACGTCCGCTGGGCCGCCTTGCTTCAAAGAGAAGGTCTTCGTGAAAGCGGGGGATGACAGTTGAGGGAGGACAACCAACTCCTCTGCTGACGAGAGAGGGCAAGTTCTGGCTGACCGTGGTCTGACACCACACCAGAGACACCGCCCCACCAGACTGTGCTCAGCTTGGCTAAGTCCGAAGAACTTAAGAAGTGAAAGTCCGAAGAAGCAGTCATCATTCCACAAGATCCTGATCTGCTGACCATGCAATGATCTGCGGAGCATAGCCATGAACAAGCAAGGAGATCAAAGATGACGTGATAGCCATCAGACTGCCAAAATAAGAGGCATTTGTCGATATTCAGGCGTACAATCAAGGGCGGCCAGTGCGTCCTTACAATTTCTTCTCAAAAGTGGCGCTTCTTGCCACGCTGACACCAACGGCGGTTCGGTGCCAGCTGGAAACGCATGAAGGACCGCAGGAGGAATGGAATTTTTGAGAGTCGAGATAGGGATTTGGACTTGCATTTTGCCCTTTGCCCTGCTACTGCACGTTTGCGTGGTAGATGCATGCTAGTTATGCAGTGTATGAACAAAGTCAAGGCCCTTGATAACGGGCCCCGAGGGCTGCCCGACTGTGCGTCAAACGTTGAGATCGCCCTAGTAATGCAGTGCTGGAGTCTTGACTGTTGAACTTTGGAATGCCACACGCTTACCTGTTCTGGGGACGACGTTCAAAATTCATGGGTGGACCCATGTGACATGGATGCGAGGCTGAGTCGCGGTCTGGGCTTTGCGTGTTTCAGGCGCGTCCTGCAGACTCACGAGCCTCGTGTCTATGGAGTCACGATAGAGTTATGCGGCTTCTCGTGTGAAGAATCTTCTGCGGGGGGGGGGTCTCTGCGCCGATGTTTATTCCATGCGATTCATTGTAACGCTTCGTGTTCCTGTTACTATGAATGAGTTTAATCTATCCACACTAGGTACTCCGCAATATTGCTGCCTTCTGAAGATGGGGCTGTGCCTGGGTAATCCACATCCTGAACATCAATTCCCATTGTTGCTGGCCTCCAATCATCGAAACCAGAAGCCATGAGCAATGTCGAGGTACATGGCACGCTCTTCTCTGACAGATGGCACATTTTGGTTCGTCCGTTTCCCTGCAACTGTCGTGTGCATTGCTGCCCGCTCCTGGCCGACGTCTCCGACCTGCGGCCGTTCGATGCCGAGAGCTGCCTCAGCTTTCTCGGGCTCACCAAGTTGGCTGCCCAGGTTCATTCGTGGAAGCCCTGGTAACCGCAGAGCTGGGTCGAAATTGATGAAAATTATCGCTTGGTTGCCAGGCTCCAAGTTGTCCTTGTTTACCGAATACACAATTGACCGATCGTCTGCTATGGCTTGAACTTGTCCAGTCCTTTTGGAGGGACATAGTAAGTCGTTTAGCTCCTGAGGAGCCTCATCTGGTGGCCAAAGGTGTACACCGCGGGAAGTAAAGCGCTCTTCGCTGTTTTCCACTAAGCGCCCGTCTGATTCGAGCTCAGGTTTAAACAGGAGCCCCCGATCACCGCTTATTCCTTCCTCGTCAATAGGACATTTTCGCTTCCTCGACACCATGCGCAGCCGCAAACGATCTCGAGGTACAAGGTCGCCGCCGCGTCTACTCGGCAGTGGGTCGTTCACAAGGTCAAGGTAGCTGGAGGCTGAAAGATTGTATGTGCGGAACTTTGTCTTTGCCAGGATGAAGTCACGCCTGGGCTTGGGTTCAATACCCCCGTCATACTCGGCATGATAGTGTCTGCGAAGTCGCTTCCTTGGTCGTTCATAGTTGGGCTTGCTGTTTTCGTCTAGCATTTTCGCTAGAGGTTCGTCTGGTGGGGCAGCAGTATAGTAGTCGGAAGTTGGCTGTTGTTTGTCAACGTCTGCTGGCGCTGGGAGAGGCTGAATGTAATATGTCCGGCAATTCTCACTGCCTCCGTCACGCCATTCCCTGCGGCACTCCAGAATCATCAGTTGCCCGCTTGTCTCGTCCTCTCTGAGTGAGAGATCGGACCACGTATCATTGATGGGCCCCTCTCTATGCTGTCGACGCCAGGTACGATGTGTCTTGACACCTTCCTTGGGTATTTGAAGTCTGGGATCTAAACATATCCAAACGTAGTATGACGTCCAGTCAATTTCTTCTTCCTGAAAGTCAACCAGAGTTGAAATAGCGTAGAGGTGATCTTGGTATACTTCAAAGCAGACTGTCTGTCCTATTTCCATGCCTGCAAACTTGTCAAGCACGACCATGCTTTCGCTATTGATCTTCATGGTGTTGAGATCTGCGCAATTGACTTCCCATTGCGTGTGCCCATGGGTTCCAACGGCAGAATGAGTCCCATAGTAGAGATACGACCTGCTATGCCGCACAAAGAGCCGCTGGGTTGACTCAAGCTGTGCTCTGAGCCGCAGCCGGCCGCTTTTTCCATACGTTGACCGACGCTGAAGATCCACGGCCAAAAGCCAAGCTTCGCGCCTGTCGTCCAGCTCGACGAGGAAAGCAATAACCCAGTCGCTATAGTTCATCAGTGAGACGCGTGTCATTCCATTTTCTGGATTGCAGTCAGGGATTGCTCGACGCAGCACCTTGGGGAGATTTAAGACTTGCTCGACGCGACTAGCGCCTCGCACATCTAGGGCTCGGATCTCATCGTTGAATATGTAACACAGCGATCCTCCAGTGTAGAGGAACGAGCTTCCATAGCCAAGGACCGAAGCCGAATAGGGTTGAGCGGTTGCAAAAGACTCTTTGATGTCGTACAAGTGCCCGATGGCCTTGCGGTAACCTTTCTTGGCCCGATCGGCTTCCCTTCCTTCTTTAGTATGCAGTAGATCGCTCTAAATGACGAAGAGTTAGTCTTTGTTCCACGAGAAGCGAATTATTGGAGGTCGACCTTGACGGTGTTTCGAGCAATCGAATCGCTTTTCGTCAACGCGTAGATCGACCGATTGACCCGACTAAGATGGATGTAATCATGGCAATCGAGTGTAGAAGCGACTTGGTAAAAGACGTCGTATGGAATAGAGTCCAAATTCTTGGTCATTTTCTACGATGACCAGAACAGCGGACAGGAGGCCAGCGAACCAGAGGAGAGAGCAACCAATGCAGTGTCGTGGTATTCTTCGACATCGGAACTCTGGAAATAGGACTGGACACTCTAATTGGGAGTGAGTAACACCCAGAAAGAGAATTATACCCCAAGCCAGGTTGGAGTGGGGGCTTTGGGGATAGTGAATAAGAGTGATCGCGTCGCAAAGGCTGTGCTGTCACTCTGGGTAGGAAGGGTGGGGACGCAAATAACAGCCTGAAGGCCTAAAAACATGCAGCTTAAAACTCATGCATTGAGTTGGAGGCATGCTTTTAGTACTTGAGATTATCGATTGAGCCGCATACTTAATTGGGAAAAGAGTCAAAGTGGAATGAGCAAAAAAACTGGTTGGAGTTGACAATAATAAACTAGAGTGAAGTGGGGTGGAAAAGAAGATGATCTGTTGCGCACGCAAGGCTAAAGGAACCGGAACCCAGGAACCCATCCAGGGGCGAGTTGCAACTTCTGTTGAGAATGAGGCTCTAAGGAAGGTTGTTCGCGGCTGGGCCTTGGAGACTGGCTCGCCCCCCGCGGCAGGTATTTTCCACTTTCTCGTGCCCACGAAAGTCTCAATCTCATGTTCACCCATAAAGGGTAAATTATGATGCCATGATCCATCTCCCTCGTTTAATAGTGGACCATATACTTTCTCTATTTCTCTTCCATCCACTCATGCTCCTTGTTTCGAGCCTCATGCCTCGTTCGTTCTCCTCTGGGCTCCGTCTCGACTCTCGAGAGACAGGAGCTCGCTCAGTCACACTGCCATTGTGGCGCCAGGGCCCTTACCGCGTAGTAGCCACTAACTTGGAGTAATCCTCAGCTTACACCTGCGGCAGAAAGTGGTTCCTAGGCTCCAGTCCCGTCGTGGCGATTTCTTACCTGGAGCAAGTGGTCATCTCCGAAATTCGAGTTGCTGAGGCCAAACAGTAATGTGGCACAGCCTCGTCTTATCGCATGAGAACAAGGATATGTTCGGTCGCTTTTCAAGTTTGCAACCTGCATCCTTCCTAGCGCCTTCGAATTCGAGGTTCCACTCGCATTGCTTTTCGCCTCTTACTGATCCCGCTTTTCTCTCAGGTCTGACATCCCAACCTCCGTTATTATTTATCGCCGTTCGACCCACGACTCTCTCCACATCGCGAAAGTTTCGATGCTGATGCCAGACAGGTCGCCTCAAATTGGTCGTGTGATTTTTCGCGCACCACGGACCACTAGCCATTATGACAGAAAGAGCGCGAGGCTGTGCAAGGCTAGGGCACTCCTGTCAGTTGACGATGGGGCTTCTTTATCTCGACGAGGTCGATCTTGATGCGCCATAGGCTACCCTGGCTCCGCATTTCTTCTGAACCTTGCTTGAGAAGGGTTGTGTGCTTCCGATTGATCGGCGTGCTACGTGAGAGCAGCCTGGAAGTTTAGCAATGCTCGGGCTGCATATATTCTTCGACGGAGATAATATGGCGAGTCCTTCCTTCAAAGATCGGGTGAATCCCAACGTTGTTAATTGGATCCGCGTGACGAACATATGCAGAGTCTGCTCGGCGAGAAGAAAGCAATGATTGTAGCGACAAGAGCTACTCTTTCTGGCTTGCCGCAGAGACTTCATGGGCCCTATCCGAGCCTTACACAGGGTTGGTTGCCACCATTTGTGACACGACGATGCTCTCTTTGTTTGCTGTTTTCCTGTTCATGAGTGAGCGGTCCAAACGCTTGCTGAAGGCTGAGCAATCAGCAAAAAGCCTGCATACAGTACACCATTACTAACCGGAAAGCAAGAAGTACCCCGGCAGGATTCAAAGAGGGGAAATGAGAAGTTTGTTCCGGCAGCCTTGCCTTGCCAGAATGACTTGAATATCAGGGATACACCATAGAGTAACACAATTAGTCGGTTCTTTGACCCGGGACTCAACAGAAACCGTACTTTTACTTCGTTATCCAGGACCCCTCCGCCGCAATCACAACGAAGATTGCTCGTGTCCATCTCTCGTTTGAAGGGTTATTTCAAAACACTCGACGTTTGGCATCATCTCCAAGTGAGATGGTCAGCGAAGTATTCCAGAACTTCGAGAAACAGCTTAGAACGTTGATACGGTCTTCTAGAAAGCTGCCAGATGATTCTTATGTGTTCAATGCCCCGTGACCACGTGAGAGAGCGGTGCTCTCCGCTGTACTACCAATTGTTTCAAAACAGGGATGAGGATTTGAAAAAGAACCATATATTATCCGAACGGAGTCCAGTGCGTTGTCCAGTTGGACATGATATTATCCTAGCAATAACGATGCAATGCCCAATCCCACGGCAACCCCAGCACCCACAACCTTTGCACCGGCTGCCGCATTTCCCGTGGCTTGTGAACCAGAAATAGGGCCATTGTCATTCTGCGGCTGATCGGAGATGCTGAAAAAGTTTGCCCAGTTTAACCTCTGGCACCTACCATCTCCCTTTTCCTGGTATGGGATCTCTACGAACAAGCTATCACGAAGCATGTTTATGACCATATTAGCCGGCGGCGCCGGAATCGTCGAGATGGCGAACATGTTGAAGCACTGCCCGAGCACGGGATAGGCGCGGCTAAAGTCGAGCTTCGTGGTCCCCGGTTCCAGACATTGCGTGAGAAGATTTCGGGCCACGTTGATTGGGACTGTCACTCTGCCTAGCATCCGGGGAACCGAGCACTGGATTGTATTATTGACTACCCCAGTTGCTGTGCGGTACGCTGTGCATGTTCCGCAGTAGATGACGTTGTTTCCGCCTGTTTAGTTAGTCTTCACTCAGACTATAGGGCAAGCTAGGGAATATACAGTTATACAATTCCTGGCAAGTATGCGGAACGATGTTCTCAAACTCCGGTCTGATGTATTGCAAATAAACATTGCCAAATGTTGTCCCACGACCCGAAACCTTGCGAATCGCCTTATCTTCACAGAAGCGGAAAAGCGAGGTGTTCTTCTTTACGCGACTGACGAGGATCGAATCATGCACAGCGTGGTATAAGATAAGCCGATCGGTCAGCATCCCACTCTCACACTTTGGAATCTTGAGTTCTGCCCCAATAACTGCAGCAACGTCATCGCGGCTCGGAAAATTATCGAGAAACTTCCTCGCCTGTTTCTTTGGAATCGTCACCCGGGGCGTCTTGTAGAGTAGCCAAGCGCCCTGATTCGTGAAGAGGAAGTATTCCGCTGTGGAGGCGTCGTAGAAGACGGGGAGTGTGTCACTGAGCGGAATGGGGGTCTTCAAGTCCCAGGGATAGATGGATCGGAGCTCTGGAGGTTGCGTGCCTGGTTGGATGGTGAGTGTCGCGGGGGTATATGCCAGCGCTGTTGATCGCACAGTCGTGGGCGCTGTCGTCTGCGCTGGCGGAGGCGTCGCCAATGGGTCCTTTGATTCGGGGACCGTGGCAGAGGTTGAGGTTGAGGGGGGTTGCTGTTGTATTGGCGCTGCCGCCGATGGCGCGGGTTGCGGTGCTTGAACAACCTCTGCCGCAGCTGCCGCAACTGCCGGGTCCATATCCGCAATCTGAAACGGCCTGATAAATGAGATCTGGTAGCCTCGCGGGCGATCGATGCGCTTGCTGGCTTATTCACGATGTGAAAGGGTTCGTGGTCGTTTAAGGTGGCATCGGCATCGCGGGGCGTCGCAAAACGAGGATGAGCGAGCGAGCGGACGATCGAGCGACGGGGATCCTGATATACGGGAAATCCATTTTCTGCCATGAGTTTGAGACAGTTGGGCGATTTCTAACTTGGGGTCTTGCTCGTGTTCATTCTGTGTCGGGTGTGTCTGCGCCCCAAAATTTTGGGTTTGTGAGTGATGGAATACGAGCACAACCTTTGCTCAGCCCCCGAAACAGATATGGAGAGTTGCACTGCTCATCCTTTCCCAGGAACTTGCCTTTATCAAACACTTGGTGATTTAGGGCTGGACCTATGGAAATGGCCAGGTGGAATGACGTCGCCCTGAGAACGGAAAAAGCGGCGAGTTAACCCCTCAAAAAGCACTCGCAACCCGGATTTCTCAGGCAGAGCTCTTGGAACACAAACTACTGATCGCCACTAGAGACCGTACTGTTGGGGATCAAACGGAGACACTGCTGAAAAACATGAAACCACCGTCGCGGCGCAGTGCCCTCGACACGCCTTATGATATCTGATAGCGGCGATGGAGAACCATGAGCCTCGCACAAGCAATCAGAAGAAATCTTACCAGAACCCTCCTTACCCTCGTTCTATGACCCAAGGTGTGAATGCGAAGATATACACCGCGCTGAAGATGCCGCCGAGAATCTTACCAACTTAAACTGACCATATATTACCATGGAGATAAGAGCTGGCTCAGACTTCCTTCTTCATAGCAGTCCGTCAAGTACCTGGTGATATGACTGTAAAGATATTCACCAGCTTCACCCGAGTGGGATAATACACAACGCCGAAGCAGCCGCGACTATTCGCGCGCGCAAGCCGGTCATTCCCCAAGCAGGTGCTCACTGGCCGAACTAAGAGAAGTACGGGAATAACGCGCTGGAGCCACGGTGTCAGGCTTCAGGTGTATACCTCGTGCGGTGGCGCGGAACGCACACGACGCACCATCCCTCAGGGAGCCGGTGGTAGAGCTCTAATGGCCACGCTAGTTACTCGTGCTAGGTACATGATGCTCACTTGCCAGGGAAGTTGTATGATTTATGGGAGGGATTGGCGGAGGAACCGGTATATTATCTGAGATCTATAGGGCTGATTAGGGCTAGCTGTCAGTAAGCTACCCTTGGACATAAGAGTTGCTTGTCGGCAACTCCGATGGCTACCTTACATGCTGTACTCTGGTCCAGGCATCAAGAACGTGCCTCTTGACACCTCATGGTTATGGCGGCCTGGCCTTCTATACGACGGTATCTAACGGATGTCGGCTGCCATACTTTTCATCACACAAGCTCTTCTAACCCTCTATTCTGTTCCATCGTCTTTACACCATAACCCCAGCTGACAGCTTTCTAGGACAAAATACTATGAGCAAAAATCTCTATGGTTATGGGTTGAGCTTTCTGAGCTTAACCCAACAGGTCAATTATTCGCAAGAATCGCGCAACACCCATCTTTGAAACAAGACATCTCGGAGAGCCAACGCCAACTAAGGACGTGAAACATGAATCTGAATGTTTCCATTGACATGGTTCGACCCCTGAACCGTCGTTTGAGTTGCAGATTTGACACAGATATCGAGAATCCGCCCGGCAGAGCGCGCGAACGTGGAGCTAGAAGCTAGTCAGTACCATTACTGTCATTTGCGCAAGCACACATGGGGACACCGATGATGAGCTCAAAAAAGTGTCTTCAGAAGCTCTGAAGATGAGAGAGATAAAGTGATAGAAGAGAACCCTACCAAGGCAAAATCGACCCATGTTTGTTAACCGTCACACCATAGATCTCTGCGAGACCATACTTGACCAAAGACGCGCCACCCGCATAGGGGATGTGACAGTTTGCGTTTCCGCGCCTGGCGAGCTGGCTGATGGCGTCTGAGGCGTCTTGAAGCTTTAATGGCAGGCGAACTGTTAGCATCCCACGCCGTGAGTCATAAAAGCATGCATGTATCATCTTTCATCTCGGAAGGAAGTTCAGGTAACGACATACCGAGGCTTTCGGCTTCCCACTGTCATTACAGCTAATTGACTCTCGCGCTGTGAGGTCGCCGCTGCGCTTTTCGAGGGCTAGGCAATTTCCCAGGACTGTTAGCACTGAGCCATCGGGGATCTATTTGAAGAGACCAAGTCCTTGAGATCTCTGGAATACTCGAGTAGGTAACTCACCAGCAGCGTCCTGCGCAGCAGCAACAGCCTCGGCGGGCGAGAGATGGTCTCCCTCCGGGTCCGCGATGATGCCGTTGACCCAGGTCTCGAAGCTGAAGCCTGTACCGGTGTCGCGAGCTTCCATCTCCATTTCCATTGCCGAGCGCTGAAAGCCAGTTGCCGCTGCAGGAGCGGCGACGGTGCATGAGACTAGGGCTGCGAGGCCGAGGGCGGAGCTGAGGCGGACCATTTTTGCAGTGGAATCTTGGGGTTAAGAGAAAGATGGGTTCTCGATGAAAAGGGGTGGTGGAGAGGGCGTTGAGGACCATTAGAGTTCTGTTCATGAAGACCACTTTCAATGTCTGCAGTACTCGACCCTTTTATACTTCGATTTCAGCGCAAATCGTTCCATTGAAATCTCCTGCCATTGTTCTACAAGGTTGATACAGAGCCACTGCATGGGGCAAAAGAGCAGCGTCGAGTCCCAGCCCTCGTATGCGTATGTATTTGATGCCAACTGTTGGCGGATCTATGCCCGAAGATGCAGCAGCGAGTTTCAGACAATAAACATTATGGATTGGTGCACTGAAAGACCATCTACGCCTCCTCCATACGGAGAACTCCGTAGGCTAGAATGAGTGAAGTGGCTGCCGTTCAGATGTGTGACAACAGAGACCTATACGAATACGCAATACGGCGACTAGGGATATGCTGCGGCGTATACATGCGTATTCAGAGGTCCACAGCGCCGTCTTTGTAAACCATGACTAATGGACAGCCGGATGAAGGATTCTTGAAGCTTTCAATACTCACAGCCATAGACAACAGGGAAAGCATTCAAGCACAAAGGCCCCTCGCCGATAAGGAAATAAGCCTGCTACTAAGCCGAGGTCCCCTCCCATGGCTCCTGGCAAATCAAAGTGGGCTCTCGGGCTTGCAATAGTTATGGATCAATTAGTCGGATGGCGACGAGCCCAATCCAGTCAACTACCAGTGCTATAGGTAAACAAGTGGAAGTTGAGCACTGCAAGATACCACGCCTGATGGATAATACACCATTATCAGGGCAGTCCTACTTTGCACCCCATGCCAGGCAACGTGCCCCCCCTTCGCCACAGATCTCATACAGCTTCATTGCGGGAGCACCGTTCGGCTCTGGTTATACACAAGAATGTCTTAAAACTTTAAAAGACATATGTACCATCAGCCTACATCTATTACAAAGTAAGCTTTAAGGTGAGTCTCAGAACGAAAGAACACAAAACGGCGCTTTGCTCTATCTTCCTCAAAGCATCGTTTTCTCGAATTCTAGTGATCCCTTCTAGTTGAACAAATATTTCGACTATTCAGCGGCGAATGGCTGGGGAAGCCGCCAACACACTCCCACCCTTCCAGGGCCAGGGAAGCGGAACATATTAAATAATACCAGCTGAAAGGAAATTGAAGGCTGGAACCTGGCATTCGGCTGTTATAGAAAGCCTGAGAAGCCCGTGCACAACCCACCAATCAGGACCCCACACCTCCCCCGCCATCCCACGTTTCAGTTCAGGGTAAATCCTTCCGGAGACATCCATGGTGACTATGGCGACTCAAAGCTCACGAAGAAGAATACCATTACTAGGAACTCAAGACTCAAATAGCAGGGATACCCCAAGTCATCGTCGTCGGAAACAGCCGATTCGGAAGCGACAAATGGATCCATTGCGTGCTGCGGTGGGGTTGGCAAGCTAACTGTTGGAGAAGTCTCAGCCTGAAATAAATATCTCCATTCTTCATTCTTTAACTCGGAGACAACTGATCTGCTCTGGAGTTCCAATGCGTCAATAATCGCATCACCGTTTAAGATGTCTCCTGGACCAACTACTGCCCCAAGTGTTGAAGAATCCGTGTCGCCGAACGTCCTACAAGAGCGGCATGGGTTTCCCAAAGAAGGACGGTATTCACTCTCATACTGGCTCCAGAGTGTCCAAGGAGATCCGCTTCTGAATCACAGTACGACGCCGGAGGTGCCATCGGAGTCGGACATTGTTGTTATTGGGTCTGGGGTGAGTTTCCCGACGAGGTTGGATGTGCATGAGATAAGAAACTGACCCTGATAGATGACCGGGACATTAGTCGCAAAACACAGCAAAGAAACATGGCCTGAAAAGAGCGTGGTGGTCCTTGAAGCCCGCGAGTTCTGCTCTGGTGCCACCGGCAGGAATGCTGGCCACTGCAAGCCAGATCAGTGGCGCGGATTCGCGGCGTATGAGAAGGCATTCGGGACTGAGCAGGCTCTCAAGGTATATCGATGCCCCTTTCCCTGTGGCGTCGCTAACGAGGCACTTAGATCCTTCAAAACGAGCAAGATACGTGGTCCGCCCTGGTGAAGTACATACGAGAGAACAATGTCGACTGTGATCTTTGGGTTGGTGACACGCTCGATGTGCCCATCACACCAGAAGTCGCGTCAACCGCGAAGAAGAACTTTGAGCGATACAAGGCAGCTGGTGGGAAGGTGGACCAAATCAAGGTCACTCACGATCCGGCTACAGCAGCAGAGGTATGAAGCCCGTCCCAAGTCCGTGAGCTAGCTGAACAAGCGCAGATATCACAAATCAAGGACGCGCAAGCGTGCTATGCCTGGTCTGCTTCTACTCTGTACCCATGGAAGCTCACGGCACATATTATGCGCGAGAATCTAGAGAAGGGAATCAATCTTCAAACGCGCACCAAGGTTACAAGCGTCATCCGGTCTCCCCGGTGCCCAGAAAAATGGCTAGTGAAAAGTGATCGCGGCGAAATCGAATGCTCAACAGTCGTTCACGCGACCAACGCGTATAGCTCCGCCCTCGAGCCATCACTCCGCGGACTCATAAACCCGACGCCTCACATGTGCGACCGCATCAAGCCACCAGTAGCGATTGAGGGTCGAGGCCTCCAGAACTCATACGGCGTTCTCCTCCCGGACGGCGGCCTATTCAGCATCAACCCTCGGAGTCACCTCGAAGGCTCAGTCCTCTTCGGCGGCAGCAACCCGGGCCAACGGACATTCGAGAACTGGCTGCAAGCGCACCCAGAACGAAGCACAGACGATAGCCTCGAAGGCTTCAAACCTATAACCGAGGCTGTTCAAACATTCGCCGAATCGGAGATAACGGGGTGGAAGGCGGAATTCGATAACCATAGTTGGAGTGGAATTATTGCTATAGTAAGTCAATCCGTTCATCATTTCTTTCATCGGAAGAAGCTAAAGACGAGTAGAGCGCAGACGGCGTGCCATTTGTCGGAGAGTTACCTGGATTACCCGGTCAATGGGTGTGTGCAGGACATCAGGGACAGTAAGTGCATCGAAACTTCCCGTTGCTTCTACCCTTGAATGACTAGGCTAACGTCGTACTCGCATTGATAGTGGAATGGCACGCATATTCACAGCGGCGCCTGGACTCGTTAAGCTAATAAACGGCAGTCCTTGGGCCGACACACAACTGCCTGATGTCTACCAGATCACACCATCGAGGGTCCGCAGATTGAAAGGGCTTGTCGAGAATGGAAAGGCGAGGTCTCGTCTCTGACAGTGGCGGCATGCGGATGAAGGGTTATTATAGACGCTGCTAGTCAGTGTATCCGCTGGTTGTAGCATGAATGCTTCATATGCTTCTTGTACTAAGTGTTGAACCTGCCCTAATAACTAGTAGACGAAAATACATAGTTTATATCCGCCTACCTTGAAGCCAAATAGTAGGGTGCCCTATTCGGACGCCTTGCCCTTGGCATCCTGTCGTCCGTCCGCGGCTTTCAAGCCCAAGTCCTTTTTGATCCCAAGAAACCAGTACGTGTAGAAAACCCCCGGGATACAAGCGCATTCCCCACTCCGAAGCTCCCACTCACTCACATCAAGTCCCGTCCTCTCCACCAACCCTGCAATCTCCCGCGGCGTCCGAGCTCGGCCCGCAGAGACAAGCGCATCCCAGACGAGCATAAGCGGAATGAGCGGTATGAGGTACGTGAAGAGGATATGAACCGGAGAGCGTCTGAATTGTGGTGATGCTATAGTGAAGACGAACGGGTAGAAGGTGGATCCGATGATGCAAGCTATGACGGAGGTGAGGTTTCGTGCGCAGCCTTCTTGGATTCTAGACGGGGGTTGTTAGTTTATATACACATATTATAGTCTTGATGAAGATAAGAGGATGGAGACCGTACAAAAACGCATCAGCCTCTTGGATAGCGGCGCTCAGAACAGCGACAGCCGCTTCCTCGTCAAAATGGTGGAACGAGGCGTTGAGCATCCGACACTCTTTCCGTCCACGAGCCGCAATTCTTCTGCATTTCACCGCGTCAAGGGGCTTCTCTACGTAGTTGATATTCCCTTGACGTTTCGCGATAACATCCCATTGATCGATGGCTGGATACAGGTCTGTCAGGACGAACTGGACAGCTTGTTTCCCCTGCTCTTTGAGGTGGTTGTTCACCCGGGGCTCGATGTACGTAGTTGGTCCTCCGGCTCCGGCGCAGAGCTCAACGAAGATGAACGAGGAGAGATCCGAGAAGTTGTCGAGAATGGTTTCGGAGGCAGCGGCCGCAGAAGTGCGAGTGGTGATTCCGGGGATAGAGAAGTGCCATAAACCAACCAACATGGACTGCGCATACACGCGGTACCATTCTGGAGACCAGGGTTGGTCGATGAACTCGAAGAGGTGGATGCGGGGGAAGAGAGTCATGGCGCTGGTAGTTGGATGCACTCAGAGAGCCCGCTCTCAAGGAAACAGGTGGGGATATGAATAACGTCGAGTTGCACAGAGATCGGCGGGTTTGTCAATTGACTCTGTGATCATCGGATGATATTCGAGGTCTGATGAATGTGTCCCGCCCATGTTGTGCCGCCTTGGTATGCACCTGAGTTAGAGGAGACAGCACGGCTAGGTCCACGGATGAGCCACTGAGGAGAAATCTAACCTAGTTGTCAGTAAGTGGTGCCGAATGGGCCGCGCAGAGGCCTTGCCTGGGTATCCATTGGGGTGGTGTAGTCCAGGATGTCCTGGGACGTGTTGAGACTCGAGGGTCGAGGCCTACAGAGGATATTTGGGAAAAGACGCGGTGCAACGTATTGAAAGCTTCCTGTGAGTAATCAACTTTTACATTGGCCGAGCTTGTAGCCATCCGTGTGCTTGAATTTCATGCCGGACCGAGTCTGACGCAGAGCACTTCGAGTTGCGTAGCCCGTTTCACCGCGGTCCTCCATCTGATTGAACTCCGCTGGTACCATTCGTCATCAATCTTTTCTGCTCCATGCTGATGCCATTATGTCTCTCCTTATTCACATTCAAGAGTAAGGTTAGTTCAGCCTATGCATTTGAACTGGGAACTTGCCTGCACTCGAGTCTTGCATCGTAAATCTAGGAATGGATCTCTGAAATGAGTAGGCCCTCAATAGCCCGAGAGCTACTAGCTGTTGCTTTTTGTGGCTCAGAGAGGTAGAATAGATTACTCACAGAATCAAAGTAAAAGTGTTTTCGAGGTTCTTGTAAGGTAAACAGTAGCAAGTGTTAGTGGTGTGTTGTTGGGGACATCAGAGAAACGTCAGGAACGCAATTGTTAGTCACTGCGGCCTGCATATCACCAGCAAATGTGCTAGTTTCAGGTTTCGTGCTTGCCAAAGAGCAAGAAGTTGTGGTATTTTATTGCTTTGATCAGGGCCCTGTTCTAGTTGCCTAAGGCCACGACGCGTTGTGGATGGTAGCGCCGGTGCATTCCCAACCAGGCCGAGTCGAACATTAGCAGATCGGAAGGGCCATTTTCGTCTCGCACTGTTATTATCCAACAGTAGTGATGAATTCTAGGATCATGCCAGGTGCATTCCAAGTATTTCCAAGGTTCGGTGTAACTGGAAGAATGCCAGTACATAATTGGCTCGGAGTGTGTTTACGGCTCAGCCACAACCGCAGCCCCTCCTATGTCATAGCTCAGCCACGGCAACGAACAGTCTAACCGTCAGCGGTTCTTGTCGAAGGCACCAGCAATCCAAGCCAATTCTCACTCTCTCCCCCACTTCCTCTCCAACTCCTCCCTCTCTTCCTTTTCGGGTGCATTGTCACAACACACATCCTGCCCCCTATCCATTTGCCCAACAGCAACGACATACACCGCACATTTGAGACTTCCGCCGCCTCCGAGCCGCTAGCCAGGGTGCGAGATGAGTTTAAAGGGATTCCAGAAGAGTCTCGTCCGCGCTCCGCAGACGTTCAAAGCCAGGTTCAACATTGGCGAGAACACCAAGGACGCCGTCTACAGCGATGCGGAGCGCAGATTCCAGGAACTCGAGAAGGAAACCAAGAAACTCCACGATGAGTCGAAGAAGTACTTTGACGCTGTGAATGGTGAGGGATCCCCGCAATCTCACCCCCCTCTCCCCCGCTTCACCACTGCTAACATGTCCGTCTAGGCATGTTGGACCACCAAATCGAATTTTCCAAAGCCATGACCGAACTCTACAAACCTATTTCCGGCCGTGCTTCAGACCCGAGCACCTACACGATCGAAGGAAACCCAGAAGGTATTCGAGCTTGCGAGGAATACGAAGCCATTGTGCAGGACTTGAAGGAATCACTAGCGCCTGAGCTTGAGATGATTGATACCCGTATCGTCAGTCCCGCCGAACAGCTTTTGGAAGTAATCAAGGCGATCCGCAAGGTTGCCGTCAAGCGAGACCACAAGAAGCTCGACTACGACCGCCACAAGAACACCCTCAAGAAGCTCCAGGATAAGAAAGACAAGTCATTAAAGGATGAAAAGGCGTTATACAAGGCCGAAGGCGATGTGGAACAGGCCACGCAGGATTACAACTACTACAATGATCTGCTAAAGGACGAATTACCCAAGCTGTTCGCCTTGGAAGCCGAATTCATTCGACCATTGTTCCAGTCCTTCTACTACATGCAGCTGAACGTTTTCTACACATTGCACGAGAAAATGCAGGACATGAACATCGGGTACTTTGATTTAACGCGCGACATCGAAGAAGCATACGAAGAGAAGCGCGGAGACGTTAAGGAGCGTGCGGAGGAGCTCACAATCGTCCACTTCAAAACCACGGGCGGGCGTCGCACAAACTCGAAGCTTGGACCAAAGGACAAGCTCGCGAATGAACACAAGGGCCGCTTTGGGTCACGTCCCAACGATCCTGACGTTGTCGAGAACCCCCCACCACCCTACTCGCCTGGTGCTAGTGGGAGTGCCCTTGCTGCGGCCGCGGCTAAGAAGCCAGCACCTCCGCCACCAAAGCCTAAGCCCTCAAAGTTCAACGCTGCAGTTGAGACTGTAACAGCACTGTACGACTACGAAGCGCAAGCCCACGGCGACCTCAGTTTCTCGGCTGGCGAAGTGATTGAAATCGTCACGCGTACAGACAACCAGAACGAGTGGTGGACAGGCCGTGTTGATGGACGAGAAGGACAGTTCCCAGGTATGCCACTCCGGATGTTCCTCAATCAAGTGTGGTGAACTAATTTTCGCAGCAAACTATGTTCAGTTGAATTAATCGAAAGAGTAAGAGATATCATACGCCGTTCTAATCCTCATCTTCTGCATCTGCCCTTGCTCTTCGAGAGTCCGGAGTCAACCAGACCCGCATCAAGAACATCGTTCGACCGCCCGCTTTGCACGCAGTGCCCACGTGGCATTGGCATATCGCCCGTGTATATATACCTTTGGATTTTAGCAATTATGATCGAGATGCATACCAATCAGCCAACTCAGTATCCTGCTCAGTAGAATGTCCCCTACGCAGACATCTGTGCATTAGATTTCCGTGTCTCAAGTCCAATAATGCCAAGCAGTCTGGCTTATATTTTCCATCAGTAATAATATCCTGAGGCTTCGGGTTCTACTCCGAAGTGGGATCGGTTGGAGGATGCCCCACCAGGTGGCAATGATCAGCCGATGATCTCATTGTATAAATACCCCGATGGAAATACGCCGACTTGCTCCAGATCATCTATCTCCATCGTCACACTGCACATTAGTCCGGGGATCACCATGGCTGCCCTAAAAGGTCTCCGCTCTACATACCGCATGAATTCGGGGCACGAGATCCCGGTTCTCGGATACGGTGTAGGTAGCTCTCATCATCGCCATAAAAATAGCTACTGACGAACCCAGGTCTACCAAATGTAGTTCCCCTCATGCTATAACTCTGCATTCGAAGACAACAGAATTGACCGTTCAATAGCGCTCCGTCTAAAACAGAAGAAACAACCCGAGAGGCATTGCGCTTGGGATACCGTCATGTGCGTTGACCCGCTCACACTAGAACACCAATTGATCTAACCGACGTAGGTCGACTCTGCAATCATGTACCGCAACGAAAAGGCATGCGGCCGCGCCATTGCCAGCTCTGGCATCGACCGATCCGAGATCTTCTTTACGACCAAGATCCCACCGGAGTCCATGGGCTACAATGCCACAAAGCGGGCATTAGACTCCAGTCTGCGGACTGCAGAGCAGGAATACTTTGATCTGTCCGTTACCAGCCAGAATGGCAACTAGAGTCACCTGGAAATTCCCGGCTAACACTTCTTACCAGAGTCCTCCTCCATGCCCCCTACGGTGGCAAAGAAGCCCGCCTCGGCTCATGGAAGGCGCTTGTTGAGGCTCAGAAGGCCGGCAAGACGCGATCGATCGGAGTCTCGAACTATGGTATCCACCATCTCGACGAACTAGAGGAGTATATCAAGTCTAGCGGAGACGGGAGCAAGATTGATGTCGGACAGTATGAGTTGCACCCTTGGCTCGATCACTCTGATATCGTCGAGTGGCTTCAGAAGCGCAACATCATCGTGGAGGCGTATTCGCCTCTAGCTCATGGTACTCGGATGAAGGAGCCCTTGCTCGCAGATATTGGAAAGAAGTATGGCAAGTCCCCGGCGCAGGTTATGATTCGTTGGAGTTTGCAGAAGGTCGGTCCTTGCTCACCCTTATACTCCGTATTCATTGGCTTATCTGACCATTTTTTTCAGGGCTTTGTACCTCTCCCCAAGTCTGTCACGCCCAGTCGGATCCAGGAGAATTCGGAGGTCTTTGATTTCGAGCTCTCGGACGAGGAGATGAAGATGCTGCATACTGGAGAGTATTCGCCGACGGACTGGGACCCTACCGTTGATTTTGACTAGATATAAAGTAGTTCGAGTCATAGATAAATCTCTAAATAAATGTGGGCTGGACAATTGATCCGTCCGGTGGGGTTGCATTTACGCTTAGCAATCGATCATTTTGACATCTCCAACCCCCACCACGAGCCACGAGACCTCCCACTAGTTGCAACTGACAAACACTTGCGCACTGACATGGTTTCTCTGAGAGCAATTCTTCAATAACGCATCAACATCCCTCTAAGCCCTCCTTTCAACCGCCCACACGATGAAGCTCATCCTTTCCACCTCGTCCGTGCTACCCCCACCATACCCCTCCTCTTAAGAAGCCGACCGGCAAAGCCAAAGATAACTAACAACAAGCCTCAAACAGCAATATCATGACCGCAGGCGGTCCCTCCGTCATCCGACCAACGACCTCGAAATCAAACGTCGAACTCATCAATTCCCTACGAGCAAACTTTCTCGCCGCGCAACAAGCCACCCCACCAGCCTCGGAAAAATCCAACGGCAACGGAAACACATCCTTACCATCCTGGACAAAACAAGAAGATGACACCCTATATATTCCCGCAATCGACTTCTCGCAGCACGGCCTCGCCGAAGAACGATCCCAGTACGACATCACCGTGAAACTCTTCTATCTCCCCGGAATCCCCGTCTCGCGACGCTGCGCGCATACACGGCAGGCTATCGAGCTGGTCCTCAAGGAACTACACGTTGACTCGATCGATCTACTTATCGTCTCGTTCCCGGGGATACTCTTCGATGCGGAGGACGACAGCGAAGAAGAGATTTCGTCAGTCGACGACGGCAGCAGCACCGAACAGGCCGACGACTTCGACAGCACGATCCAGACGTGGCGCACGCTCGAGTCACTCCACGAACAAGGGAAGATCGCACAGCTGGGCGTTGCGGAGTTCGGGAGTGAGCGGCTTGCGAGGTTCCTTCCGCATACAAAGGTCAAGCCGTCGGTTGACCAGATCAATTTGAAGGACTGCTGCGTTGTCCCGAAGAGCTTGATTCTTTACGCGAAGCAGGAGAAGATCGATCTGCTGACGCATAATGATTGTAATGATATCTTGCCTGTTGGGACGACGAGGGAGCTCCTAGGGCCTGGGGAGCGCGGTGCGGGTATTCTTGCATCTGCGCCGGACGCCAGTGATGGGTTGCAGGGGGATATCGAGACGCAGTGGGTGGTCAAGTATACGGCTGTTGTCAAGGATCGGGGGGTTGTTGAGAACAAGGGATACTTTGCGCTTGCGGATGTAGGGAGCTGTGTGAAGCCAAGCCAGTCGACCTGATGTCTATACTTCTTTTCCTTTACTATTTCAGCATGTAAAAGCGCGGCGTTTGTCAATCATCGTTATTTCATGGCTACTCTATGTATATGCAAGATGAAGCTTATCCGATCATACTCCTCTTTCGTCCTCTCATGCGCACATCCTCCAACCGCTTCAACGCCGGCCCAGCCCCCTTGTAGCTCTCTCGATAACCAACAAGCACCTCCTCGAAGAACTTCTCCGTCCGCGGGTGCGAGCTTCCAAACGCCCGCTCGAGCACGTAAAGATCCACCGCGCGGTCCTCATCCTGAACACTCTGACTCGCAAGCCCAAAGTCGATCATGACAATCTCTCCCTCCATAGACGGCGACGACTGCTCCTCCTCTGACCCATTCGCAGCAGCAGGTGAGAATGGCCTCACCATAAGATTACTCGTCGTCAAATCCCCATGTATAACCCCAGCCTTATGCAAACTCCCCACGGCAGCCCCAATCCTCCTCAGCAACCCACGGACCTTCTCGCCCTCCCCCTCCGGAATCTCCTGGCTCCCACTCTCCCTCGCAAGACCCTTCACATACCTCTCCCACCTCTCTAAAATAACCCTGACGACCTCCCCCTCCACCCACTCCATAACAAGCCAGCTCCCTCCATTCCCATTAGCAGCCCCCTCATTGTTGGCAGCGACAGCAAACTCCCAGTCCAGCCCCAGCACAGCCGGAACACTAACGCCCTCCTTGACGAGTTTATGCAGGCACCGCGCCTCCTGCAGGATGCGAGCACGGGTCAGGCGGCGGTCGAGGATCGGGTGTCGGTAGGGTTTTGAGGGGCGAATTTTAAGCGCGGCGGGCGTTGAAGGTGTCAAAAAGGTTGTTTTGTATAGGTGGGCTTCGGCGCCTTGGTAAATTGGGATTAATGGCGTTGTAGATGTGTTGAAGGGGGGTGGAGGGGTATAGGTTGATGATGGTGGGGGTTCGGCGGTTGTCATTGTTGTTCAGTTTGCGAGGTTCGTGGTTGTCTGGAGGTGAGGAGAGGAAGTTGGGGAGGTCGTTTGTTGCCCTTTAAGGTGCTGATGTTTTGAATTTGAGATCGTGTGCGCAGGGTGGTAGTGGATTGAGTTGAAGAATGTTGGAGGAGGGGTGAGCTTTGATAAATTTGTGGTGGGGACTTTGTGATAAGATGGCCAACCAGCCACAGCTCCCCAGAGCATACGTACGGCACGGAATGGACATACGAGTGATCACTAGACTTGTTTCTTGACCGGCAGTCGATATAGGAAGAAGTATAAGAATGATAATAATGGCAACTGTATTCTAATCTAGATTACCACCAGACATGTATCCATAATGTCGTAGATACCCACGCTGAACGCCTCTAATGCTACGTTTCTAGACGAAAAAAACCTCTACTCAGCAAGCTTTCTCTTTCTCGACTTTCGCTCGGCATGCACGTCGTTCCACACATCCTCAAAGGTAGTCTTCTTCGCTCCGATCTGACCTTCGAAGAAGTTCATCTTGCGGACTACCTCCATAGCTCCAGTACCCAGAGACATGGTCTTGCCCATGATGATACATTCGGAGACACCCTCGATGAGATCAGTGCGGCCGGCTCCACCAGCATCGAAGAGGTGGTCGGCTGTCTTTTCGAACGAGGCGAGTTGCAAGACGGAGTCACGCATCTTGGCCAGACCGAATCGCGTAATACCCAGTACCTCGCCCTTGTAGGTCATGACATCGGCGAGCAGCTGCATGTGCCGCGGATCAATGTCCATGTCCTTCATGACTTCGCTGATTTCGCGGATGATGCTTGTCCGGGCGGCTTCGATGCCCAGCACATCACGCATCTCCATAACGTTGTTGCTTGAGGTGTGGAGACCGTCGATACCGACGGTGTTCATGCACTGTCGTAATCCGTAGCCTTCGACGAGGAGGGTGTTGGTTTCGGATTTCTCGTCTGTTCGAATGATGGCGCGGTGGGCTTGCGGGTGACCGAGGACTTGGATGTCTGGGAGCATGCGTTTGAGTGCTTTCAAACGAAGGAAGGGATCAGAGCTGGTGGCCGCGATTTCTGTCTTTGACAGCTTCTCCTTGCTAGCAGGGTCCAGGTCCATGTGGACGTGGATGTGCGAGCGCGTTGTCCGGATCTTGATGTCGTCACTCTTGAACCGTCGACTATTCGCGATAGCATTGCGGATGTTGCCGATGGTTAGGTCAAGTTCCAGAGCTCTGATCGTGTCCCAGTTGATCTTGACAGTCAAGTATGCGTCCTTTCCTGTCCATGTTTCTCGGACATAGTGGATAATATCGCGCAAGAACGTCTTTTCGATCCTACCCTTGGCAATTCGAGCTGCGACAACATTCTGCTTCTCAACTAGCTCGCAGGCAATGACAGGAGTACTAATCTCCTTCGATGCGTTGATGATTTCCTTAATACGGGGAACACCCTGAGTGATACTCATACCAGCCACACCAGCAAAATGGAAAGTCTTCAGCGTCATTTGAGTACCGGGTTCACCAATGGACTGTGCACCGACGGCACCGACGGCATGGCCGGGTTCCACCTGAGCCTTCTTGTACTTCATCAGACACTCCGTGATGAAAGTTCGGAGTGTCTTCTCGGTGAGCTTGCCGGTGTGGTTCAAACCTTTGAGGCTTCGTTCGTCGGAGCCATGGCCATCACCACCTCGGGAAATCAGCTTGTCTGCTTTGGTCGACACATATTGTTGGATTGACTCAAGGAAATCTCGAGCACTCTCAAACTGGTCAATACCGTGGTCGGTACGATCCATGTAGGCGAGCTCCGTGCCCATTAGATCTTTGCGCACCAGCTTGGCACGCTCCTTCGAAAGCATCTCCTCGCAGACGTCCATAATCTCAGCAGGAGACAAACTGCGCTCGTCATTCTCGTACGTCGTCGACTCGGCGTGGATGAAAGTCCGGTCGAAGTGCACCGGCTTTGCTTTGCCCTCCATATCCACAGGATCCAGCTTGTCGTCACCGTACTGGAACTGCACAATACCCTGGGAAGAGTTTCGGACAGTGTCGTCGTACCCAGTAGACAAATCTTCCAGCGACTTCATCAAACGACGAGACATGTAACCAGTTTCGGCAGTCTTGACGGCTGTATCGACAAGACCTTCACGACCGGACATGGCGTGGAAAATGAATTCATATGGGGTAAGACCAGAGAAGAAACTGTTCCGCACGAAACCTTTTGAAGGAGGCTGTCGAGCGTTCTTGGGAAAGTGAGGAAGAGTTCGGTCCTGGAAACCATCTTGCACACGCTGACCACCGATAATTTGTTGACCCACCAGAGCAACCATCTGAGAGACGTTGATACTGGAACCTTTTGATCCGGATGTAGCCATGATCAGGGGCGAGTTGTATTTGCTCAATTGGGCGATACATTCGTCACCAGCCTGCTGACGGACCTTACTGAGAATACCAGACAGTTGGTTTTCCATGGTCTGCAATTCGTCACAACCAGGGTACTTTTCGAGCGTTCCGGCCTTGTACTGCGCGATAACTTCGTCACACTGTGCGTAAGCCGTTTCGACTAGGTGATTCTTCGAGGCAATCAGACTATCGCTGGGGTAAACATCCGTGATACCAATGGAGAAACCAATATTCGTGAACCAGCGGGCGGATAGCCTAGACAGACGGTTCATGCCCTCGGCTGCAGCCGCAGGACCGAAATCACGAAGCATAATATAAAACACGTTGTCCTTCTTTCCTGATCCAACGGTAGACTTGTCCATCACACCGCACATGACTTCTGAGTTGCGAACCACCAGCCAGCCATCGTTAGGGTCGAGGTCTTTCGGCCGGTCTTTAGCCTGCTTGAACTCTCTGCACGCTGCATCTAAGTTAACTAGGACGGGGTCATCCTTATTCGGGCGCATCAGGATATTGAAGACCTGCTTTCCGGTCCACAGCATTTGCGGCTTGAGCACTGCAGGTGGCGGAAGATCGAAACGGGTTTCAGGACCAAGCATATATAGACATATTTGGGTGAAAGAACGACGGTCGAAAAAATTATCCTTGCTGCTAAGGATGTATGCTGCACTGATGAAATCCTGAATGGCGGCAATAATGGGCTCTCCGTTCTTTGGCGTCGCCAAGTTGTTCTTCACACCCATCAATTCCATAGCTTCGGCCCTGGCCTCTTCCGTCTGAGGGACGTGAAGATTCATTTCGTCACCATCGAAATCGGCGTTGTATGGATTGCAAACACATTCGTTCAGCCGGAATGTTCGGTGAGGGCGGACCTTGGCAAAGTGGGAAAGAATACTGAGTTTATGAAGAGAAGGCTGGCGATTGAACAGGACAATATCACCATCTTCAATATGGCGTTCAACGATATCTCCTTCCTGCAGCTGGTCGGCGATGAACTTGAGGTTACCATACTTGAGCATGGTTTTGAGAGGGTTGTCCTTCTTGATGATATAGTTTGCGCCCGGCCACTTCTTTTGTCCGTTTCGCACTCGTTCCTTTAATTTTTCCTTGTTGTATCTCGTGACTACCTCAGGATAAGTCATGTTTTTGGCAACGAGTTCCGGGACGGCGACTTCATCGACTCGTAAATTGGGATCGGGCGAAATGACGGTACGGCCAGAAAAATCGACACGTTTTCCAGAAAGGTTACCACGGAATCGACCTTGCTTACCCTTTAAACGCTGCACGAAACCTCGAATGGGCTTTCCAAGGTCGGCCTTGTTTAGACCGGGAACGTCGCTGTTGATGTAAACAGCAATCTGAAGCTGCATGTAGTCCCAACATTCCATAATTGTCTGTACCGGTGCTCCTTTTAGCAGAGCGTTCTTGAGGTTGATGTTACTCTGCACGATGTCACCCAGCTTAGCGGTTAAATCATCTTCAGTAGATGAAGCATCTTGACCAACGGACGGACGGATACAGACTGGCGGAGCGGGAATGAACTGCCAAAGGAACATCTCCGGTCTTGCTTCCTTAGGGTCCAGACCGAGCAGCTCGCAATCGCTGTCTGAGATGCGCTTGAATAAGTTCAGGACTCGGAGAGCATTCAAATCGTCCTGTGCCTTTTTGTAATGCTTTTCAACCTCCGCATTCGAACTCCTGGCCTCTTCGAGCGATCTGTCGAAAACGATTTTGCTTGGTGGCGGTACTTTCTTCATCGACGTTGAAGAGTTGAAGGCGCGGAACTTGTCGTGGGTGATCTTGAGGGAACTGTTTCCGGTCTTCTTGACTACACCGTTCACAGCGCCACAGTGGTCGCACATTCGAGTCTTGCGGCAGCGGTCATTGATCCGTTTAGCGATCTGCAGCCGACGCAGATTATCCAGTCTCGGGCGGCGCATCTCACGAAGAAAGGCGCGACGCTCTCCCTCAGGAAGCAGAATATGTGAACACTCCTTGCAAATTTCCTGCAGAATACTGATAACGCGCTTGAAATAACCGACATGAAACGAAGGCAGCACAAGCCTCACATGGCCAAAGTGGCCGTTGCACACCTGGAGCGCACCGCCGCATGTTTGGCAGGTTGAGGACTTGTTCGAGATACCCATGCGCCCATCGAGAGGGCCATGGGCAACGACAGCTCGGTCATTCTCGAGGTTATAGAACTTTCGGTCGGACACTTCCACCACACCTTGACTGACAATGTCGTCGTTGGACCTATCGCGAAACCAAAACGGTTAGCCTATCGCTAAATCTCCGCACGCCGGGACCTCCGATGAGAGGGCACGTACAGCACACCGAACTTGAGCTCCTTGATCACTTTGGGGACGCGGTCGATGACCTGGGCCTTGCCCAGATCGGCCTGCACACCTTCCAGAGGCTGCATTTCGTTGTTAAGGAATGACCATGGCAGGGTGGGATGAGTCAATCGGTTGCTGCGCGGGCCCGGCGGCCGGAATCAGAACACGATAGCGGTGCACTTATGGGTCGATTATGGTCGAAGTCACGTATTAGAGCAAGGCGTTTTAAAAGATAACAGTTGCGAAAAGGGATATCTGAGACCGTATCTGAGGCGGGTGCAAGAAGGTGGGAGAGGGAGGCTGTAAGTCCGAGTTGTCGGCGGGGTCGGCGACGAAACTTTTTTCGCGCGCCGAAAGAGCTTCCCCTCATTCCGTCCAATCAGCGACAGCCCAAGGAGTCTACTTCGACTGCTCTGGAAAATTGAAGATAACATTGAAAGGGAAAAAAATACTGGTATATAGTAGAGAAGCAGATAATGTACAGATCAGAAATGTCTATATAATACACTGCACCGGCAACTCGCTATTTCGCCAGGAATGCTTGGAACGCCTGATGCTCAATCACTACATTTCCCACTGCGCGGAGTCGCTTCCGTCCCTCCTTTTGTTTCTCCAACAGTTTTCTCCGGCGACTGACATCGCTAGCATGAAGCTTCGCCAAGACGTCCTTCCGGTACGGCTTGACGGTTTCGCGCGCCACGACCTTGCGGCCGACGGCGGCTTGGATAACGACTTCAAAGAGCTGTCTGTCAACGTGGTTCTTGAACTTGGTCACCCACTGTCTTCCCAGTCTTTCCACTTGGCTGTAGTGCACCAGTCGAGCAACAGCATCCACTGGAGCTTTGTTGACGAGCAGCTGCAGCTTGACGATGTTACTTTGCTGCCACGCGGACTCCTCGTAATCCAGGGATGCGTATCCCTTCGTAGACCCCTTGAGTTTGCCGAAGAAGTCGTCAACTAGTTGCGCCATAGGCAACTCGTACTTTAATATAACCTGTGTCGATGTGAAGTACTCCAAGCTCTTTTGCTCGCCTCGATTGGCTTCGCAGAGTTCAATAACTTTTCCGAGATACTCATCCGGGAAGGTCAGTGTAGCCGTGACATAAGGCTCTTGCAGTTCGGCTACCTTCATGCGCACGTCGTCCTCGTCCGGGAATTTATTGGGGCTGTTGATGATTTCTTCCTTCCCGTCTTTGTAGATAACCTTTACGGGAACTGACGGCGGAGTAATAATGATGCTAGCTCCGTGCTCCTGGCGAAGACGATCCTCAAAAACCGAGCAATGTAGTGTTCCCAAGAATCCTAGTCGAAATCCAGCTCCAAGAGCCTCTGAGGACTCCTTTTGTACGGTGATACTTCGGTCATTGAGGACAAGCTGATTGATGCTGTCTTCTAGATGCTCAAAGTGATCTGCGTCCACAGGGTAAGCAGCGACGAAGACCATTGCCTTCGGCTCCTCGAATCCAGGCAACGGCTCCACGGCCTTCTCGGATCCCACCGTCGTGTAAGTGTCCCCAATTTTGGCCTCCTTGCTTCGCTTCATGCCGGGGTTGAAGTAGATATACCCGACTTGTCCGGCACGAAGAACAGTCTGTGGTGTTTCGTTGGGGTATTGGATACCGACTTCTCCGACATAATACTTGATACCAGTTGCGAACGAGACGACTTGTTGACCCGCACGAATTTCGCCGTCGAATATGCGGACCAAGCAAATAACACCTTTGTATGAATCGTACCACGAGTCGACAAGTAGCATCCGTAGGGGCTTCTTTGTATCGCCGACAGGCCTATTCAGCGTTAGCAAATGCTATGGATATGCATAGCCGATACATACGCAGGAATCTTCTCTACCACAGTAGGGAGCAATTGTTCCACATTGAGCCCTGTCTTGGCCGAAACCATCACCGCATCTTCCGTGTTGAGTTCGAATGACTGCTCCATTTGTTCGAGGGCGCGTTTCGGATCAGCTGATGGCAGATCAACCTTGTTGATGACAGGGATCAATTCCAAACCTTGAGAAAAGGCAAGGTAGAAATTCGCAACAGTCTGTGCTTGAACCCCCTGACTGGCATCAACCAAGAGCAAAGCCCCTCCGCAACTCGCATAACTCCGCGACACTTCCGCGCGGAAGTCGACGTGTCCGGGTGTATCAATAAGATGCAGCAGATAATCCTCTCCTTGGTGGTTGTAGATCATCGAACATGTCTGTGCCTTCACTGTGATTCCTCGCTCCCGTTCAACATCGAGCTTATCCAAGACCTGCTTGTTCATGCCCGGTTGGATCGTGCCGGTGAGTTCCAGAAGTCGGTCGGAGAGCGTGCTCTTGCCATGATCGACGTGGGCGACGATACAGAAGTTGCGATATCGCTCAATAGGTATCTGTGATATCCGTGCCTCTAAATCGGACATGGACTTGTTCGGTGTCCCTCTTGACGCATAATAGGCGGATGTAGTGGTGAAGAATCGAGCTGCGTAGGAAGGAGAGCCGGAGGAGGGCGCCTTAAGAAGGCTGGACGCAGGCCATCTTGGAGCCGCGCTCAGCCATCTGGCTAACTGCAGGCATCCTCGCATCGGGAATGCCGCAATAGCATGGGAAGGGACGAAGGAGGTTTTCTATTCGGCGGAGTTCGTTTGGAAACGCGGAGGTCGCGACTCGTCTTCGGCGGGCAAAAAAAAGTTAGCTGCGGAGATGTGACCAGTCACAGGGCGGTGGCCCAGGCTAATTGCTGCAGTGACTATCGGAGTAAACAAAGGAACCTCTTTTTCACCACACTTCTTCAGCAGCAGAAAGTCGAAGCATACGTCCATATTCATCTCAAACTCTCGGATTAGTTTGAATCGTCATGTCTTCTACAAAGGAAAAGTCCAAGGTCCACAAGCTATCCTTGAAAGGTGAGCCGCCTCAGTCCCCCGCACCTTCAGAGACTCACAAGCGACAGGATCCTCGAAGCTCGTGGCAGAATTCGTGAGTAGCTCTGCTATTGCCAGCGAAATTTGCTAATATACCCAGTTTGAATACTCTATAAACTCAATTTTGTAAGATACATGCGCCAAGATCTCGATCAACCGCTAATACAGCCTAGGTTTCAACGAGGGGTTTATCCTCCCGAAGATTTCACCACGTTTGTCACTCCATTTCCACATCGTTGAGTTCTCTGCTAACTCTTCTAGTGTTAAGAAGTATGGCTTGAACATGCTCGGTTAGTCTACCTTCCTACCGACCTCCGCAGCGACCTCGTTAACCAAATCGCTCAGTTACCGCCGACGACCAGGTGAAGGCCTACATCAAGAAGATCATGTCGCAGTTGAACAAGTGGATGCTGGGCGGCAAGATCTCGAAGCTTGTCGTGGTCATTACGGATAAGGAGACCGGAGAGCATGTGGAACGGTGGCAGTTCGACGTACAAATACATGGAAAGCACACCAAAGTTCTGTCCTCGCGCAAGACAACCGACAAGGAGAACGATACGCCAGGGTATGACCATCCACTCGCAGTACATTCATCTTGCTGATATTTGCTTTTCCTACAGGGATGCCGAACCTCAGGCCGCAGCCACAGTTGAAAAGACAGAGAAGGAAATCCAAGACGAGATCCAAGCTATTTTCCGACAGATCACAGCTTCCGTCACATTCCTGCCTGTCTTAGACGGAGACTGCACATTCAATGTCTTGGTATACGCAGACGCAGACTCGGAAGTGCCTGTTGAATGGGGTGACAGCGACGCCAAAGAGATCAAGAACGCTGAAAAGGTGCAGCTACGGAGTTTTAGCACAAACAACCATAGGGTCGAGACCATGGTTAGCTATCGTCTTGCCGATTGAACGTAACATGTCCGGGTTACGGCGTTCGGTGGAGTTTATATCTTTATATTTCTCATGCTCTCTGGGAATCTATCTTCGATATCTTGACCAGATATCCTAATATCATACCTGTCATGACCAACCGCATCTTCCTCATTGTGCACCCCTATTCCAGGGCAGAGCACTCATCCCCGGAAACCAATCATTCCCACTGCTCCCCCCATCCCAGCAAGCCAAATCCTCAACCGCCCTTTCCAACCCAACACCAAGAGAAAACCCCCATTGCATCCCATTAGTCCAGCCCCTCTTCGCCCTTTTCCCTGACAACTCCGTTCCAAATCCATACAAATCCCCCCTCCACAATCCAATTCCCCTCTTATTCTCGCCCTCCACCAACTCAGACAAGGGCGTAACCTGCTCCGGCGGATTGATCCCAATGATACTTACTAGATCTGATCCGACAAATCCCACAGCCGGGAAATGGCACTCTAGAAACCGCTTCCGCTTGAAGTCGTGCGTCACCACAGTGACTCGCTCCGGATAGACGCCTGTGAGTTTCCGGAAGTGGATGAGGGAGAAGAGGACATTCTGGTATGAATCTGTAGCGCGGGTCTCGGCTGTTATTCGCGTTTCGTCGATTGTACTTGGTGACTCGGTGGTGAAGTAGTTGTTCTCTTTCGCTAGGTTCTATTTCTGTATTAGTTACCTCATCAACTCTCGGACATCATCACTAACTATCTAGATGTCAGGAGAGGGAGATACTCAACTCACCAAATACGACTCTCCCTCCGAAAGCTCCGTGCGATCCCGTTTCGTCGCGCCTCTACAACATATGTCCAGACTGATTAGCCTACACGTTCCAACAGCCACCGCCCACCAAGCGCTATAGACTAGACGTAGCAACACATCGAGAAAAACAAAGAGATGATAAACATACTCACCCCGAGAAAACAAGCACACCCCCCTCATCCCCCTTCAAAACCTCCAATCCAGCTTTGACATGTTCCGTGAACGTCGGCGTTTCGCCGCGTTGGAAGGGTTCGATTAGCCTGTGTTTAACATCAGAGTTGGCACTTTCATAGTTGTAAGATAATAAGAGCTCAGAGGTATAAAGAGGGGGTGAATAGAGAGAGAGGTGGCAGTGATACCATTCGTTTTCGTCGAGACCTTTGGTCGGTCCGCCGAGGTAGATTGAGTGGCAGCAGACGATTATGAGGTGGGTGGGACCAAAAGAGAGGGGGTCCCTTGGTGGATTGAGTATTTGTTGTTTATTCGAGGAGGCCATCTTGTTGTGTTAGAGAGTGTGAATGACTCGAAGTTAGGAGGAGGAATATTGCAGGAGTTAAGTTTGTAGAAGGCACTGGTTGGAATGGCTCGGCTACGCAGTAGAGGTTGATTAGATCTACGACCACATATCTCAAGAGACATTCTTAGCTTAGATATACTTTACGCTCCTATTACGTACACCATCGCGTTGGGGAACAATTCCGACCCATCTTAAGCTGATTCAAAACATCAATCAAGGACAAAATGACTCCATTTCATAGTATATCCATCCCTGAGGTGCCTGCCTAGTAGTGCCTACTGTACATGTACAAATGCTTTCGCTCCGTTCAGCAATATGGCCGAACCCTGATGCTAGAAACAAAAATCGAATACCGAGGTCCGAGTGCACGGTAATTGCGCCGCTGTAAATGAACAGACGTGGTGAATCGAGCCTTCTTTCCTCCGGATGAATCCCCAACTCCACAGAGATGAATGACGATGCGAGTGATGTACTATATGTGGAACCCAGTGCTGAAAGAAGAGAAGAGAAGAGGAGGAAGAAGAAGAAGAAGAAGAAGAAGAAAAAGGAAAGCCTGGTCGCGGGATGAGAATGACTTGAACAGATAACACGGCAAGTGAGGCGTTATTATTGGGCGGTGGAAATACCAGATCTCTGATGTCTGACTGGCGTGTATTGTATATGTAGAATGAAAATCGATGCAGTGTACAGGTCACATAGATGATGATGAGAACGTTCGGGTATCGAGAAATGTGTCAAGATGTGTCGGGGTGCCCTTCAGAACGGGTCGTGCCGGAATGTGCAGTTGTCCCCCTTGAGGCATTTTCCTTCGCGCCAGTAGCGACATGGCACTAATCCAGCTTTCGGCTATCCAGCTGTCAGTACATTTGCAATCCACCTCTGGTAAAAGGATTCTTACATGTTTCTTGTTTGGCGCACCACCCGTCCGGTTACGCTTCCATCTATCTTCGCCATCATACCCACCAGACTCGCGCATACGCTTTCGCTCTGGATCCTCGTAGTGGCCTGTCGTGTGAGTTTGGGTGACCTCGGGTTGCGCAGGTTGTTGATTTTGCTGGGTCTGATTCGTTAATTGCGATATAATCGCAGCGAGATTGGCCGGTATGCCTCCTTGCTGTGGTTGTGGCTGAGGTTGAGGTGGTTGTTGCTGACCAGGATAGAGCATAGCCAAGAGTCGCGAGTCGATGTTTGGCTGCGGCATCGGAGGAGGTGCGGGCGGGTTGTTGGGCTGTTGCTGTCGAAGCATGTTGATTGTCTGTTCCAGCGAGATCGGAGCTGGCTGGCTGGCAACAGGCGGAGTCGACGTATGCGGATGACTCGGATTTTGGATAGAATTGAGGAGGTTAAGGACGAACTGGTTGTTCTGTGGTGGCTGACTCTGCGGCGTTGGTGGCTTCTGAGGGTTGGTCATTGCAAAGTACTTCTCTTGGCGAGCCTACGACAAATGATTAGAATCTGGCAAATGGCCATCAAGGAGCTCGAGCATACCTTGACATGATCCGGCAGCTCCCCAAACGAGAGAACCTCCGGCACCATTTCGTCCATGTCCGGTGGAGGCGGCTCCTTGGCGGATGGCGGAACGTCTGCAGGTGATGTGTAAATAGCCATGAGTGTAGTTGCTTCGCGATGTTCTTGCGCCTTCGCCTCTGGACTTGTGGCAATAAGTATGCCGGCGCGTTTGATGTAGCTTCGTGCACGGTCATCAGGTGAGACGTTGTCAATGTCGATTTCTAAGCCTGTTAGACTAGGGAAAGCACTACGGCTGTGATGGAGTCTTACCAGAAGGAACATAGTACTCCGCAAACTGCTCCTCCTTGACACCGGCTTCATCATCCTCTTCGAGCTCGTCGATATTCTTATGGAGTTTGAGAACGCTTCCTTCGCCTTTGACATCACCCCCTTGACGGGAGCGATCGCCTGGTCCGAGTTCCTCGTCTGGATCATGGGTAAAGAGGCGAACTTCAGTGAGAGACTCGTCAGGCTTCCAAGTGACACGGAGTTTCCTTCGCGCCTCCTTGCGTAATCGCTTCGCTCGCTCTTCCTCTGTTTCAGGAGTCTGGTTCTCGGAGGACTCTCGTGGCGAAGGATCCTTTTGCTTGTTGAGGTCCGCCATGATATCACCAAATGAGAATGCTGGTCGGGCGGCTGCCTCTTTCTTCTCTGCAGGGGTTCTACAGTCACATCAGTATGAGCATAAACTAGAAATGGCGTGCATGTGCTTACCCAGACTTAGCGGCGGCGGCGGCAGCAGCTCGCTCTGCATTCGATGTTCCCGGTTTCTTAGAGGCAGAAGTCAAACTTCCAAAGAGATTCGTAGGCTTTGGGGCAACGATGTTCGCCTTTGGACGCGCAGAATTAGCAGTGGTTGTAACGGACTTGTTTTCTGGTTTTGCAGCGCCATTGGCAGCGAGGCTACCGGCCTTTGTGGCAGGTTTGATGTTGGATGTAACAACTACTCGTTTGGTAGCTGGCTGTCCATTCTGCTCGCCATCCAGTGGCCGTTTCGCGCCAGTAGTGTCTTTACGCGCACCATTGACAACGGCGTTCTTATTCGGCGAGCTTTCTTTAGGCCCAGGCTTGGCAGCTTCCTGTTTGCGTTTCGTAGATGCAGCAGCGTTGTCGAGAATATTCTGGGCAAGAGTTTTTACTACTTGATTGCCCTTCTTCACGAATCTGGGAAGCAGTTTTGCGACGTTTGTCTTCGTAAGAGCTTCTTCATCCATGGTTACGAAACGGGCAAGTAACTTTTGACAAAGAGTTAGTTGAGAGGGGAGAAATGATGACGAAAGTATCCTCACCTTGAGAATGTTGACTGTCAATGTTCCATCGATGTCGGAAGCCTGGTGGCGATCCACAAGGAAGGAGTAGAGCGCAGCCACTGCCATCGGATGTTCGCCCAGCCTAAGCTTTTCGTTAGTTTTAAGCTCCAAGGGCATTACTGTATAGAAAAATCCAAGCGAATTGTATCAGAGGGCTTGTCCATAAGCGTGGATCCGCTGGTGCTGAGTCCTGGCATATTGTCTTTAAGCGGTCCAGAAGCCACAGCTTCTCTCAAAAAGAATGTCACAAATGAGGTATCACATCTCATTCTTTGCTTGTTCTTGTTCAGGAGTGGCAGTGGGCCTCATCGTCATATATTGCAAAGCCAGCGTTCACCCTTATTCTTAAAGGATTCTTTAAACATGATGGCAACCATATAAGGGAGATTACGTGAGAGATCCTCTCAATTCGTTTCTGACTTCTATGGCCAACGCGACAATATGCCAGGTATGCGAAATCAAGGCGGGGGAAGAAGGATAAAACGTACTTTTCAACAATCATGGGGTGGCCCTTTTCTAGAGTGGTACTGACGACCACGTCCATGAGGCGCCGTTGCAGTGCAACCTGCTTTCTGAGTTCGGCAGTCTCGTTGGATTCTCCCTTATTTTCTGCTGTCTTTAGAGCTTGAGAACTTTCTCTCCATGCATCCCTTACAGTCTTGACAACGTCTTTAAACGCCACAATTGCGGCCTTGAGTTTGTCGACCTTTGGCCGCCTATTACGCGGATACCACACAGCTTGGAGGCAATCATACTGTATAGCAGCCTCCGGCTCATTAGGGCGAGCAGGCGGAAGAGGGGAAGGCTCCTCCGGTTCCTGGATTTCGAGATCCGAGTCATCCGAGTAGTCACTCTCCGAGTCGGAGGAGACCGAGCCTTTCCCATTAGTCTTCTTGCTACCCGCTTTAAGAGGTGCCTTTGCAGTCTGAGTTTGCTTTTTAGTACCGGCTGGCTTCGCACGTAATGGTGCGACTTTGGCCATTGCATTTGCTGGGATTGATTTAAGACCTACTGTGGGTTAGTGGCTTACAGGGTCGCGAGTTAGTATAGACTCACCATTAATTGGAACTCCCCCGACCTTGGAGGGTTGGCCAGGAACTAGCGAGCCATTGATGGCGGGTTGGCCAGGAACTAGCGAGCCATTGATGGCGGGTTGCCCCATCATCGGATGCATCTGCAAGTTGTCCGGAAAGTAGCTGAACATCCTGGTGGAAAGAATGAGATGATGGTCCGATGTCAATGAGACTTTGCGAGAAACATACTTTGGGTCCTCCGCAGGGTTTACATAGACAAACTGGTTATGAAGTGAGGGATTCTGGTTAACAGGCTGCTGAGGATTGATGTATTGCGGGTTGATCGTCTGTTCAGACAGACTTGGAGGCTGTTGCACAAACTCATTTGCAAAGTTGATTGACGATTGCTGGTATGGTTAGTGATATAAAAACACACAAAATCTCAAGGAAGCCTACCGGTTGTTCGTCTGCAAATCCGGAGGGGATTGTGTACTGAGGAACAGAACTCTGATGAAGCGGGGGATAAGACGCTGACTGAGATTGCTGCTGGGTCGGCTGCGGCGAGTGAGATTGGGGGAAAGGATCTGGTATTGAGAGATGCTGCGGAGGATAGAAATTCGAAGGATACGAGTATGACTGATAGTGAGAGTTTTCTGGTGCCGGCACAGCTCTCGAGTCGAAAGTCACCTGGCCCTGCGCATATTGCGGAACTTGGCGATACTGAGCTGGTATTCCCAAATTCTGTGGCGTTGCAGGGGCAATGGGCTGGTGGTGCAGCGGATTTTGTTGCCATGACTGAGGTGATGGTGTCTGATACAGGCCATGGGATTGATCGCGGTGGCTTGGTTGTGAATGCAACACTGGGTGATCCCAGCTGATGCCCATGGGCTGTTGCTGTTGTGTTTGCTGCGGAGTTGACTGCTGCTGAGGCGGATGCGAGTGGTGGTGTGAGGAGTCTGGGTTCGCATAAGGATCCAGGCTGCTCCAGTACTCAGATGGCAGCGATGCGGGATTTACTGGGTCCATCTTGTCGCAAATTCCCCCTCCAGCCCGAATTGGCTTTATAAAGCAGTTAAATCGCCGAGTCCAGCGGATGTTATGATACTACTAGACCAGTTGGGAAAGACCACCTGATCACAATAAGGTATCTTGAACTGCACGTGCCTGGGCCTCTCGATTGGGAAAAGTGCAACGCCGCTTTTAAAGCTCCGGGAAACCGATGGCGGGGGTTGTTGAAATAGCACGGTATTATTGGCTGCGACCGGGGCGAGCAAAGGCGGCACAAACTTGAACTCGCAGGAACTGGACTTGGGCCGAGTCTGTTTGTGCAGGAAAATAGGTCGATTCTGGTTGCGTGTTGGAGAATCGGGTGGCAAATCAACAGCTCTTGCGGTTTTCGTCCGGTTTCAACTCAACTCCTGTTCCTGGAGGTGAGGTCCCTTGAGGTGGCTGTTAAGGGAGATCGCGATGTTCCTGTAGGACCTGCGAGTCACGTCCCACGTTGCTGCAACCCTCTTCCCTTTTCTTATTTAATAAAAAACCAGAAAGAAAAAGGGCCCTCTTCGCGATGCACAACTTTGAATCTGGGTCAACTGCAGTTTCGAATACACCGACCAAACAATACTCTCCGTCCAAGTAGCAGACGTAGTATAATCCTGATTTCCCTTTCTCTCTCGGGACTGCCTGGCTTTCTCTCTCTCAAAAAGTGGTACCTCTTATTCTGGTCTCTTTTCTCCGACCTGCACTCGGCCTTGTCACTCCTTTCTGTTTGGAGAACTCACGGTACAGTCTCCTAGTCTTGAGATATTTTCCCTTAAAAGATGGAAAAGAAAGGGCTCTCCTTAGAGGAACCGCTCCAGGCTGCAGTTAAGCAGCATGACTTGCGCTTTACGGGAGGTTGAATGGTTAGGGAAGGGGATAGGGAGTGGGTGGGTGGTGGTGACGGAGACTGCGTGAGACGGCTGGGGGAAATCCTGCGGCGCGTCAGTTGAACAAAGCCGGGGCACGTGATAAGTTTGTCGTGTTTGTCTGGCCTCGGTGGGAAGCTCCCAGACTCACAATGCCAGGTGGAGAGATGCGGAGGTAGCGACCTATCTTTAGATTCGTCTTTCGCTTCGGTTGCATGCGCTTTGGCGGCTTTTTTGGTGACTTTACCTGTCATGAACCTAAGTGCTGCGAGGTGAACCAACCAACGCCATGGCATCGCACTCTCCGTCTCTCCGAGACCGTCAGGTCGGTAGGTTCTCTTACCCCCCGTCTAAGTTATCTAGCTCCCCAAGCTGACAATCGCTTCAGCTTCCATTCAGAAGATACTCAATTTAAACCACGACCCCAATCCCGCGGAGGATTCCAGCCACGAGGCATCGGCACAAGGCCTCATTTCTACCCCCATCCTCAACGAAGATGGCGACCCTATCTGGAAGGTCTTGGTCTTTGACAACATGGGCCGGGATGTTATCAGCAGCGTGCTCCGAGTCAATGATCTCCGAGCCTGGGGAGTAACAATTCATCTGTATGCACTTACAACTGCAATCTAGAATGCATCAGAAACTGATTCACCAGCAGGAACATCAACTCTACTCGATACCCCATTCCCGATGTTCCAGTTGTCTACCTCGTCGAGCCCACCCCCTCCAATATCCAGGCCATTGCAAACGACCTTCAGCACGGCCTTTACTCGCCCGCATACGTCAACTTCCTATCATCTGTCCCGCGGCCCCTTCTTGAAGACTTTGCGTCTCAAATAGCGACGACCGGCACGTCTGAGCACATTTCACAAGTCTACGACCAGTATTTGAATTTCATCGTGGCCGAACCGGACCTTTTCAGCCTGGGACTAGGAAATGATACATACTGGAAGATCAATAGTGCGAAAACAAGCGATGAAGATCTCGATGCGATCGTCGATAGAATTGTTAGCGGGCTATTCAGTGTCAGCGTTACTATGGGTATGTGAGGCTCGCACCAGCATCAAAAGACCTTGCTCACAAAATACAGGTGCTATACCGATTATCAGGTGCCCAAAAGGCGGCGCAGCAGAGCTTATCGCGACCAAGCTTGATCGCAAGTTGCGCGATCACATCCTCAATTCCAAAGACAATCTATTCTCAACCAACAAAAAGTCCGCTCCCGGTGTCCCTTCGGCGCGGCCAGTCTTGGTCATCGTTGACCGCAACGTCGACTTGGTCCCGATGCTGTCGCACTCATGGACTTACCAGTCACTTGTACAGGATGTTCTCCAAATGCGTCTCAACCGGATAACGGTAGAAACGGCAGATGAATCAAACCCTGCGAAGGGTGTCTCCAAGAAAGCATACGACCTGAACAGTAATGACTTTTTCTGGAAACGAAATGCCGGTGCCCCGTTCCCTCAGGTGGCAGAGGATATTGACGCCGAGTTGACGCGGTATAAGGAGGATGCGAACGAGATCACAAGGAAGACAGGAGCTTCCTCGATTGAGGATTTACAGGCTGAGACGAGTGCGTCCGCACAGCACCTCAAAGCCGCCATTACCCTGCTCCCCGAACTGCGGGAGCGCAAATCGATACTCGACATGCACATGAACATTGCGACTGCTCTCCTCAAGGGCATCAAAGATCGTCAACTAGATAACTTCTTCGAACTCGAGGAAAACATCACCAAGCAAACCAAGGCACAGATCCTTGAGTTGATCAACGACCCTGCCAAGGGCACCAACCCGACAGATAAACTCCGAATATTCCTCATCTGGTTCCTGAGCACCGAAACAGAACTCTCCCGGTCAGACATAACACAGTTTGAAGAAGCCTTAACACGCACAGGAGTCGAAGATGTTAGCTCCATTGCGTACGTCAAGCAAGTCCGCGAAATCACTCGCATGACGATGATGACCACAGCCGCACCTCAGCAGCAATCCTCGGATCTATTCCGCGGCTTTTCCTCCCTCTCCAACCGCCTCACAGACCGCATCACCTCCGGAGCCCTAGGCGCCAATTTCGACTCGCTCATCTCCGGCGTGAAAAACTTCCTTCCCGCCAACAAAGACCTAACCCTCACCAAAATCACCGAATCAATCATGGACCCCTCCGCCGCGTCCAGCTCTGCCATAGCAAAGACAGAGAACTACCTCTACTTCGACCCGCGAAGCACCAACGCCCGCGGCACCATGCCCCCCGCATCTGCCTCCCGCAACGCCCAATCTGCCGGTTCCTCCAGCGGTCCAGGGATGACAGCAAGCTTCGGCCAGCGCCGTCAGGCTTTTAATGAAGCCATCGTCTTTACCGTTGGTGGCGGAAGCATGGACGAGTACGGTAACCTTCAAGACTGGGTACTCCGCACAAGCGGGCAACAAGGTCACGAGGGCGCCGGTGGTCCCCGCGGCGGAGCCGAGCCCCTAGGTGGGCCGCGCCGAAGAGTCGTCTACGGCAGCACGGATTTGATGAACGCTAATGAGTTCTTGACCGAGTCGCTGGCGAAATTGGGTCGGGAGGGCTAGATAGGTGTATGTCTTGTATTAAATATCCGCTTAAGGCACTTGATTTGTTCCCGACCTTTGTCGCACTACTCTACTCTACTTTACAAGCCTAGCCCAGCCTAGGGATCCGGTTCCGTCCCAAATCTGTTTATCAACAATATATTATATCCGCAATACATGACGTGACTGATGAATTCTTCAAATAATGTCTGTGTAGCACCTCAATATATCTTAATATATCTTCTTCTATGGTCTCTTGCAAAGATAACATCGAAATACTCGTCGCATAGTACATCAATCTATAAGCAAACCCTATCGTACATACTAATATAGCCCGAGAGAGTCTACAAACACTTGAAACTTGTACCTTCCTATTCTGACACCCGGGCCCCAAAATGCACCCCAAGGGGCGCTCTTTCCTTGTGAGCTGGAAAACTGAAGGTACATCGGAGGAAGGCACAACCCAGCGTACCTTCCTTGTTGGACGCACGCGGTTAAATCTCTAGAAAAGGAAAGAGCGACCTAGCGGGCACCTACCGCATCTGTCCTTCCAAGGTCAATGGTTTGCCCTTGCGTACGGCGTCCCCGCTTGGATATAAGCGGTCTTTCGGGCCATTGTCGCCGAGGATGTATAGTCGCCGGTCCGCCACCCATGAAACTGGCTTGAAAGCCACCAACAAAAAAAGAATCAAGTATTGAATCCTGCCCTTACCGGTCGAAATCAGAGAAGAAACAACGGTGCATCCCGAAATATCTCATCCCAAGTCATCCCCCCTCCTCGAACTCTCATCTCCTCAGAGTCACCCCAAAGCCGCTGTATAAAAACCGCAGCATCCCGCATACAAAGCGTCCCCAACACCGCAGTCATCTCATATAGCCGCCCGCAGATATACTCGTAGTCATCGCGACTGCGGCGCACCATCGCACACTGCACGCCGGCGATGGCGAGGGGCCAGAAGATGAATTTCCAGTATGCGTCGGTGTCTTCGTTGCTCTTTTTGCCGGGGGTTTCGGTTTTTGTGTGAGTGTCTATGTCGTCGTTGCGCCGTTCGAATAAGGCGCGGATGGAGAACATCAAGGACTCGTATGCCGTGTTCTTGATCGCGCGGGTAGTCTCGGGGATTAGGGCTAGGTCGAGGATTTGCGTTAGGCTTAGGCTTATGCTCGCTGTTTCCGTGGAAAGGGAGAGGTAGGATTCGACGGCGTAGAGGGTTATGGCCGAGCGGTAGGCGGTTGTGAAGAGGGTTTTGTTTGAGTCTTTGGTGGGTGGTTTTGGAGGCTCATCATTTGGGTTGACACTTGGGATGATACTCTTAATGTCTGTGTCGTTGGGTGCATTGCCTTCACTGTCCGGTGCAGGGATAATGTCTAGCTCGGCTAATATCTGCGACAGGGTGAATCCTGACCCTCTAGGGTCGGTCTCGTCTTCGTTCCCTTGAGCCTGGCTCGCCGTAGCTCGAGCAAGGTTGATCATAATGACAACTTTTAACAGGTGAGGTGGTATTGGTGTTGGAGTTGGAATCACATCGTAGTCCAGTTGTGGCAGTATCCTCAAGTATGCCATCTGCCAGCTTAGCGTGTCTGCGGTCATAGTCCTGACCGGTGCAGTCGTTGTTGACATTGTGTCGATAATTAGAACGTTCGACACGAGGAAACCGGTGTCGAGGTACTGTTCTAGAAGACGTTCCATTCCCCCATAGTGGCGTAAAAGCCTCTTGAGGCCCTCAAGGTGGACTCGCCATTGCCCATATGCGGCCTGTTGTAACTGAGAGAATAGAAGCATCATAATCCCCGCTAGAATAGTGATATTCAGCTTCTTGGTCGTCTTCGACAATTCCTCATTTACCTTCTTCAAGGCAGAGACATAGTATCGATAGAATGTTGCTCCCTCGGGATCCGACAGAGCTGTCAATTCCATCGGCGCACCGCGAGTTCCGCTAGGGACAGTACAACGACGCTGGACTATGCGATGAAAGACACTAATGGCAGCATGTGCATAGCTCAGGTATGAGGGCGCAATGGCGGTTACCTTGAGTGACCATCGGAACGGGTTCGATGAGGTGTCCGTCACAACCAAGTCGGGGGTCACACGATCGTTGTCTATTCAATGTTATTTCCAGCTTCTTTCAGGCGAACTATGGAGTCCTACAGTACGTAACCTCATTCGCAATTGCTCCATCAAGGGTATCGCCCGTCCGAAGACAGAACCCTACCTCCAGAGGAAGATCAGGAATGGAATCTGTTACTCATAATCAGCCTTATCAAAAACTCAACATATCTCATCTCATCTCATCTCATACACACTGTATCCGCCTTCCGAGCTTTGAACGTCTTGGGAACCTTCGGCTCCCTCCACCGCAATGGCCTCGTCGCCCCAAACCCCGGACAGTCTATGCCCTTAGCGGCGCATTTAGCGCATCCAGGTGTTTCTGAGCCGCAGCGTACGCGCCGCTCGCGACAAGCCCAGCATTGCGGTCCTTGGATCAGTCTTGGTTGAGGAGCATTTCGTTGAACCATGTCTGTCCCACCGGCAGGGCTGAGGTCTGTGACTCTGTGGGAGGGTAAGGCGCAGCTGAATGTCGTCTTGGTCGGGCACGGATGGGGTCATGTGACGGCGCCGGAAATGGATGGGCTTTTTGATGGACTCGCGTTCCGAATTCTTTGGTGATTCTGGACACAGCGGCTCCTATGTTGGCTTCTTGAGGCATTCAAGATACTTTGCGAGAAGAATGGTTGTCGTTGAAGAGCACAGCCACTGTCTAGGCTGAAGGATACTCCGTCGTATCTGCCAGTGGTTGAGGTTCAAACTGTATTCTGAGATGAGTCGAATTCCGATGAATTAACTAAGAGGGGAATCGACGGTACAAAACGCCTTGCTCATAGGCTAAGGCCAGAATGAAACGAATGTGCGAAGGAAGCGGAATAACAAATGAACAAGAACTGAAGGCCCGCTATGCATCTCATCTCCATCAACCGCTGCAACTACGGGATGGTTAACAGCCGTCACAACAAAACAATCATCGCTTCTCGCTCTCTCCTGTTTCCAAGGCCAGGATATTATGAAATCAAACTTCCCCAAACGAGTCCCTCCGCACACTCTCAACCGAAATATCATGCGCAACCGCGATACCATACTTGGCATCTGAAGCAGTAGAGGCAGTAGTGCTCTTACCCTTTTCCGTCAATGGGTCCGAGTCGGAATAACACTTTGTGCATTGCTTGGCACCGGTTACAGAAGCCGAGGTGCATGAGCCCTGCCTAGTACCCTTGGAACCTGAGAACGAGAGGATCTGCCAGATGTTGCGGCCGTACGCGGACATGGCGTTCGCTTTGTTGAGGGTTGTTCCAGCCCAGATGGAGGAAAGGGGTAGAGAGAGTGTTACCAGGCTGATGACGTTGGAGGAGAGTTCAGGAACGTCTGTCGAGTAGTGAATTATCGAGAAGATGGCTGGTACGTATTAGCAGTGTATCAAATGTGGGAGGGACGAGTTGAGGAACGTACCTGGTATGACCATCGTCTGGCAGCCCATAATGAATATCACTTTCATGGGACCAAAGTCTGTGATGCCTAACTTGCGGCGTAGTCGAATAGCAAAGGCGAGTTTTGTTACAAAGACGGCACAAAAGCAGCAGATGCTCACGGTGATAGAGATCTGAGAGATGCTTTCAATCCAGTTGACAGGTTGGGTCGTGACAGCGCCGATGATGCTCTTGATATTCTCGACTGCATACCAATATCTGAAAGCGATTGGAACGAGCGCGACTATGATAGACACTCCGAGAAGAGTATGCCGATACATGCGTCTGAGATTGACACAGACCGCCTGGACCTGGAGAACAAGCGAGGCCTCGATCAAGGTCAGGAGAATAGAATAAAAGATCACAGAGAGAATAGAGTTTGCATATGCTGAATCCGGGACATGGGCATAGTCGCCAGAAAAGTAGGCATATGGATGGGTGAAGGGTGAGGTGAAGAATATGATCTGGCAAAGCAATCTCGCAAAGTTGAGGAGCAGTGCAAGACAGTTGAGGCAGAACACATAGGAGCGGCGCTTCTCGGATTTGGTCAACAGCAAGAGAATGACGAGGAGGACGACAGTCGCTCCGAGCTGGGCGCCATAGTTGATGCAGATGCGGACCGGATACTGGGCGAAATCATCCACAGCCTGGATTGGCACAGGGAGAGGGTCTCCATTTGCAAGGTAGAAAGTGACATTCTGAGTCCAGGGATCGAAATCTGAAGCCATGATGATCGGCTTACGCAGGCTGTCGAGTCGAGAGGGGTTGCTGGTTGTTTTTGCAATTCTGTTCCCGTATGGGTGTCGTTCAAGCAGAGGGAAGGTAGGATGTTCAGGAACGACTGCAAGAGAAACGAAGTTGGAGAAGAGAAGATGTCTATAAGGGCTCGAGGAACACAGGTTGTCTTTCAACGTCTGCCCTCAACCAGTGACTGTAGTGTCTCTACCCGATTTAAATACAGCCATGGCCGTCTGCCCTCGTGTAACAGCGAGACAAACAATGGGAAGGACAGTATGGCAGGCGAGGTAACAATATCAGAAGGGTGCATGCCAAGGCGATGCAAGGTGATCATGATCGCTGACTCCATCCTTTATCTCAACCGATTGTGGTGGGGGCTGACTCGAGACAAACAATATCAAGCTCGAGCGGCAGAACAATATGAAGCGGGCGCCTCGATCACCAGCATGGCGCAAGTCATATAGATAGAATGTCTACCATGGTTATTCTTGGTCGGGTTCCTTGAGGATTCTTCGCAGGGTTTCATCGAACTGTGGGTTGCAAGACAAAGGAAACTCCGTCCGCAGTGTTCACAGCCGGGACCGGTGGGATTGAACTGACATTTGTTCCAACACCAACTGCGCCAGTTTCATGGTGAGGAAATTGCAATAATTTGACCTCGGGGAGCTTCAGCACTCTTCCAATAGCGAAGCTCAATGTCCTTTCAGAGTTCCTGATTGTTTTGCATCATAGAGGGCTGGTTTCGGCTGTTTGCTCCATGTCAGAGTCTCCTGGTAAGGGATGAGAATGGTTCAGATGGCAATGGCAAAGAGGCATCTGGCAGACCTACACAGGGATTTGGCTTCCGCTTCCACAAAGGATGTCACCTTCGACCGGGTTTGTGCTCCGCGGCAACTGACGATCTCATGCACAGTCCATCGTGATGTGACTGTTGACATTCGCAGCAAGAGGCCCAATCAGGCTGTCAGTCGTCGCTCCCATAATTCTCAAGCTGCATAACGTGCTCGGCTTGGCTACGTAGAAGTGTAGAGGAAGATTCGGAACTGCAGGCGTACATGGTGTGACTTGTTGGAGTGCAATAGGAAATAGTAGTTAAAGCGATGGAAACTGACTAAGGGCCAAGACTGCGGGGATCCTTGATGATGTTGTTTGTCTGGGTCAAGTTGACCTCCAACTCCGGACCACCTCTCGCTCCCAGCGCCCACTCGACATGGCTGCAGTCCCGCAGAGGACGCTTAACTGGCTGTACAGCGTTTTGATAAGGGTAAATGCAGGACCTAAGGTTCACTAGAGGTCGCTCAAGCTGACTCTGCCTGCCCAGGACCACTACGACCCCAAGCAAACATACCAGGACCCGAACCGCACCTACTATGATGTCGCAAACGTGCTAGCCAAATTCCCCTCCCTTTCCCCGGAAACAAATGTCTACAGTAAGTCGATCACAAGCCAGCAAGCTTCCGGCGTTGAGTGCGCAATTGACACCCCATCTCCGCTAGCCTACGAGACCGGTGACTTCGCCCTCCTCCTCCACCTCTCGGGCACATTACCCGTCACATATCGCGGCCAGGTGTACAAATTCCCTATCGCATTATGGATCCCGAACACTTATCCCCGCGATCCGCCGCTCGCCTACGTGACGCCGACGCAAGACATGGCTGTCCGGGTCGGCCAACATGTGACGTTGGAGGGGAGGATCTATCATCATTATCTAGCCCACTGGGCTGGCGCATGGGAAGTGAGTACAAATGGCGTGCTGTCCGGAACTTGATTGGATTATGCTGACACTACCGGTCACAGCGCTCTACTCTACTTGATTTCTTGTCGATTCTTCAAGATGTCTTTGCGAAAGAACCTCCGGTTAAATACAAGCAGCAACAGCCGATTCCCCGACAGGTCCAGGCACCACCACCTCTTCCACCACTACCTCCAGAGCTCGCGCACTCCTCAACACACACTCCATCGCCTCAAATGCCGACAGCCCATACTCCTCAGCCCGCGGCCCAGCCACCTCCACCTCCACCCAAGCCCGGCCAACAACAGAGCGTTGCTAAATGGCAACAGTCCAACGGTCAACCGCAGCAGATCAGCTCCCCTCCACCACTCCCTCCATTGCCACCAAAGGAGCAGGGTCATCGGCCGCCCGTACCTCCGTCGCAAGTCTCCATCGGCAGCTCACAAACCAGGGCACCACCCCAATATCTGCCCCAGCAGGGCAACTTTGGGCCAGGCGCATATCATCCACACCAGCAACAAGCGCCGCCCCCGCCGCCGCCTCCACAGCAGCGAAATGTGTCGCACTCAGGACCTTCTTATTACCAGGGGCCTGCCTACCAGCCGACCTCGGACGGTGCACATTCCCAACAGCAAGCCCCTCCTCAATTCCAAGGCTCACAAATGCCTCCTCATTCGACATATCGCCAACAACCTCCACCACGCCAACAGGCACCCATACAGCCACTCCATCATCCTCCAAACCAAGCACAGCCATCCGCACAACACCCACCATCACGACCAAAGCCCACAACTGAAGACCTGCTCACATCCCCCTTCGAACTCGACCTCCCCTCATTCACCCCCACTGGCCCGGCTCCGCCCATCCCTCCAAACCCAGAGAAAGATGCCCTCCTCCAAGCAGTCTCCAAGGCGCTCACAGAAACGCTCCACGCAAACATCGCACACTCCGATTCCGCCGCCCAATCTCTCACCTCGCAATCCCACTCCCTCCACACCGCAATCGCAACCCTCCAATCCGAAATTTCCTCCCTAACAACTCTAAACTCAACCCTTCAATCAAACTCCTCTGTCCTCCAACAATCCCTCCACCGCGCCGACGCTGTCATCGCAGACGCCCAGTCCCGCGCCAATAACACCAACACCACCAACCTACCATCCTCCTCAACCGACCCCACAGCCGCAGGCACAGGGACAGGCCTACCGCCCATCGACGACGTCCTCGTCGCACCTACCGTCGTAGGCAAACAACTCTACGACCTCGTCGCCGAAGAACGAGGTATCCAGCAGGCTATCTATGCCCTGCAGGCTGCGCTAGTCAAGGGCGTCATCAGCGTCGAGACCTGGTCGCGCCATACTCGTGGTCTGGCTCGTGAGGCTTTTATGAAGCAGGCGCTCATTCGGAAGATTGGGCGGGGAATGGGGCTTGATGAGTATCCGTAGTGGGTCTGGAGAAGGGTGGAGTGACGAAGTTAGTGACTGCCATTTTAGAAGCAGTAGTTAGCGGCTTGATACTTGCGCATTTAGAGAAGGAATTTGATATAATTCCCATGGTTCCAGACTTATTTCTTTTGGTCTACGGTTGATTACCTATTTTAATATCTATTGGCATGGTATGCAGTGCAGTACTCCGTAAGGGCTCGGCAGGGTCAGTCAATATATACTTTGCAGTTCGTACAATCAAGTGTCCTCTGATATCACAGCTAGACAAGGTGGCCTTCTACACCTCCCAAGCAAGCTTAATGCCTACTTGGGAATACATCAAGATCCATACATTACAAGCAGAGAAGAAAATGAATAGTAGGGGATATGGTGATAGTAAAGAAAAGATGACTATTCGCACGGCTCAAACAATGGCCGGACATGGATATGAAGATAGAAGAGGCGTAGCCATTCATATACAGAATTCGAAAAAGGGTGTAAAATGGTAGATAGACCTCGATCGCATCTATAAAGCAAGGAAAAAAAAAGTATCCAACCCAGATAGTGATATATGCGCCAAAATGTGATGATCCAAGAACCCAAGTAAAGTCAGACAGTCGTAAGAGATAAATGATGAGAGGTGATGTTTCTATTTCACCTCATTCACATCTGAGAATGGAGACTCGACGCGCGGAGGGGGTGCCCCGCTGTGTCGCTTTGTTCCCTCGAGGAGAGACGAGTTGCGATGGGTTCTCTCTGTTGGTGTGTCGTTTCCAAAGGGGCTTTGGATGATAGCTGGAGAGTCTTCGATGACTGTTGGTGCCTGAGATCGTCTAGCTGAGCTAGGCGTCTCTACTTGGGTGGATGCGCGCTTGTTGGCGGCTAGTTTGGGGGCCTCGTCCTCGTCGCTTGACGAGCTGTGGATGAAACTCGAGGCCGCTGTCACGTTCCGTGTGGAAGTGGACGTTTCGGTACTAGATTCCGACTGCTCCTGGATGGGCTGTACGGTTGTGGTGGGAGCTTTATTCTTCTTTCCAATGGTCTTCACCATAACGGGTTTTGCGGTCACAGTGCGTGCGACAATTGAGCTCTTAGTGTTGGGGTCAGAGACACCCGCTTTGGCGAGCTGTGCCTTGGTGATGGCGGGCACAGCGGGAGCATCAGGGGTAAGGGTCTGTGGCGATCCTTGAGGGTTACCGCCGTTGTGAATGCTAACTACTGCAGCACGTGTGCGCATGGCCTGTTGAGCAGGCATAGGGCTGACAATGGCATCGTTTCGGTAAATTGTGGTGGCGACGCTGCTTCGTAGAGTGTTGGCCATTGACCGACGGTCAGTGGTCATATCAGACCATGATGAGTCACGAAGGTCGCCAGGCATAAAGAAATGTTGATCGGGGTGCGCGCCGGGAAGAGGAGGGACCGGTGGCACAAGAGGGGTATCTGGGGGCGAGCGGTTGGTAACACCAGGAATATAGGCGATTTGAATAACATTGGACGCGCGAGTCAACACCGTAGATGCGATGGAGTGGGTAGATTTTCTCGACTGGCTGCTGCCAGGGTCGGCAACGTGCGAGCTGGCCTTCTCCGATGCGTCTGCTCGTTGCTGGTTGCGCCTCTTCCGGATAACGAACCACCAAATCAAGAAGACGACTATTCCAACAACTGCAACTCCTCCAATGACACCACCTGCAATAGCACCAGTGTTTGCTCCTCCGCCTGACGAGCTTTCCTGTGATCCCGAGGAACTAGAAGCTACCTTGACACATTCCATATAGGCGCACTGCGTGCACGACTGAGCGTTCATTACACATCTGGTACCCGAGGGACATGCGGGGCAGGTGGGAGCTGATGCTGGGCAGTCCTTGCACTGGGTGTCACGGGCGGTTAAGCCTACATGGTGTTAGCAGGTTGCCCAGGGTAGAAAGCGAATGCGAGACTGCATACCGTGAGGACGGAGAGGATCGGCGACATTGAGCAACATGGTGAATGACTTGTTAGACGTTTATGGATATAAGATCCGAGTAATGTCGTAAGAGGATTCGGCGGTTTTGGATACGGTTGAAAGACAAAAGAGCGGAAGGCCGGTCAACGGCGTAAAGAGTGTGGTTGATATATAAAAGAGTGTATGGATGCTCCAGCAGACGTCAAGTCGAGGGCTTATGGCTGAATCATGAGAGGAAGGTCGAGGTTCTTTGTGCAAAGAGTGAATATCTCGAAGTCGGCACGCTAGATCGGAGAACTATGCGCAGTGATGGTCATAGTCCGCTGTCAAGTGGATCTGTGCGCTCAATATATCGATATCCACGGTCGGAATTTCCACCAAAAGGTCTGCGTTACGTCGCGGTGGTGATAGTTCGACTAGAAGCCTGGACGGGTCGCTGTCAGGAGGTTGAATGTGGTGTACACGCGTTCTGTGGCGTCAGGTACAAGCACAGCGACGGATCAGGGGGAACGAGATGACTCGGCAGGAAATGTCCCTCTGGAGGCGGAATATCCAGTGTCAGGAAGTGTAGATGGGAAGAAAGAAGGGGGAGTAAGAGAAAGGCATAAGAAGATAAAGCAGCAGGCGGGAGAAGGAGTTGAGGGGAGAAAAGGTCTCACTTCTCACTGGGGGTTGGCGGTTGGGTGGAGATGCAGAAAGTGGGAGAGGGAAGTCAATAAAAGGCACCAGGAGAGGAGGCCGTCTGGATTCCTATCTACACTCACGCCTGCTTAATTCCACACAAGAGTTACACCGATTTGGCATCGCATCCACATGCTGTAGTTAACTTGCAGTTGAGTACAACGTTGGAGCTTAGATGGCTCTCTCGTCAATAATAATCTGGGATGTCTTCGCAAGATTGTCATGGAGTTGGCGCGGTAAGTACTGTTGAAGCCAACTCGCCCGTTCGATGAGCCAACAGCCTGAAAATAGTATAGACTCAACACTTCCAAAGATGACGATGCTTTTCTTGGGCAACTCTCTGTCAAAACCTTTGTCCTACGCATGGATTTCGCCTAGTGCCTGGCGATCTGTCAAACCCTTCAACAATCATCCATGATGCCCTGGTTTGGGCAAAGCCAGCAAGAAAAAAAGGCGAACCAAGAAAAGACCCCTGGCATGGTGTTTCGGCGTCCCGTTGTCTCATCTCGCTGTCGTCCTTGCTGATTTCAGATGCCAAGGGCGTGCGTGGAAGAGGAGTCTGGCCGTGCCCAAAGTCTGGTTCCTGGTGCTAGTGAGTGGTTCTGGACCAACCCACGTTCCCTCCGGGAGATTACACGGGGCGTCTGGTCGAATCACAGCGCCGCTCAGCCTCAGGCACGGACGACAAGTAATCAAAGAAGACAGCGACGCTCGCACCAATGCCGTCCATCATTTGATCCTTCATCTGGGCTTGTCGAAGTCCAGATCACCTTGGTGGAGTTGCGGAGGCTGATTATCGAAGCCGCAGATGCCACAGAGAGTCGAAAGTTGTCAGTGCCAAAGGCGCCCAATATCGGACGGTTAACCACCGACTGTAATCTGACTATAGAACAAGAGGCCAGAGCGACTCCAACCGTCAACGTCGCTGCAACTCGCCCGCTTTGTGTCCGCGGCCCGGCTTGTTGATCTCTTGCTGGATCCGTCGTCTGTCCCGCTTTAGCCTCGGAGTATATTTGCTGCATGTAAGCCTGGTTGTTGCTCAGCGATTGTGAACGGCTTGCTGGGAGGACTCTGGCGCAGTAGTAATAGGCTGAGTTGCGACAGTGGTGACTCTGGTGAGAGGTCGATAATAAATTGTACTTCTCTCCGTACATGCTGTGCCACGGAAGTCTAGATCTGGGGCCCAGTCAAGGCCAATATATGCAGGGCAGTTACCCAGCGCCACGCTGTATCATCTACGGTAGGCACAGCTTAGCTATCATATGTCGCTTGCTAGCCTCATCTTTGTTACTCGAGTTGACTCCACTGCTGGAGTCTGGAGTCTGGAGAGTCTGGACTGAGGACTCAAGACTTGGTGGACTCCTCGTCATGCGGCGGGCCTCCATGAACGGTAAGCAGTCGGAGATATATATCAGCCCGGCTCCCCGCCAAATCATGGCACAACCCATTCGCATATGGTGAAGACCGACGCCTGGTAGGTTCAAGTGCAGCTTCTGAAACATGTTACTACGATGTCTTGTCCAGAGCCGACATTTCCAGGTTGCCCATATCCAGTTGCTCCTCAAAGCTGATCGAACAGACCATCTACCAATCCAGCCCAGCGGCCGATCACTGGGTTTGAGGAATGCTGTTTCAAGATGACGTCTGATATTACACAGCGACCCCTCCCCCGGAGTAGCCTTTGGGGCCAGGCACAAGAGGCAAATCAAGCAGATCGATGTACATCGTACATCGTATGCACATGTAGATCATCCGCATCTCAACCGCATATGTGCTACCCGCAGGACAATGTCTACGAATTGCAAGTACCTGCCTCATGCTGCGGACTCGAGATATCCCTGCATGGCCGAAGATCAGTGTCCACTGGAATCGAAATATATGCCTTGGTAGCGTCAGCTGCGTCACTGCGCGCCGACTGAGGATCGAAGTGTGGGCATACGACATACTCCATGCATACCGTTGCGTGGATAACCGTTGGGCCCTTGTCAGTCGAAGTATCTGGATTGCATCATCCAAATCCAAGTGATACCCATGAAGATGATTCTGTCGACAAAGAAAGTCTACCCGCAATTATCCGGGAAATAATCCGGGAGAGCAAGAGATGAGTGAGATGGCGAATTCGACTTCTTCTCGGCCCCGACACTAAAAACGGCACAGATTTTCAAGGTAGTAAGGACGAGGGCACATCTGATAACTCCAAACGCAATGCAACTGCTACATCGGAGTATTCCGCATTATGCGGACAACAATCGCATTGAAGACGAAGCGGTCAAAAGAAGGGTCTGCGGCTCTGCATCCTAAGAGCATCATGAATCAAGCTTGTGATGCGCCTCGCCGCCTGGTTGTATCCATCTTTCCCCTGCTTTGGCAGTGCTCGCGCCAGGTATCTAAGAATAGGCGTGGAAACCGACTAGAAGACAGAAACCTCACATTAGTCGCTGCTCCGCCTGGAAGTGAAGGTCCGCGTCTCCATAATCCGCCCACCAGCGGATTCAGTAGTTTTGCAAATTTCAGTAGCAATACCGTATAGCGAAATTGGGTGGCGGTGCCAGTGTGCCACCGAACCAATTCCTAAGGCATTTTGAAACGATGAGCAACCAGTGAACATGACAGATCTCATTAAACACTCCACCATATAGGCCGTCAATCGGCGCTGATTGGGCGTTGATGAGATTTCTTTCGAGTTTTGGCATAATTAAGGATGTTGAACTAGCGGCCTCGCTGTGGCACCCGGATCCCCGAGTAACCAACAGACGGCAAACACGGTTGAGGCCGGCCACCAGCGCCCACAGGCCTATATTTGGCGATGGCTTGACCACTTTTGGTTATATCGGATGACCCCGCCCCCTGAAATATTTCCGTCTGTATTGAAGATCAGCGGATCTGACCATACGCTGCTGCAAATATTCGGCATCATGAAATCACCATCGTCGTTGTTGTCTCGGGGGCTGGAAGCTGAGGGCAAGGGTAAATTCAGAGAATGACATTCCTCAGGTCGTCATCTCGTGGGCCGGGAAACGATGCTGGCAAGGGGTGAGGAATGCTGCATCTATCCCAGCTGGAGACGTTGATAATTGACAACTTTCAATAGCCTGCAATAGATGGATCAAATGGTGTCAACAAGACTTGCGATGCCTCAATACTTCAGGGGTCAGCGAATGAAAAGAGCGAGGAGAATTTGAAGCAGAGTCAAGACCTCCTGCAGATGGTTGTTTTACGAGATGGTCTTAAGACTGCTGAAAGAAGCCCTGAAGTGTTGATCAATCATCAAAGCGAAAAATACGCAAAAAAGTCGTGTGTACTGGATGAGATTGGTCAGTTGCGGGGTGTGGGCTTTGATGGCTTGAAAAATTTGGTCTGTGTCGTCCTCTTGACCCATCGGTTCAAGATGTACCACCTGCCTCACCGCCAGCACAACATGAAGCAGCCGAGAAGAAGATGTCTTGAACTGGTGACGACGGGAGGCAAAGAGTATCAAGGATGAAAGTGCTCACTTGCTAGAAGGCTTCAATCAGAAGATGAAAAGTGATGATAAACAATTTGATCAGCAAAGATCAGTCTTTTCTTAGAGCCTGGAGGTGCAGTAGTCTGCCAGTAAGCTTGCGCTTGTTCACCAGCCCCAGGCCAGTGGTAAGGAATCCTAGCCATTCCGAGCCCCCGTTCCAAACCACCAAGAGGGAAAAAAAGACGCCAGGAGACTCAAGACACCCTTCTTCAGAACCTTGAAAGGGAAAAAAAATTCCAGCTGTTAATTTTCACTGCAAACTGCTTTCTTTAGACGCATCCTCTGTCAGGTCAGAGAACCAATCTCAACCAAGATCAGGTTGCCTTTGGCCTCCCATTTCTTACCACGGGTGAATCTGTGAGGCTAAATATACTGGAGCCACCTCCTGCTCTCCCATCTCGCTGTCTCACCTCTGCCTCTGTGTTTTTTTGGGGCCTCCTCTCAGCCCTGGCGGCTTCCTCCACGTTCCTGCTCTGCCTGCGCCTCTCGCTCAGCTTCCGACCCTTTACGCATCCGCTTTTACGCACTGCTTTATTACCCATCTGTTTCTCTCGTTCCATCTTTCCTCTTCATTCCCCTCGCTCTTGTCGCTTTGTTCTTCTTTCTTCATTGTTCTCCTGTCCGTGCCGCGTGGACCTGTAAAACGCGGGCTGACTTGTTTGACCTTCCCAAGTCGGACCAACCGCACTTCCACGGTCTCCTCGTTTCCCAGATACCCCCTTCCTCTCGAGTCCTTGCGTTCTGCTTCTACTTGAGTTTGCTTTATCTCGCACGCACGCCTAAATCGCACTTTAATTGCGCATCATCACCATGGCCTACCACGGCTCTGGGTCCCAGTCACCTGGGGGAAATAATTTCAATGATGAAAGCCATCGCCTCCAGGATCTCGGTCACAGCAACAACACTTCTGTAAGCATCATCCTCCGCGACGACTTTTATCTTTTCGAGATTCTGACCTGTGTTTTCCCTGAATCTACAGTACGAAGAAGAAGCCTCGCGGGGATTACTCTCCAGCCAGCAAAGTCCTTTCGCCGGCCCCTTCGATGACCCCCATCAGCAGCGTGGCCTTACCGCTTCGCCTGTTCAGCGACCTACGTCTGGATACAGTTTAACGGAGTCTTATGCTCCTGACGCCGGTTTCCACGACCCATACAGCAGCAATGCATCGGCTTATTCCGGCCACTCGGAGAACCCTGCTGCTGCCTTTGGTGTTCCGGGTCGTGTAGCATCACCATACGCCCGTAGCGAAACTTCATCCACAGAAGCTTGGCGCCAGCGACAGGCTCCAGGGGCCAATAACGGGGGTGGCGGTGGCCTTCGTCGTTATGCTACCCGAAAAGTTAAGCTTGTTCAAGGTTCCGTCCTGAGTGTGGACTATCCGGTGCCTAGCGCTATCCAAAACGCGGTTCAGGCCAAATACAGGAACGATTTGGAGGGCGGAAGCGAAGAATTCACACACATGCGATGTGAGTTGGATTTGAAACATTCAGGGGATGGAAAACTGACCCTTTTGACTAGACACCGCGGCCACGTGTGATCCCAACGAATTCACCCTTCACAATGGCTACAATCTTCGCCCGGCGATGTACAACCGACACACAGAGTTGCTGATCGCCATTACCTACTATAACGAAGATAAGACGCTCACCGCCCGTACCTTGCACGGTGTCATGCAAAATATCCGAGATATCGTCAACCTCAAAAAGTCCGAGTTCTGGAACAAGGGCGGCCCTGCTTGGCAGAAGATTGTTGTCTGCTTGGTTTTCGACGGTATCGACCCTTGCGACAAGGACACTCTGGATGTCCTTGCGACAGTCGGTGTGTACCAGGATGGTGTCATGAAGCGTGACGTTGATGGAAAGGAAACCGTGGCTCACATTGTATGTTTCGCTTCACAAACTGTGTCCATGAAATTCGATTGCTAACAAGTCAATAGTTTGAGTACACTACTCAGCTTTCCGTTACTCCCAACCAGCAGCTCATCCGGCCCACTGACGATGGGCCGAGCACCCTTCCTCCCGTGCAGATGATGTTTTGTCTTAAACAAAAGAACAGCAAGAAGATCAACTCTCACCGATGGCTTTTCAACGCTTTTGGTCGTATCCTAAACCCCGAAGTTTGCATTCTTCTCGATGCCGGTACGAAGCCCGGGCCCAAGTCCCTGTTGTATCTGTGGGAGGCTTTCTACAACGACAAGGATCTCGGAGGTGCCTGTGGTGAAATTCACGCCATGTTGGGTAAAGGTTGGAAGAAGTTGCTAAACCCCTTGGTCGCGGCTCAAAACTTTGAGTACAAGATCAGTAACATTCTCGACAAGCCTCTCGAAAGTTCTTTCGGTTATGTCAGTGTGTTGCCTGGTGCTTTCTCTGCTTACCGATTCCGTGCGATCATGGGCCGTCCGTTGGAACAGTACTTCCACGGTGACCACACGCTTTCAAAGCAGCTCGGAAAGAAGGGTATTGAGGGCATGAACATTTTCAAGAAGAACATGTTCTTAGCTGAGGATCGTATCCTGTGTTTCGAGTTGGTGGCCAAGGCGGGCTCCAAATGGCATCTTTCGTATGTCAAGGCCTCCAAAGGTGAAACCGACGTGCCGGAAGGTGCTCCTGAATTCATCTCCCAGCGCCGTCGTTGGCTGAACGGTTCGTTCGCTGCCGGTATCTATTCGCTCATGCATTTCGGTCGTATGTACAAGAGTGGTCACAACATCATCCGAATGTTCTTCCTGCATCTGCAAATGTTGTACAACTGGTTTTCTACCATTTTGACTTGGTTTTCTCTTGGTAAGTGCTCAAACCATTCTGGGTTATACTTGAAAACGGCTCTAACATTGATAATCTAGCGTCTTACTGGCTTACCACTACGGTTATTATGGACTTGGTGGGAACTCCCAGCGATAGCAACGGCAATACTGCTTTTCCCTTCGGTGAAGATGCGACTCCCATCATCAACACCCTGGTCAAATATATCTACCTCGCCTTTTTGCTGCTGCAGTTTATCCTTGCCCTGGGTAATCGTCCTAAGGGATCCAAATTCTCCTACCTCGCATCTTTCGTGGCTTTCGGTATCATCCAGATATACGTCGTTGTCGATGCGTTGTACTTGGTCGTTCGAGCGTTCAGTGGAAAGAATGCCATTGATTTCAACACCGACGAAGGTATTGGTCCGTTCTTGAGCTCGTTCTTCGGATCTAGCGGTGCCGGTATTATCATTATCGCTCTTGCTGCCACCTTCGGTCTTTACTTCGTTGCATCCTTCATGTACTTGGACCCCTGGCACATGTTCACATCTTTCCCTGCCTATATGGCCGTTCAGTCGTCTTATATCAACATCCTGAACGTCTATGCCTTCAGCAACTGGCACGATGTGTCATGGGGTACCAAGGGTTCCGACAAGGCTGATGCTCTTCCCTCGGCCAAAACCACCAACGATGGAGGCAAAGAGGCAGTTATTGAGGAAATTGACAAGCCCCAGGCCGATATTGACAGTCAGTTCGAGGCAACCGTCAAGCGTGCTTTGACACCCTATGTTGCTCCAGTCGAAAAGGAAGAGAAGTCCCTTGATGACTCCTACAAGAGTTTCCGTACCAGACTTGTCACATTCTGGCTCTTCAGTAACGGTCTCTTGGCCGTCTGCATTACTAGTGAGGGTCTGGACAAATTCGGATTCACGGTATGTTCCCACATTTCAACCTATTACTGAGTTCAAGCTAACATATGAATGTAGAACACCGCCACTGAGCGTACCTCGCGCTTCTTCCAAGCCCTTCTGTGGTCTAACGCCGTTATTGCGCTTATCCGTTTCATCGGAGCCACTTGGTTCCTTGGAAAGACTGGTCTCCTCTGCTGCTTCGCCCGGCGGTAGATGGGACTTATCCCTTAATGAAAAGTGAAACAAAAGATACCTTGCAAATGGATGTGTTGCATGGGATCCAAGGAGTTATTCTTGGCACATTTTGTTGCGATATTGTATTTTACATATGATGCTTATTCTCCCTTGTTGTCCTCGTTTATTTGCGGCGCCCACTGAGATATCAGTTTTGACGGAGGTGCAGGATCCCTTGACGCTTGTAGACTTTTAGTGGCTAAATTCAATGACATTTCAAGAGTGGTCAGATTCCCTATGTAAACTCGTTCGTAAAGGGAGCCAACCTCCTGGTAATTAGGTAGCAGGCGGAAACCTGGGCTTGGTTGCATGGCGTCAGGCTACGGCTCCACCCGCTCATCCATCTGCGAACTCCAGCCTCAGTCTTGACTCTGCGTTCTCTCCGCTTTTCTTTTTCCTTACTCCTCTCGCTCATTACAACGGTACATGCTAGGCAGGTTCATAAGCTTGAAGACGGTTCCAGAAAACTAGAGTGGCGAACGCACCTTTTCCTCGTCTACCCCACCAACACGCCCCTCGTATAGCCGCCGCCATCTTCCACTTGACACATCTTCCTCCGCAAAATCTCCAGCAACTCCTTGTCGATCTCAGTGCTTTGCTTGTGACAGGCCTGCGCCAAACACACATTCACAATGCTCAAGATCTGGTCTATGGTACGCCATCCCCGCTCGCACCCATAGAGTGGTTGCGCGACTCCGCACTTGCAAGACCCTCATTAACCGCACACTCAACAACAGAAACAACAGCAGCAGCAAGCTGAAAATGCTGAAGGAGCTGCAGGCAAGAAGAAGAAGAAGGTTACGGCCGCTCAGCTTCGCGTTCAGCGAGGTACGTCTCACCCACCTCACCTCCCTCGTTCATAATCTATCTACTCCCGGCCCGTCCGCCTCTGCTCCAGCTCCTCCTGGTGGATAAAAAACAACTATGACCTAACATATCTCTGCTCTACCCTATTCAGACCTCCAAGAACTCACCCTCGGAAACACAATGAAAATGGCCTTCCCGGACAAAGACGACATCCTAAACTTCACGCTCACCATTGAGCCCGACGAGGGCATGTACAAGGGCGGCTCGTTCGTCTTCACCTTCGCTGTCAACCAGAACTTCCCACACGACCCGCCGAAAGTGAAGTGCACGCAGAAGATCTACCACCCGAATATCGATCTTGAGGGGAACGTTTGCCTGAATATTTTGCGTGAGGACTGGAAGCCGGTGCTGAATTTGAATGCGGTTATTGTGGGGATGCAGGTGAGGCTTTTTCTACTTACTTACTTGTTCCGCCGTCTTTTCTCTTTAGGGGAACAGGGTCTTAGGGGGTTCGTTGATGTGCTAACGACGTGTAGTTCCTCTTCCTAGAACCCAACGCCTCCGACCCGCTAAATAAAGAAGCCGCCGAAGACCTCCGGCAGAATCGCGATATGTTCAAGCGCAATATCCGTGCGTCTATGGGCGGAGGAACTGTTCGTGGAGTCCAGTTCGATAAAGTCCTTCGATAAAAGATACCGTGGCCGGATTGAGCGACCTAGATCGCCCGAGAATGCTTTGTGATCTTTGCAGAATCGCTTGGTGTCGAGGTTTAACAAAGACGGACGATGGGGGATGGGTCATGGCAAATGAGCACTACCGGCATCAACGCCGAAGTTGACAGGGATGTGATATCCGGTTGAGTGCCAATTGCCTTGACTACCTGGAGCGCCTGAACTAGGATGAGATGGAACGGCGGTTGGTTTTACGGCGGGTATGGTATTTACTCACGCATGCATATTTGCCTTATGAATTATTTTAGCGACTGGATAGATTCCCTGATGAATATGACTTCTATGAGTTAGTATATCTTTTCTTGCGGGCTGACTGGAAGGAATTCGGTATATCAGCGAGGCCTGTAATACAGATAGCTGATATCCGACTCTATGCCTTTCTTATGTAGTATCAAAAGTACACCCAGGCCGGCAGTAACCGATAGGACGACATGCGGCGGCATTCGCGAATACAGCTACAGTTTCAACAAGCTTATCTCTACGCCCTCTACACCTACAAACTCCTTACTCTTGCGGTTCCAGCAAAATGAGCGTCCAGAGTACAAGTGTATATATACAACTAACTCTCACAGAACAAAGGAAAAGGTAATCGGTAATCGATAGATATTCTAACATTTCTTTCTTTCCGCTTCCGCTCTAAACAGCATTGCATCCAACATATCAAGTCTGAATTAACCAGTCGACATCGGTCCCGATTGAATGAGACATCAACAGGCGAGGACGAGACAAGGAACCCGGGTATATGTCCTCGCTTTCTGCGGATGTCTTCGGGCGCTTCCTTTGTGGGTTGGCAGGGGGAAAGAATGGTAGTCACGGAGATGGAAAGAGGCGCGGGGATTCGTTGTCGGCTGGCTAATCGAGGGAGTTGACGGTTACAGGGTGCGTTTAGGCCTGGCCGGCGGCGCGCTCCTGCTCAAGGCGGGTGTAGTAGTTGTCACGGGCGCGGACGCGGGGAAGGTGGTAGCCTGAAGAGAGAATTGGATATTAGATGAGGGTTCCAAGAACGACAAGAGATGGTATTATCTCTAGAGAGCAAGAGAGGGCTGGATCAGTCTGTACATACCGTACCACCAGAGGTAGCCGAAGGAGGTACCGAAACCTGTAAACGCGGAGAGCAATTAGTGATCTGTCGTTGTAAATTCCCCAGCAAGAAACAATTTCTCCATGAAAGCTGCAGCAATCGCATGTCCCAGAGTGAACAAGGGCCATTGAGAGCTCTCGACGCGAGCTTTCTTCCTCCAATTTTACCAAGATTCGGTTGCGGTTTGACAGCGGCGGATGGGGACTCACCGAAAGCGGTGCTCAGGTCAAGGACCAGGTTGCGGCGGAGCATCTATACACAAGCTATGTTAGTCAATCCTTGCAATTTTCGCGGCACCCGGTGCGAGTAAGGGCGTAGCCGGATCGAGGTGGGATGAGTAGCATACGCCGGTGATGGGAGCGATGGTGGAAGCCATTGAGACTGATTTATTGTAGCAATTGACGAGGAGAGTCTATCCTGAGAGAGTGCAGGTGATAAAAGACCTGCTTAGGTGGTGGTGGGGAGGTGAGCGGACTAAGAGAGGAGAGGAGCAAGTGGTGATGTTGGACGTCAGGGCGAGGTGAAGCTTTCCGATCCGGCACGGTCCAGTAAGCGACCGCTTTGAGTGGCCTGATTCTCGAGACCTCGAACAAGTCGCAAGGTGCGTGTGCCAAGATCCTGACTTTTATGGCATTGCATTATTGCTACTATAGTTGATCTTTACTAGTCCTAAAATTACTCTTTCAGCATTATCCATTTCTCACTGAAGGTTCAGTTACAATGGCATGAATTCGAGATCTCTTGCTGGATGTGATTCATGCCTGAGGCCGAAGTCACGTGCTTTGACGCGGGAATTGCTGTTCGGCCTCATCATCGCGGCTGGGCTCTTCATACACCCTCGACCACGTCCGCAATGGCGCCCTCCTCGCCGGCCGTCAAACGACTATTCTCATCCCTCCCTGAGCAGCCGACTGACGATAATGCTAAACGGATAAAGCGCCCATACCACCATCACCATCGCTTACATGTGCCAGTCAACCCAGGCTTGTCGGAGCCAGCTATCACCGATGACTCCTACGTCGACCAGGTGATGAACCGCACCATCAGTCATTCATTACGAGAGTGCGGATTCGAAATCGCCGATCCGCTAGCCCTAGAGAGTTTCCGCGATGCCGCAGAGGAGTGTATGTGCATTGAAGAAAACACCAGGAGTGTTGTGTTGCTGACAAGGATCGCGTGTAGATCTTCTGAAGCTAGCATCATATGTGCGCGCATCGATGCTATCAAGTCGGCGCTTACAACCCATACCGAATGATTTCGAATACGCCTTGAAGCGGCACCACCTGCCTGTGAATTCCCTTATTCCATACCTGCAGCCTCCCCCGAAGACCGAACCTATCCCAACACAGCTTCCGAGCCCTCCACCCGAAGAGGATGATGATTTCAAGATATTACCCAACCTTGGGCCGCAGCTGAGCGGCGAAGATGATCGTGTTCGAAGTCCGTATATTCCGAAGCATTTCCCGGAGTTCCCGAGCAAACACACATACCGCCATACACCTGTCTTCACCGAGCGAGAACGAGATCCGAGAAAAATACGTGAACGTGCAGCGGATGACGGACGGCATGGGGAGGAAGCTTTGCGTAAACTGGCTCGGGCGGCTTTCAAGGACAACCAACCCGGTTCGGGTGGCCGCGACAGGAAGCCGTGGGGTCGAAAAGCGGAGAGTTTTGACAGCATGTTTGAGAAAACGGTCAGGGGTATATCCAAGAAAGCGCTTAAGAGTGCCGCTCCGAGCGGGCCTAACGTGATGGACGTCGATACTGCTGCCGATACCGAGACGAAACAGAGCAGGTCGAAGGGCCTGGCTGGGCTGGAACTACCGCCAATTATAAACTGCGAAAGGGATCTTTGGCGGCGGAATGCGGCATCTGGGAGACAACGGCCGGAGGAGAAGTCAGGCACAAAACAAGCGTCAGATCTTTCCAGAGTCGAGAGTTGGGTTGGCACTTGAGAATCGAGTCGGCACGAGCAGCATCTTGCGGCGTTGGCGTTTTGCATCTCTTCATTATCTGTAGCAGCATTCCAAGATACCCATGTGAATCTATTTGAAATTGTCATGCATCGTTGCCCCGCTCCGTCCGTAAATGAAAGCATAAGCTCTTCTCAAACTCCGCACATGGAAGTGGTTCTCGGTTGGCTAGGCCTTGCCACTATCACGAGTCTCGAGAGCACGCTTCGCGTCTTCTTTCGCTTGTCGGATTGGTTCCCATGAGGTTGTCTCGGCCGTCAATCCACCTGCGCATCTGAGAACTGTCAGTATGTGAATTGGGCAAGGGCATTTCAAGGTGACCAACCGTCTGAACAATCGCACCACTGGCTTGCAAACCACAACACCTGGCTGGGGTATCCCGTCTTGCGGAGGGTTGCAGGAGTATTGAACCATCTCAAGAAGCGTGCATTTTTCAAGCTCTATCGCACCTCCCTTGCGACGCTTTTCTTCTTGAAAGTTCTTGGTCACGATGTTGACATGGTCAGGGAGGGCTTCCGCGGAGAAGAAGGGGACGAGAGGCGCCATTGACTGATTCTTCCTTGTTCTTGGGATATGCTACTGATCGGAAGATGATTCTCTAGATGTGTCGAGGGTTTCGTATGAGGGAATGGGTATAGTCGGCTCGGTGAGGACGTTGAGAAAGTGATGTGATGGAAACATGGAAACGGTCCGGAAACAAATCTCGGAGCTAGGCGGCGGACTCTCAAGCTCCATCATTCCACTCGGCTCCTCAACTCAGCTCCCATATTCTGCATCTGTGGTGGGGTTAGCTATGCAGAATGCAGTCATAGCTCTGCCTTGTGTGCTGGTTCTGCAATGCATATGACAATCATAAATGCCCCGCAAGGCTCCTGCAAATGGCCGCCAGTTTCGGGGAGAAACTGCTCTTAGAGGTGCATGAGGAGGGTCTGGACGAGGTATTTTCTCTCTAGCAAGAATCAGTCAAGCTTAGAACTAGAAGAGGCTTGTACTAACACTGTTCCAGCTGCTACACGATTTGAGGGCTACATGCAAGGAGAAGCTGCCGATCAGCAGAGCTCACTTTGGCATCGCACCTGTGGATGAGCTTCTACAGCTGTTCATGCCCCCTCAAGCTGGACACTATCAGCCACCTATCGAGCAAGAGCATGTCAGCGGTCAAGGCAATCCTACCTCTCCCACGGCAGGTCATGGACCTCCACACCTTGTCCCACCCCCCTCTATCAGCCGGCTGTATCCCGTGTTAGAGATATCCAGCACGTCCTCTGCGGCGGGGAAGTCTCAGATAGTATACCACTTGGCTGCATTGGCCATACTACCCTCCGAGTTCAACGGTATCCCACTCGGCGGTTTTGGCTCTGCTGTAGTCTTCGTCGACACTGATGGTCGGTTTGATGCCGAGCGCCTACGTACCGTCGCTCGCGAAATTATCCAGAGCACGCTACAGACTAGAGGGGATTCGTCTTCTCTCTCTCATTCGATTGAAGCTACGCTTCTCAACTCTCTGCAACATGTTCATGTTTTCCGTCCGCAGTCATCTCTAGCTCTCATCGCTACCCTGCAGTCGCTAGACACATACCTGCTAGATATCTCTCGGCACGTCTCAGCCAACCGCCCAGTTCACGCTATCGTCATTGACAGCGCAACAGCCTTCTTCTGGCAAGACAAGCTCCAAGATGAAATAGCTCGCACCGAGGATATTGGCCGCCCCGCCGCCGACATCGAACGCGAGCGCCTCAAGAAAGAAAGTTTCTACCTCGCAGATGTTTACGCAGATCTAGTGGCAGAACTCAAGCGTTTGCAGCACATGTTCGATTGCTCTGTCATATACACTACTACCTCATTCAATGGAAGGGCAATTGAGAAGCAACCCGATTTCTATGGCTCGTATAACATTCTGGACACTGCATTCCCTAATATGCCCTCCTTTCGGTCTCCATTGCCCCCTCCTTGGGGCTTGTTTCCGACGCTGCGGTTAGTGGTGCAGAGGGAAGCTGTTCGTCCGTTCTCACCCAGTGCTACAGTCTCAGAGGTGCAGCGAGAAGCGCCTATGCGGCAGGAGATTGTTATGAGAGCTGAGTTTGTGGGGTCGGTCAATGGTTGGGGACGAGAGAATTGGCCGAGAAAGCTGTTGGAAGAGCTGAAGAGGCGAGATGAAGGCGTTTTCGGGTTTCGTGTGGGACGGGATGGGATTACGTTCAGTTGATGATTGACTGTTCTTTAAGGTGCTGCTCAGTTGTCGATGGATTTGCTAAAAAGTTAAAGGCTACATCTACATATAACTGACCCAAACCCATAAATGACCTCTGCAGGGATACCTTCATGCAAAGTCGTGATAATATGAAAACCTCATCTACCCAAGATGCTCTGTCTCCGTGATATATAGCAGATCTATAATCATCCAAACAACTTCCCAATAGCCTCAACAGTCGTGTTCCCTCCACTGAAAACAACACCCACATCCCAACCCTCCGGCGCCTCCCTCTCAACCAACTTCCGAAACTCCTCATTATACAAACATACCGCCAACCCTACCACAGCACTCGGCTCAACAAACACCTTCATCCTCTCCAACACCAGCCTCATCGCGGCCTTAATCTGCTCCTCGGTAACAGCAAACACCCCACTATGCTTCTTCGGATCCGAAATAATCGCCCAGTTCAACACACCAACGGGGGTCCTCAACCCATCTGCGATCGTCAGACTCTTAACAGCCTCAATCCGCTCCCCAGCCTCCAACCCCCGCCGGCAATCATCCGCACCCTCGAAACTCGGCTCCGCACCAAAGACCCTCGTCTCCTTATCCGAGAAAAACGTCGTCACGCCCCCGTTCAGACCCCCGCCTCCAACGGGCGTAATCACCGCATCTAGGTGTCCCCGCTTGCTATGGTCCGAGTCTGGGTGTGAGTGAACACTCAACTCCGGCTTCGCCGATACCAATTCGCGATATTGCTCGTCCATCTCTAGTCCCGTTGTCCCCTGCCCGCAGATAATGTCGTAGTCGTCGTACGGCGGGACGAGGATCGCGTTCGTCCGTGCTTGAACCTCTGCGACGACAGCCTCCCGCTCTGTGCTCGTCGACCCGCTGAATATCACTTCGGCCCCATACGACTGCGTCCCGGCAATCTTGGACGGTGTGCTGATGCGCGGCATTACGATGTATGCGGGGATGTGGAGGGTTGAGGCTGCGAGGGCGAGGGCTTGCGCGTGGTTTCCTAGACTCAGAAACGATTATTAGTATATCGTCATATGACACAGCTCGGAGAGCCTGCACGGAGGTCTGGATAAAGACGCTGTACATACCAGAACTATGCGTAACAACCCCGCGCGCTCTGACAACCTCCTCGCCCTCCCGCTCAACAAGCCTGAGGAGCGCATGAAATGCGCCGCGAGCCTTGAACGCGCCAATGCGCTGGTAGTTCTCGCATTTGAAGAAGAAGCGGATCTTCGGATGGGCAGGTTCCTGACCCTCGTACGGTGTGTCCTTGAGCGATTCCGGGGTTTGAGGGGTCGAGGCGAGGGTGTTGAGGGTGCGGTTTGTGAGCAGCGGGGTGTGGTGGATGTAGGGTTTTATGAGCGTGTGGGCGGATGCGATTGAGGAGGGGGTTGGGAGGGTTATTGTCATCTTGGCGGCTTGTGAGGAAGGTTTTGAGGTGGTATTCGTTGGGTTTCTGGAGGTTTGCAGGGTTCCAGCGTTGTTGGAGGGGTAAAATGCGGAGGGCACTGATAGGAGCGAGTTGGAGTCGATGCGACGGCGAGAGGCTATTGAGTCAGTCTTTAGCATCTCCACTGCGGAATTGCGAGATCGGGGGGGAAATGAGTCAACTTCGCATGCGATTCTCCTGGTGGTTACAAGGGAAAAAAAAATTGAAATGAGCAGTCAATGCTTGTATTGAATTAATATATGAACAAAAAAATCAAGTCATGGTACATTCGTAACTTTTCCCAACCCAGGTTCTAATACATCATTAAATTATTTCTGGTTCTCGGGACGGAGGGAGCGGACGGCCTTTCCGGCGCGCCAGATCTCGAGATCACGGATTTCCTGCATCTCCTTCTCGTACTTCTCGCGGTAGTCCTTCTGGGAGTTGTAGTCCAGAGAGCGCTGGGTCTCGGTGCCGTCGCGCACGCTGTCGTAGAGTTCGTTGAAGAGGGGCTTGAGGTTGTCCTTGAAACGGCTGGACCAGTCGATGGCACCGCGGCGGGCAGTGGTGGAGCAAGCGGCGTACATCCAGTCCATACCGTTAGCACCGATCAGGGGGTACAGGGACTGGGTGGCCTCCTCGACGGTCTCGTTGAAAGCCTCCGAGGGGCTGTGGCCGCGCTCACGGAGAACCTCGTACTGAGCAAGGAACATACCGTGGATACCGCCCATGAGGCAGCCACGCTCACCGTAGAGGTCGGAGTAGACCTCCTTCTCGAAGGTGGTCTCGTAGAGGTAACCGGAGCCGACGGCGACACCCATGGCAATGGCCTTCTCCTTGGCGTTGCCGGTGACGTCCTGGTAGACGGCGATGGAGGAGTTGATACCACGGCCCTCACGGAAGAGAGTGCGGACAGTGCGGCCGGAACCCTTGGGGGCGACGAGGATGACATCAACGTCGGTGGGGACCTCGACCTTGGTGAGGTCCTTGAAAACGGGGGAGAAACCGTGGGAGAAGTAGAGAGTCTTGCCCTTGGTGATGAGGGGCTTGATGGTGGGCCAGGTCTCGGACTGAGCGGCGTCGGAGAGGAGGTTCATGACAATGGTACCCTTCTTGATAGCCTCGGTGACGTCGAACAGGTTCTTGCCGGGAACCCAGCCGTCCTGGACGGCCTCCTTCCACGAGGCACCATCCTTGCGGACACCAACAATGACGTTGAGACCCTGGTCACGGAGGTTGAGACCCTGGCCGTGGCCCTGGGAACCGTAACCGATGAGGGCAAGGGTGTCGTTCTTGAAGTATTCCTGGAGCTTCTCACGAGGCCAGTCGGCACGCTCGTAGACGGTCTCCTTGTGGCCGGCAAAGTCCATGGTCTTGACACCACGGACGGGGACGAGGGGGGCGGTCACGCGGGGGACGGCATTGGCAGCAATCTTAGCGAGAGAAGGCCGGGGGAGGGCGGCGGACACGACGGAGCGTGGGGCGGCGACACGGGCCACACGGAGGGCACGGGGGAGACCACGAGAAGCCATTGTGTAGGAATTGAGGGGGAGGAGGGGAGATTGGAGGAATTGGAAGGAATTGAATATGCGAGAGGATGATAGGAGAAAAGGAAAAGAAGAGGCACCGAGGGATGGGCAGCAGAAGCTTTTTAAGGTCGTTGCCGGGGGTCAGACGCCGTTGCCGGGGCTCCACGTGATTCGGAGTTGCACCACTTCTCCCCGTCTCTTCTCTCCGTCCGGGCGGCCGATGTCGGATTGGTCCGTCGGAGTCACGCTCGACTTCCCCAAGATCTTGGGCGATCCATGGATCCATGAGACTCACGGTCAAGCGAAGATAGAGCTCGGGGCCGAGAACTTTTGGCCAGATTCGTCCGGCACTTCAAGACGCTCCGCCAATGGCGCTTTTCGACGTCCCTGTTGAGCAACATAGAGTTATCACAGACGATTAGGATGCATAAGTCCCGCACACGCATCATGCGGAATTGAGACCCCGGCTAAGGAAATGGAATCAGGCTTGGTTTAGCTAGAGTTTAAACGTGGAAAGTGCATTTACTAGGGTCCATCTGTCGAATAAGACGGCTGAGGCTGCTTTTCTCCTCAATGCAGCCTTTGATACTGGTGCCTAAGGTGTCGTGTCACCAAAAGCACCATATTGCCCAAGCTCAAAGTTGAGAAGTACGACTTAGCGTAGTCGACGTATCTGATGATCTCCAGCCCGTTTCCCCTTCGTCCTGCAGCCTCTCGCTCTCCCGTCCCTCCTCGCAATCCTTTTCCGAAGTGTTCGTGTGCTTTCGAGCGAGCTTCTTTTTTCTTTTATTGAGCTCAATTCTCCTGCCTGGAGTCCTCTCTTTCCAACTGTCAACAGTCCTCAACATGTGCTGATAAGAATGAATTTCCTCTCCGCCTTCGGTGATCTGCCGCGAATCCAGACCCGAAAAGCACTGCTGCTCCTCGACTTCCAAAATGACTTCGTGCGCCCCACGGGCGCCCTTTATGTGTCAAACACGCCAGAAGTCTTGGAGATCCTTCCACAGCTTGCGAGTGCTTTCCGTCGCACGGGCGATGTCGTCTGGGTCCGCTCGTATTATGAGTCACGGCAACCGCTGATTAGCCCCGACGAGCAAGACGTGGTCGTCTTAAGTGGTGCGGGGGACCCTCAAAAGGATGAGCAAAACCCAGTGCATGAAGAGGCCTTTCTATCCACTGACCCGCCTGCTTGTTGTTTGCCTCAAACGACCGGGGCTCAATATCCCGCTCCTCTACTCGCGGCGATCGATACCAGTTCGGATATCTTGATCGAGAAATCGGAGTACTCCGCCTTGCAATCCCCTGGACTGGTTCTATCTTTACGGACTCGTTTCGTTACTGAACTTTATTTGTGCGGGTCTCTATCAAACGCGTCTGTCCACGCTACTGCGCTTGACGCAGTGCGTCACGGTTTCTCCATCACCCTAGTCGAAGATTGCCTAGGGTACCGGAGCTTCTCACGCCACGAAGAGGCTATGCGACGCATGGCCGATATCCTCGGAGCCAGTGGTATTACTACAGACGAACTTCTCACGGAGCTTGATCGAGAGGAAACCGACGAGATCGCGGCTAGCGAACCCCGGCCAGCGCGAACCGTACCACCATCCGGAATTGAAGTTGATCTCGAGGAGCTTGACGTCAAACGAAGCAGCATAGATACTACGAGGCATTCGCCGAGACGTCGGAGGCTTGACGAAATTTTGGCTGAGATGTCTGACGACGAGGATGGCAGCCTGAAGGAGCTGGTGGAGCTGACTCGCGAGCGTGCACGCACTCGTTACAATCAAGAAAAGCACATGCATGCGTCCGAATCGGGTAAAAGCGCAGTGCGGACAAAAGTGCGCAGACGACACGATCAGAAGGATGGAGAGTCCGCTGCTCAGCCGACGGATTCGCGACGAGTCAGGAAGACAAAACCAACAATGAATATATGTCGCCCAGGCGATGTAATCGGTGAGGGCGACTCGAAAATTGTCTACGATCTGGACTTGCCTGAGGGCGCATTTGAGAAAATTCGTGACGAAGTGGCATGGCAAAAGATGTACCACATGTCTGGACAAGTTCCTCGTCTTGTTGCCGTTCAAGGCAAGCATTCACCGGACGGCTCAATACCAATATACCGCCATCCCGCAGACGAATCTCCTCCGCTTCTGCCCTTTACTCCAGTAGTGGACAAGGTCCGAGCTATCGTGGAGCGAATTCTAGGACATCCCCTCAACCATGTTCTTATTCAGCTCTATCGTGACGGGCAAGATCGAATATCCGAGCATTCTGACAAAACTCTTGATATTGTCCGCGGCTCGTCAATCTGCAACGTTAGTCTCGGTGCTCAGCGAGTCATGGTACTCCGCGCCAAGGGCACGGAGAAAGAAGAGGAGGGCTCGGGCAGGCTCACTCAACGTGTACCCATGCCTCACGAATCTCTATTCGTTTTGGGCGAGAAGACGAATGCTCGCTGGCTGCATGGCATCAAAGCCGATAAACGCCAGGAATCTGAAAAGTCTGTCGAGGAGCGTGCTTATGAGGGTCAAAGAATCTCGCTTACCTTCCGACACATCGGCACCTTCTTAGATCCCACCGGGGATATTATCTGGGGCCAAGGGGCAGTCTCCAAAGTGCAAGGCGAAGCGCATCCTGTAATCCATGGTGAACCGGACGAGACTGAACGACTGGTGCGTGCATTTGGGGAAGAGAACCGAGCCATCGACTTCAACTGGGACGCCGTTTACGGGAATGGCTTCGACGTCGTCAACTTTGTCACTGCCACTTCTGCAAAGCTGATACCGGCCGAGGATGAAATAGCCAATCTGCGGGTTCAGATTGGCTTGAGTGAGAATGGAATCAGGTACGACACTACGCCACTTGGTGCCGTACCGGGCGAGAACGTCAACTTGCCTCTCTATATCGATGCAGACGGTACCCAAATCGCCGGTGCAACGGACATCCTACGGTACCTAGCACAACGCGTCCCGAAATCAGAGCGTCCGGGTATGGAGATGCTGAGCGGCGGAAAAAAGCTGTCCGACATCGATGCCCTACTCGAAGAATGGCGAAGGCATAGTGGAAATGATGAACTCGACGCCCTCCTTCCGTGGGAAGACGCTCTAGATGGACAATACTACCTGGGCGGCAACTCCTTGACAATTGACGACTGTGCACTCTGGCCAGTACTCAGAGACATTGTCCAGAAGCGCGGGCCCTTGTCGGACAAAACATACCCCAATCTCTCTCAGTACTACACCCGCGTTGGAAAGCGTGGCATTGTCAAGACGGTTCTTGAAGAGCTCAAATGAGCTCCATACTTGTGGAATACCCTTACACCTACGATGAAATGATATAACGATAACTATATAATCAAAGCCTCTAGAGCTGGAGACTCCCGGGTTAATTTCTGTTGTTCGTGCAATATACACTTTTTACATAACATGCTCTACTTCCTTGACCGTCTCGACCGCTTGCACTTTGTCTGCCCCGTCGACGCGGTCTCTGCCGCTGCTGCAGCCTCCGTCGTAATCGCAGCAGCATCCTCCAAGCACACTCCATCAAACTCGGTCGTCGTCAAAACATCAGCCAACCCAACGCCGCCGCAAACTACCGCCTTCAAAAACGCATCCGCAACAACCTGCGCCCCCTCCGCATTTGTATGCGTATGATCATTCGGGTAAAACGCATTAACAGCCTCCAGCCCCAACTGCTCATAGATACTCGCCGTATACGCTCCATGGTCCACATACTCAACCCCCGCAACCTCCGCCGCAAGCCTCGCATACTCGACAAACCTCGACGGCGAGTACGCAAACTCGCCCGTCTCCCACGGGTTATTCGGCGTCTGGCTCGAGATGAGAACGTGCGCCCCCTTCTCCAGGAACAGCGCCGCCGCGTTCTCGAGGTACGCGGGGAACGTGAGCACCGTCTCCGCGACGCCGTTGTACACAGTCTCGCAGGTCTCGTCGCCCGTGCCGGGGCAGTCGGTGCGGCCGTTGTCTGTTGAGAGGGAGCCGCCGTCGTTATGCCCGAACTCAATCACGACGTAGTCGCCTGCTTGGAGGAGGTCGGCGATCTCTTTGAAGCGGCCTTCGCGGGTGAAGGAGCGGGCGCTGCGGCCGCCGATGGCGTGGTTGGCGACGGTGATTGAGAGGCTTGATGCGATGAAGTCGCCCCATCCTGAATGGTTATGTGGATTAGTCTCGAAGGGCCTTTGATTAGGTAAAAGGGATTAGAAGGAAGGGCGGAGGGAGGGTGAGTGCATACCACTAGTAGTAGTAGCCATCGTGGAGTCACCAGCGAGGTATACCGTCTGCGCAAGCGCGCATGGGAGGAGGGAGAGGGATGAAAGAGCGATTGACTTCATCTTGAGATATGGATATGTTTTTTTCTCTGATTTCCTTGCAGAAACTATAAACCGAATCCGTGAACGATATTGTTGAAAGTCAACTATCCCAGCGCGACAACTTCCTCCCTTATATACATGTATCCCGGAACCTCCTATACATGTAGCTATAAAAAACCTCCGTGGCGTAACCGTCGAAACCAGCTCGCACGTCAAATCGTATACGTGGAACAACCCGCCAGGATCGGTGTTTTACCCTCGTCCGCATCCTGACTCTTCGTCCGTCGGTCCCCCACATCATAATAATCCCGAAGGAGGGAAGCGCGGACCAGCGGAAGGTTTTCCCTGTTTCATATAGCGTGCTTTGGCACCTTTGCAGCTCTACTCCGGACTAGTACTCCGTAGGGCTGTCTATGTCATACCCCGTCTGTTTGACTAGCCTGGCGGCTCAGGGCTTTATGCCTAGAATGGGGTTGCCAAGGCTTTGCTTGAATCAGGGGGGTTGACTTGGTGCCGTATGAGTGAGTTAGAGGTTTTCGACCGTTTGCCTTGAAGTTTGAGCATCGAATCTTCTCTTGAGACTCTTGGGAAGGTGGTCAAGAGAGCGAAGCTAAACCAAGAGTCGCCTTCCCCGCGACGCCTGCGTCGCATGCAGAAGATCGTCCCGTTCACCCGTCCTAGCGTCAAACGATGGGGAAATTTTCCACCTCTTGAGGGCTGCAGAATATTTGCAACAGTTATGTCTGGGTTGCTAACCTGTTTATATCCGGGGAAATTCTGCAGGGTCGCGTAATTCATCACCGTGCGGTTGAGTTGTTGATCTATGCTCATTCAAGGTTGTCATCGACATTGCCGTGCAGGACTCAGTCCTCAGAACTCTCCGAGTCAGATTCCGACCTGTCCTGCTCCGCAGGGACCGGCAGATCATCAATCACAGAGCAGAGCCTGGCGTGGTGCACAGGTGCCCACTCGTTGTATACCGCCATGACGAACTTGTACGATGCCCATCTCTGGCTGATATCCCTTGGCGTTAACGTATATTCATGGACTAAGTGCCGATAGTAGGAGACCGCACCGTTATCGAACATCACATAGTGAGCATAGATCCTGACGATGCGGTGGCTATGCGAGATTGAGAATGCAAGGACCTCCTTGTGGAGTTCCTCTTCGCGCCCAACTATCCTAAATAGCGCCACTACACCCCCTACCGCGAGCGCCGCGCTATACGTATTCTCGACATCCACCATGTCGAGCAGCTGCCTCGATTTGATCTCTGTCGTGAGGAAGGGAAAGTTCATTGTCGCCGTTGGCCGGAAGATGGACTCGAGGCCAGAGTACGGCCCGAGTCTCTCAAGCTGTTCCTCTGTAAAGGCTTCTTGCGAGAATCCTACGGCATAATCGGGCTGAGGGATTGGTAGCATTTCTTGGCCGTCGTCCGTCAGTGGAGTCATTAGCGTCCATATCTCGCTCATGCCCACGGCATAGTGCTGGAATTGGGACAGACCGCGATCAATCGCGGTCTCCGCTGATGGAACGAGTAGCTCGCCAATCAACCTGTTCACCCCATTGTTATTCTTCGTCAGGAGCCGCTCACAGGTCATTAGGAAGGGCTCGAGCTCGAAGACTGTATCCTTGGGTAACTCCGCATCCCTCGCCCGCAGATCCGCGCAGAGAGTCCTAACCTTCCTCGGAACACCAGCCTGGCGGTCCCGTGTGAGGACGCGATACTTTTTCAATATCGCTGTGCAATTTGCCACGGTGTAATCAGCTTCGTCCCGCTCCGGCGAGCGTGCTCGCTCCTCTTCAACTTCCCAGTCTGCCTCTGCGGCCGCCCGAGCCTGGACGGAACCTCTTGATCGTTTGAGGGGGAGGAGCTGTGGATCGACCTGGCCGAACCGTTCCGCCGGTGGTCCTTGCGGCCAGCGGTTGTGGGCCATCCAGTGCTGGATGCCCGGGTTGTTCTTCGCTCGTTTGATTTTGTCTTGTAGTCTGTTTTGGGCATCTTGTGCTAGTTGTCCCGGGGCTGCTTGGGGTGGTGGATTCAGGGCTGGTTGTTGTTGAGGCTGTGGTTGCTGTTGTAATTGCGGTTGTTGAGCTTGCGCTTGACCTTGCTGCTGAGCCTGTTGTTGCTGTGGTTGTTGCTGAGGTTGTTGCTGAGGTTGTTGCTGAGGTTGTTGCTGAGGTTGTTGCTGAGGTTGTTGCTGAGGTTGCTGTTGAACATGCTGTTGAATCTGTCCTTGGGCCTGTCCTTGAGCTTGTTGCTGAGCCTGTTGTTGGGGTTGCTGCTGTGGCTGTTGTGGTACCTATACCCATGTTAGTCACCATCCCTAGTCCCTAATCCTGCTCTATCCAAGACGGTAGGGTGCCATAACTATACCTGATTATTGGCTCCCTGGTTGTTATTCTGTTGAGCCTGAGCCTGAGCCTGCGTCTGCGCAAGTTCATTCTGGCGCTTCTCAATTAAGCGGGCGCTTCTACGTAAGGGCAGTTGACCTGCTGCGGCTATTGATGTCCAAGGTCAGTATGCTACTCGAACTACACTGAAGGAGCTCGACTCTCTTACCGGCCTGGGTTCGTTTTCGTTTTGGCATCCGAAGTTATCGTCAAAAGCATACATGAGTATATAGTAAGTCATCTTTGCGGGTCTGCCTGAGGGATAAGAGATGAAAAGTATCTTGGTGTTCCCTGCGTGTTGCATAATGTGTTGGTGGCCTTTGATTGATGTGCGCAAAAGAACACTGAAACCCATGAAGATCTGAAACACCATGGTTGTTGTTTGCTCTTTGTTCTTGAGGCTCTTGGTGCTAGAGAGCTTAAAGAAAAGTGAATCCATGGAGTATGGAGTCTTTCTTTATGTCATCGGGACTTGGCCTCGTCGTTGTTGATGGGTTGCTTGGTGGTGTAGAATGTTTTGCTTCCAAGTGGTTCCTGACTTCTTGGACTTATCAATTTTAGCTTGGTGCAAACCTTCAACAACCGGGCAAGATGGCCGAGCGGTTAAGGCGTTAGTTTAGAAAGCTAATCCCTTCGGGGTCCTGAGTTCGAATCTCAGTCTTGTCGATTTCTTTTTATCTTTTTTCCTTTGGAAACCCTTACAATTCAAATCGCGGATCCGTCGATTCTTCTTTTTATCGTCTACAACAGCCCAGTATATCAGGGCGAAGCTTCTATTCCCACACTAATGCATTTACCTCTGCAAGATCTAGCTATCGTCCATGGCATCGTTTCTGAGATTCATTGAGTATCTTGCACTGGCACGGCTTGTGGATTACTGATCATAATCATGAAAACGGCGCCGAGGCACGTGAAACCGGCGACCAAGAGAGAGCTTCATTGCAGCTCTACGAGCAGCTTCTCCGCACGCTATGCGACAACTATCTGCGTGTAAGGGCTGCGGGGTGATAACCATTGGGTTTGAACTCTAATAGTGAAGTTCTTGAGTTGCATTCAGCAGAGGGCCTTTACATCTCAACCTACTCTGCCCAGACACTCTCCGCATTCCACCTGACGATAACCGTTAAACCGAGGCTCGCAGAGCTGACCCGCCCGCCGCGATATATATACATCGGCCTCTTAACCTTTAAATCTCACCACCGTCTCAAACTTACCATATCACGCACACCATGGCCGAAAACTACACAGCCAAGCATTTCAACGTTACATTCCCGCAGGAATATGTCGCGCAGGTTGAGATCAATCGGCCCGCGCAGCTGAATGCGTTCTTCGAGGCGTACGTTCCCCAAAACCCACTCCATGCTTATATAGCTACGAGAGAACTGATTCCGAGTCTCTGCCTGCTACAGAATGTGGGTCGAACTCGGCCAAATCATGAACAAACTCTCCCACGACCCAAATGTCCGTGCCGTAATCATATCTGGCGCCGGCCACAAGGCGTTCACTGCAGGCCTCGACGTCAAAGCTGCATCAGGCGGCCTCCTCTCCGACTCCGACGGGACAAACACCGAGCCCGCCCGTAAGGCCGTCCACCTCCGCCGCCATATCACCGAGTTCCAAGGCTGCATCACCGCGATCGAGAAGTGCGAGAAGCCCGTCATCGTTGTCATGCACGGGTTCTCCTTGGGCCTAGCGATCGATCTGAGCTCGTGCGCGGACGTGCGGTTCGCAGCAAAGGATGCAAAGTTCGCAGTCAAGGAGGTGGACATTGGGCTTGCGGCGGATATTGGGACGCTGACGCGGTTACCGAAGATCGTTGGGAACTTTGGGTGGGTGAAGGAGGTTGCTTTGACGGCGAGGATCTTTGGGGCCGAGGAGGCGCTGCGCGTGGGTTTTGTTAGTCGGGTGTTTGACACCAAGAGCGAGGCGATCCAGGGAGCGATTGAAGTTGCGGCGCTTATTGCGAGCAAGAGTCCTATTGCTGTTCAGGGGACGAAGGAGATCTTGAACTGGTCCAGGGATCACACGGTTCAAGATGGTTTGCGGTACACGACTGTTTGGAACAGCGCGGCGCTGCAGACGAAGGACGTCTCAGATGCGCTGTTGTCTGGCATTCAGAAGCGGAAGCCGCAGTTTGCCAAACTGTAGATTTTGCATAATGATCCTTGTATATAGTTGCAACTCGAATATCTTTTGAGCGAGATAATGGTGATGAGTAGAAAAAGAGAAAAAAGAAATCGACAAGACTGAGATTCGAACTCAGGACCCCGAAGGGATTAGCTTTCTAAACTAACGCCTTAACCGCTCGGCCATCTTGCCCAGTTGATGAAAAGTCTATCTGTAAACTAACACTATCAGGAAAAGGGATACCACTACATACAATGCTCTGAGATTATAACCTTATCTTAGTTATACTCGCAGTGAATGGTTACCTAAAATGCCTAAATGACCTTTTTAGTATTCCTTGAATTATCTTACACCTAGTCTTCTCATTCATTGTATGTAAGAGTCTTAAAGAGAAGTTGATCAGGTATAATATCACTAAGGTAGATATTAAATTAGGATAAAACTAATCCTTGCTTTGTAAGATATCTAGGACCTTTAGGGGACCTAAGTAACTAGCTATTAAAAGGATAATATTAAGTTAAGGTCTCTTAATCTCCTTAGTTAACCTCTTAGCTTACCCCTTAGCCAACCTCCTCAGGTTGTGTGAGTAGATTAGCTAAGTTAACTAAGTTAATTAGTTAACCCCTAGCTATTAGCTCTTCCTAATAAGCCTGATTCCTTAGGTACCTTATGTATCTAAACTATTCTAACTAGGGGCCTAACCCTTTAGGTATCTAGGCTACTTTAACTATAATATAGCACCCCTATCCCTAAGGGATCATCCTAATCTAGAAATAGAATATTATAATTATAAATAGTTATAGAACTATAAATAGAACCTTAAAGAGTTCTTTTATAACTAATTTTAGTCTTATAAGTCTTTAAAGACTTCTATTATAGCTTTAAAGAGAAAATAAAGAAGGGGAGTAACTATTTATTATATATAACTATAGCCTTCTAGTATAATTAAGTATATTTAGCCTTAAAACCTTTTACTTAATAGTAAGGTAAATAAAGAAGGTAATATAATAATAATATTCTATAAATTTTTCTTCTACTCTCCTCTTCCTCTTTATCTTATTTTTTATAATTTATTTATCTTCTTTTATTCTAATATCTTCCTACTCTTAATTTATCCCTATTATTTCTAAGATAGTTTATATTTATCCTATTCTTACTATTCTAATAATACCTAAACTCTTTTAGTATATAAAATATATAAGAATATTTATAAAGTCCTATAACCCTAAGACTAAATTCTTTAAACTATTTAAGATCTTCTATATTCTTAATAGTACTAAGTCTATACTCTATTACTAATATTCCTATTAGAACGCGAGTTATTTAATAGTAGGTTCTTTATAATATAGGTAGGCTTTTACTAATATTCCCTAAAGGCTATAATAAGAATACTTAGTAATATAATTAATCTCTCTTATTATATTAAATAGTATAAGGGATTCTTTAATCCTAATAATAATATAAATAGTTAAAACTAGGCTCTTAAGATATTCCTAGCCTTTTTAGAGGTAATTCTTAATCTAGTTAGTATATTTAATAATATAGAGACATAATATTAAAAGGAATTTAGCTTAATTAGTATATAAAAAGATACTTAAGTAAGTAATTATAATTCTTCCCTAATTTATAGGTAAAAACTAATTCTTATTACTCTTAGTCCTAGTAAGTTAAATATATAAAATAGTATATAAATTATTATTAAGACTTCCCTACTCTACTAATACCTCCCCTAGGTTCTAATAATAATACTTAGAATAAATACTATTATACTAAGTTACTATACCTCTAGCCTAGTAATCTAGAGTATATATTATAGTAAGTCACTCTTCATAACTTTTACTAGATAATAAGGGTGGAGGTAGTCTAATTTTATAGTAAAGATCTAGCTAACCTATTCTTAATAGCCTAGGAAATTAATAATAGCTTCTCTCTCTACTTAGTGATTTTATAAGGGATTAGGGTATTTTTATTTAATATATAGTAGTAATCCTTAAGTATTTTATTAGTAATAGTTAAAATAGATTTATTTTATTTTAATTATATATTATCTATGTAAGTGTCAGAGAGCCGCGCTAAGACACGGGATGCTGTCAGCCAATAGATTTGCCTAGTAAGATTACGGTATGACGGGATATCACGAGTCGACGTGATATCACGTCGATGCCGGAATGAAAGGTTAATCCGGCCAATCATATTGGACGATTTGACGCTACGACTAGATAGGGCTATGGTCATATCAGGGAGTTTGATAGAACATAGCGGGTGCTATGATGGGATAAATCAGGCGATATGATAGACACTGTATTTAAGGACACTTGTTCACGTATGTAATTAGTTTTAGTTACTGTCTATTACTTTTGGAATTAAAGCTACCCTACCTTTTAGAAACCTAGTTTACCTTCTTAGTCCGTTAAGAAGCAGTCTTCTCACATTAATATAAGAATACCTTAAGCCCTTCCAGGCCTTAAGCAGGATTGGTTGGACTTATCTAATAGTAACAGACCCTTATTTTGATTAAGAAGAAGACATATCTACTATCACCATGGGCGATAGCAAAGGCAAAGCAGCATAGCTTACTTTAGCTTTAAAAGAGAACCTCTCTACCCCCACCCTTACTAATGCAGAGAAGATTATTTAGCTTAAACAAGCTATTAGTCACCTACTTGTGAAAACCCATCAGCTTGAAATGTTTAAAGGGATCAAGGCAAACAAGGCTGAAGTATTTAAAGGTAAGCGTTTAACTCTTAGAAGTTATCTAACCTCTATAGATATGCATATCAAGATTAATAACTTGGACGGAGCAAATGAGCACGACAAGGTTATGTTCGCAGGAACGTACCTAGGAGGATTAGCATTTGCATGGTTCGAGCCATATATGCGCGATTACAACGAGAACACCACTGCGTGACAGAAACCTTTGACGAAGAAGATCTTTGGAGATTACAAAGAATTCAAGAAACAAATCACCAAAGCCTTCAGAGACCCAGATGCCAGACGAACCACAGAATTAAAAATCACTAACCTGTACTAAGGCAAGATAAACATTAGAGAATACACTGCTAAGTTCTATTAGATTACATCTAACCTGTAATGGGGAGACGAAGCCCTTATGTCTAGGTATTACACCGGACTTCGAGATAAGACTAAGGACGCACTCGCTCTCATTAATAACTAACTAGACGACTTAGATGAACTTATCGATGCCGCGTCGCGAATCGAGAACCGACAATACGAACGATGGATGGACCAGCAGAAGTAGCATAAGCAGTTTGGCAACGACAAGAAGGTCAAACAGGACCAAGATGGAGACGTGGAAATAAATGCAGCCATTACTACTAGAGAACGGAAGGATAGACCGCATGAGAAGCGACACTTTAAAGGAAAGTACTATGGATGTGGAAAAATTAGATATATGAAGAAGGATTATCAATCAAAGCATAAGAAGAATGGACTAGCTACCCACGACTCTTAAATTAATGCCGCCTTTGTAACAACCGGACCGATCACCACGACGAACGATGATGGGAATAAAATAGATACAACGGAAGAAATCCCTGAGGAAGAAATAACGCGATACCTAGGAAAAGATAAATTCATTCACGAATCGCTTAGTCAAGGATTCAAACAGCTCACCCTCGCCATGATTGAAGAATCAAAGAAAACCAAACAAGCAGTCAAGGACGTGAATAAATCGATCTAGGAAGTACGTGAGATGAAATAGACGATGCTCATAGCGCTTGAAGAAGAAAGACTGCAGGACGAAGTAATGGTTGCTCTAGATATCAGCCAGGAAGAAGCATCTAGTATGTTACTCCGTCATGCGATCCGACCCAACGATCAAGTTGACGATTGGATGAAGAAATACAACGAAGCACGTCTTACGTGGAATGGAGAGACTGGTATTGAAGGTCTTAGAAAAATCATTGAAGACATCAAGCTGAAGCACGATGGAGGACGCTCCATGAGCTTTGACGGGAGGCATAGCTCAGCATTAACACAAGAAAACCCTCTCTTCGCACGCTGAAATCAGAGAGCAGCGCGATTAACAGATAATCGTGAGATCCTAGATTTAAAGGAGAAGTTCCACCAAGATCCTTTGACAGTTTAGATTAGCGATGAAATGGTTATAACTCGCTATGAGACTCGTGAAACTTAGATAGAAACCCCGCTCGAAAGCGATATCAAGGATGAAGAACCTTGTAGTTACGAACCAGCTCGTGTAACTTGCTAGGAAGATTTAGGAAAGACATGGCAAGATCACATTTTGAAATGCGAATGATGTAGAGATTAGATATTCTTAGAATGCCCTGAACATGGAAAAGTCAACATTAAATTCGCTGAAGAATACGAAAGAGTATTGAACGAACAAGGAACTAGTTTATATAGTAGAATTCTAGGTCACGTGTACTAATGCTCTTGCTGATACTACCCTTAGCTAAGCAAGAAGGCACACCAAGAAATTCATTAGATGGAATGCTACGACAAAAATTGCGCTCAACACCACCAGTACAAGTTTAAGTATTACTGGATACCGTAACTACCCAAGGTACTATTGAGACCCAACTTTAGATGTCCTCTCAGAAAAGATGACTATAACTATGCGGAGGAAGAACAAGGACACCTAAACTATGCAAGACTTAGCAGCTATGATTGCGAAGTCAAGAATTGCGCATTCTACCATGAAAAGGGAAGATTTAAACCACGAAATTAGAACGATATTCTACAACGATACTACGAACGGCACTAGAAGGAAGTGAACCTTTTTTCCGCAGAAAATAACGAATCGATTGTGATCATTGCGAAATTAAATGGGTATAACGCAAGAATCTTGCTAGATTTAGGATGTTCGGAACAATTCTTGAGTGAAAGATTTGTTAGTAATAATAGTATACTAACGAGACTAGCTGGGTACAATTTAAGAATCCATGGATTTGGAGGAAAACTATTGCATAACGCACCAGCACTCGTGATAGATGAGGTATGGTTTGATAGTGGAGAATATTTAGAAAATCTGAAATTTAAGGTGGTACTGACCACGGAGTAAGGATTCTATGATGGTGTTATTAGGATGACATGGTTGCACATGCGAAACCTAACTATTAACTAGATAACTGGAAGTGTTTAGATCAAGGAACATTAGTTAAGAACTAGGAAAGAAAGACAATAAAACGCATAGATCTAGGTTACCACAGGAGTATCGGGGAAAACCCTGCCAGAGCCCGCT